CCTCAACCCGCCTCATCATGACTCCGAAGTCGCCCTTGCTGCTTACACGAAGCCTCGCACCCCGCTCGAGCGCATCACCTGCTTCAAGTGCTCGAAGAAGGGCCACTATCAGCGTGACTGCCCCGAGCTTAAGACTGAAGAGGCCCATTACGCGTTTTCGGCAACCGTTAGCGCCGATCAGCTTCTTGCCGAGAAGGAGACGGAAGCGTGGTAAATGCCCCGATTAAGGGGATGTATTAGACTTATCGTACGTTATCCCTTATTTGTGCGGACACAACCCCTCCTTCCTTGCTCGCTGTTTCCCTTATCCCCGCCCCGTTCCATTTGTTTGTTATCCTTCGCTCGTTGCCCGCGCTCGCTCGAGGGGATGTGTTGGAATCCTGGCGTCAAGATGGCGAGCTCGCGGAACGAGCGCCACAGGTCCCGCCCCCCGACGGATACCCGCGCCCTTATCTACCCCTATTCTACTGTGTATATAAGGTCTATTGTATGTACTATGTACGGCACGCGTTTACACCGGCCAAACGCGAATCCCATTTGTGCCCGCTTGCCCTCGAACTTCTACAAGGATGACTCTACCCTCCCACCAGAGCCCACCTCTGCTGTCAGGATCGGACTCAGCAGACTGCTTTCAGGTATGTACATGCGTGAATTGCTTATGTACCCCTGGCTAACCAGAAGCCTGGTGGACCCGGCATCTCTGTAACGTCGACGCTAGATGCTGCAGTGCTCCACCCCATGTCCTGTCAGAAATTGGCTGTTTCAGGCGACCTTGGTGAGTGCTCGTGTCCCCATTCGGTTTGCATTCTTTATACCTACCTACACCTTCATCTCCATTCGCTCGAGCGTAATGTTCATCGAGGTGCTTCTCACTTCTCCCGAGACCTTACAACCCACATTCTCTGCTCCTCTCACGCACACATAAAGCCCACTCTAATGATGTGACAAATAACAAACCGATTCTCTCCACCTCATGCAAAGACCGGATCACCGGGTGCATATTCCTCCCGCCCCCTCAACCCATTCACGGAATCCGCCCCCGAGCTTTCGGACATCTATGCAGTCGTGACATCCGCCACGCGAGGGACTCACAGGACGTGTAGAATCTGCGAATCAACGTCTGGGATGTCGGGATTCGCATCATCGACAACGCTGGTCGTTAATACGGGCAAGAATCACAATCTTTTCGGCATGTACGCTTGAAGAGGAAGAGGACGGGCGAAATCTCAAGCACCAGCCTTCGAGGGCAATGGCAGGAGCCTAAAGGCTCAAATATCGGAGTGATCGGTATGCATGCACCGCGCTTCCAGTCCGCGGGCTAATCGGCGATCAAGTTCTGTGCGCACACAGTGTGTCGGAGACACCGGAAAGCACTAAGTATGTAGTGTTCTGTGCGATTCTCCTGCCGCCCGTCCGCTGCTGCTTCGCATTAAGGTGGCAACGGCCTCGGCATTTCCGGAGGCGAGCTGCGAGTGGACTTTGCCGCAGCCCGTTTCCGGGAGGTGCGGAGTATACACTCCTTCCCCGAGATCGGAGTATAGTCCTGCTGTCGGCAAGTCTACCCCCGCTCTCACTTCGCATGCACCTATTGATCCCTTGGTTGAAGCGCAGATTCGGACTTACCTTGTATGGACACTTTCCGCACATGCAACTCCCGAGATGGCTCTTGTTGGGACGGAGATCTAGTGGACCGCTGAATGCAGACAAGGGCGGCCATTCACTGGGTGCGCGCTTCGCTTTGGCCACAATCCCCGATCTTACTCTTGGAGTCTTGAACGCCTACCGCACCCTCCTGAAGGTCTTGCGGCATATCGGACAATCACTGCGGTCTACAGCTTTGCGGCAAGATTCTCCATGGCGATCACTCGCTTCGTGGCCGGTATAAAGACCTGGAGGTGTAACTGCTGAACGACACACGATCCAAAGCAGACATTCGTTGGCCTACAGTCATCTAATCGATCAAGCACACGCTACCATGGTTCAGAACGGCCAAATCACCTTCTACACTCACGTTGTACGCCAATCTTCGTATTAGACTTCTCGTGGATCGAAGCTAATCTCAAGCGTTCATAGTATTCTCCCTACTGCCACCGGGTGCATATCGCCCTGGAACAAGCCAAGGCCAATTACACGTCTGTCAACATCAACCTGATGGACAAGCCAGAGTGGTACGACAAGAAGATTAACACCGTTACAGGCAAGGTATGTCACGCCCCCTACGCAACCCACTCTCTGAGGATGGAATTTTAATCCTCCGCCCCGTGCAGATCCCGGCGCTCACGTACGGCGGCCCCAAACACCCTCCCGGTGAGCCCTCCCCAGAGGCGGCCGTGCTCGTCGAGTCCGGCGCCATCCTCGAGTTCCTCCACGAGACATTCCCCGAGGCGCTCCTCCTCCCGTCCGACCCGATCCGCCGCGCCAACGCGCGCATCTTCGTCTCCATCGTCGACAACAAGCTCATGGACGTCTTCCGCGCGTACTTCGTGGATGGCGCCCCCGCGAGCACCCTCCTCGCGGGCTTCGAGGCGCTGCAGGTGCGCCTCCCGCCGGTCGGTGCCGATCGGAAGGGTGGGTTCGCGGTGGGGGAATGGAGCATCGGGGACATCGCTGCTGCACCGTTGTTGGCGCGCATCGTGATGCTGCTCGAGCACGACATCGGGAGGTTCGAGGAGGGGGATGGGCCGAAGACGTTGGCGCTGCTGAGAGGCCCGAAGTATGCGAGGATCATGAAGTACTTGGAGGACGCGAAAAGGTGGCCGAGCTTTGTGGCCACTTGGGACGAGGTGAGCTTGGCGCTTTGCGTCGTCGACGCTCGCGCGGTTGTCACGAGAGAATGTGCTGACTGGTTCGTCTTAGCCGACTGTGCTGGCCATTTGGCAGAGCAACCCGTTCTTCCAGCGTAGCTAGGGCGATTGGCAGCCCTGTTAGTTTGCGAGTAAGGATGTGGGGTCCAGTACAGTGGTTCTATAGACATTGACTTTTGGTTCGTGAAAGCTACACTGTCTTCATGCCCGATAAGCACGCATGTCGGACATAAGTCACTAGTGGGAAAGTTCGAACTCCGTCCATGCTGTGCAGAATAGTGCATCCGCCGAGGCCCGTCGACTACTTGAGTACATCGACCCACGCCCGCTGCAACCTCGACTAACCTCAATGAAGATGTCTTCTTCGCAGAGCAACCTATCTCAGCTCACTGATGACGCCCTCAAATCCCTCGAGAGGGTCGGGAAGTCGATCCTAGATCAATGCAACGTTCTGCGCACGAGTAAGTCTTCTGTGCGCATTGCGGCTTGGTTGCTTGGATAACAGACCTGGATCGCAGATCATCCATCGGTAGGGGCAGAGCTTGCTGTACAGGAACCCATCAAGCGCGCGACTTATCCTCATTAGCAGATACAACCTGGGCAGGTGAAGACACTGGCGCTTTCGACTCTCTCGTCCAACCAAAGCATCCTGAACACGATGCGTCCTATCAATCTATTTCCCCCCGAAATCCTCATCCTCATCTTCTCGTTCGTGCCTCGACGCAATCCTATCCCTACGGACACAGAGGGGAGACCCTGGCCCTTCGAAATCCCCGACGTCAGTATCTACCTACAGCTGGCGACGGTTTGTAAACACTGGTGCAACATCATCCTCGGGACTCCGGCGCTGTGGTCTGTGGTGTCCGAGGCCATGTCGTTCCTTGGTCACCGGACCCCGAAGCTGTGGTATCTCGCCCGCTGCCCTTGCGGCCCATTGACTGTCAACATCTTTGAGAAAGTCTCACCTAGGATGCGGCGGTTGCTGAAGAACGAAGGGCATCGCATCCAACAACTGCACATAGGACACCTCATTGGCACGGAAGCTACGGACGCGGTGGACTCAATGCTCTCTCTTTTGCTATCTCTCCCCGCTGCAGAGCTCGAGCATTGCAAGATCACACTCGCGCACACGGACTCGAATTACAGAAAGGAACCCACGGTACTCTTATTCTCGGGACACGGAGAGAACCTGCGCTGTCTGTACCTTGAGAAACTCTGGTTCTTGCCCGCCAACATCTTTCCAAAACTTAGGTTTCTTACTATCTATCGGTACTACGTCTTTAGTGACCCCATTTGGAGCATCGAAGATCTCTTCAAATTCTTGGCGGGCAGTCCCGATCTGGAAGAGCTGCACATGTGTGGAATCGCTCCCCACCAAGTCCTGCCCCTCTCTCGGCGGGTACAACCACTGTCGTACTTCCTCGTCTTCGTATCTTCGTCCTGATGTTGCGAGGCCACCCGATTGCATACACACTTCAGACCCTCTTTCCAACCCTTCAGCTACCACCCACGTGTCGGCTTCGGCTCGAGCAAGTCAAGATCGACGAGTTGCACGCGATCTCGACCGCCCTCCTATCCTTAGGCCAACCATTCACGCGGATGCGTCTGACTCTCACACGTCGTACCCGCTATCTATCCGACCCTCCACTTCAAGAGAGTGAGCCGTGGGACTGGTCACTTGTCCTTGCGTCTTCGCAGTCTGAAGGGTCTGGGGGCGTCTGGATCCGCCTTGAGGCTGCCGATGCGGCCGCCGTTCCCAGCCTTCTTGGGCCCAAATTCCGCAAACTCTCGTTCCTAGAGAATATCGAGGAGTTGTGGCTTACGAGCAACCTCTTCTCGGAGGCGCTGCTTCGCCGCATATGCCTTCCACCGAACGTTCGCGGCCTCGCGCTCACCATCCTGAACGGAGGCGTCTTGACCAGGTTCTTTGCTCCGGTGATGCTCGTCAGTGCTCAGCTCGACACGTTGTGCATTTGCGTTCTGAGCGCAGATTCCGTCGGTGCCGTGAAAGACGCACTCACGAATACTGGCTTGGCTTTGGGTCCTATGCCAAAGCTCGACCCCATCCGTCGCGTCGCTGTGGGTTATGCCCAGTCGACGCCACTGTACAACATGCATAAAGGTGGACCTTCGTTGCGGGGCTGCGGCGCAGGGACGGAAATCAGCTGGATAGGCCGGATCGCGTGGCGGAGCGGGGACGAGACCGAGATGGACAGACTCCTAAGTGCTGTTCCTCGACTGGTAGACAGTCCTGCGACAATCCGAGCTGGTTGGCCACAGTGATCATGATGAATGCATTAGGAGGCCAGACAGCAGCAGAGTGGGGAAGAAAGTGTTGTTGTCTGTCCTCTAGTAGGTTGACAATATATATACGTATTGTATTAGGGCACGGCTCCTGTCCGAGGATCGATCGACGACCGAAGAGAAATGTGTCTGAGACACGTACACATAGACACATCACTGCGGATCAGTGCGCCGAACTCGCTCGCCTACAGCGAATCCGATTCTTCGGCCTCTTCATGGTCTTCGTGAAACGAAGGCTGCGCTCCCAGTGCCCCAATAAAGTCACCGGTGTTTCTCGAACCCTGCCATTGGGACGCGAAGTCCCCCAGCGATATCGACCTAGTCGAGTCACACAGCCTGCGCTGAACCTTTTGCAGGCTGATGAGGAATCTCCCGATGAGGAGCGAAGTAAATCTGGATGAGATATCGCACTTAAATTCTGGTGTCTCGGCGGAATGCGCACGTACGTACGGTTGCTCAAAAGTACCAATCACGCTCGTCGGACCAGATGACACATCCGCAACCTGCTCAACGTCAGACAAATACTACGACAGTACGGTCGAGCTCACCGCGGACACAGTGAACGCGACGTGGAGTAGGTTCAGGATGAGTAACATTCTATAACGTGAGAATTTGATTATTGACCGAACCGACCACTGGCACATCACTTACAAGAAGTAAGCAGTCCCTGTTTGGCGGCGTCAGAGAGATGCAGAACCAGAGACGTTGAGGACAAAACACTTGATTCAGGACGTACCATCAAGAAGGAGGATGCTTGCGAACGTGGGCTTGCCTGAATGATGGAGGGGCGATTGCGCGGGCATGCGTGCTCGATACCATGACAGATACAAGACCACGATATCGGAAGCAATGAGAGAACACCGCATCGCCACGGTCACTGAAACCGGGCAGTCTAAGCTGACGACATGTGCTCATTAAGCCTCCACCTACATCTGTCATTCAGGACATCAGAAAGCGTATCCTTTGAAGGCAAGATTGAGAGCGCTCACCTGACAATTGTGCTCGGCGATAGTGTATGGACAACGACGACACCCTCAGCCGGATCGTTCACTATGTGCGTCCAGTAGGCGTTGACCTTGCGTATAGTGCATGAACCGTCACGTCTCGCTGCCGACTGAATGGTGTTGAAATAGAGGTACACACCAGCAGATCCATAAGACCGGGAAGCGCAGAAAGCACGAAAACGAATGTTGACACGAGGCGTTGGCAAGACTGTGCACACAACGCGTACGATCTAATCGCAGAAAATACTGCATAGGAAGCCTCGTCCAAACATCTGGGTAACGCAGAGCAAAGAGTGGTCGACGTACTAGCCCAAGGGAGATACTGCATCGCGAATAGCACAGAAGAACCGATATTCACCGCGTTAGCACTAGGGATGGATCAGACCACATATCCCGGGACTGCTCCAGATCGCCGTACCTCTACGAACACGTTAGTCGATCTCACTTTGACATCGCCATGCAAGGTACGACGTACTTCAGGAGACACTGGGATGGGAGTCACACCCACGACTTGGGTCGTGAGAGTAAGGTATCGGTTGAAGAGGAAGAGGATTGAAGCTCCGGATGCGCGGAATTCCATCCAAAAGAGAGTGACTTCGCTGCCTAGAGTCAAGAGGAAATCGTGAACAAATAATGCTGCGAAAAGCCACAAATTCTGGGTGTGAGTACAGCTGGAGCGTCAGTCTCAATTACAAGGTACGGACTCAAGCCAGCGTATGCCCAGCAATCGCTAAAGCTAAACAAAGGAGTCGCATTTCAAATCGCGTGCACCAACGAACACTGAACTGCACTCACAAAATCGCGAATATGGCCTGTGCCTCTGAGTTGTCCGACATCCCGAGGCCTTAGAGCGACAACACCCCAGGTGCCGAATGAAAGATACGTTTCGGAAGGAAATGGCTCTCCTAAGCTTTCCAGACGATGAGGTCGTTTTATATGTATGTCGATTCGGAAGCCGAGAAGCTGTTCGTAGTCAACGTTAGTCAGCGACCGCATGCAAATGAGTTTCATCTTCTGGTAAGATTTGGGCAAATCAAGTCAAGTAGCAGCGATCTATAGGCATCGTGGGGGGCGAACATGAACGCCACTCGCTGTAACAGAGAGAAGATCACCGAGCCTTTCCTTCTCGCGCTCAACTGAGGTAGCCGCACGAAAGTACGAACAGATAGCAGGATTCACGATTCACTCACTGACCAGTATCGATACTACGATCACGACGGCGTCATCGTTCTATCAGGCAGTCCAACCCATCATGTGTCCAGCGCGCAACTACCAGAAAACGTTTCCACAATCATGGGTATGCGAAGAATATACGTGTTCCCGAGAATGCCTGGGATACCTTGTGCTGGCAAGTCTGCAGATGCACGAGGACTGAGACCCCAGCTCATAACGTGTTCCCAGACTCGCAATAATCGAAATATTAGCCTGCAATGGTTTAGCTGCCTAGCTTCGTGTTCGTTACAATGCTCACGACAACCTAACGGAGAAACGTCGTCTCAGTTGGCGCCGTATGCCAGTCGACCCGGCCGAATCAAAGCGACGGTATCCCTGGGCCTTGTAGTTGAGAAGATTTCGGCTAGAGGGATAGTAGTAGGAAAACTGCAATAAGGATATGGCGCACATTCGCACTGACGGCTTGGTTAACGACAGCGAGAGCAACAAGAGGAGCACGAGCGAGCACGATACAGCGGCGGTCCCAGACGCTGAGGACACTACTTGCCATAATGAGACATACGATGACGTCATGAGGGCAGTTGCGGTGCATCTGGACTTGAGTTGATTAAGTCCTCGTCGTGCTACAGTACTAGCTTCAGCACGGACGAAGACCGCGCGCTCCCCATTCCTTTCCTTGTAAACAGATGATGGAATCCGGAGAGATCGGCTCTGTTCGAGCCCCCTGTCAGCCCTAATTACCCAGCCTATTGCTACCATGTGTCAAATTCACCTGGCCACCACTGGCACGTCGAGGGGAACGGAGCTTGATGCAATGCGGCCAATATTTCCCCCGATGACCGTCGCTAGTACTTAGCTGCACATGATCGGTACCCTGCTCAATTATCCAAATCAATTACGACCACACCCCGTGGATGCATGGCTACCCAGATTTCTCGACAAGTCATTGCCTAGGATGTACCTTATTCCTCGTCATCTTGATCCTCACATCCATTGCCATCTTGGTGAACCCAAAGGTGGGCTCCAAGGCTCCAATGAAGGGACTGGTATGAGCAATGCACACTACGGAAGAGGATCGCAGGCAAGTACATACATCTCCCACTGACATTAGTCATGAGGGGGAGCCATTATATTTTTGTCCATAGTGGTATGACTGGCAACAATGAAATCACCTCATCTCCTGAATTCAAAGATATTGTCAGTATGGACTTCGCGGGCTGTTGGAATCTGTAGCATGGCGGTCGCGACTGAAGACCTAGACGCTGGATGGACTGCCGAAACAGGCAATACCCGGGGACTGGCCAGAGCCTGGTTGCGTGTCCTGACACGTCGGTGCTTTACGCCTGGGCGCGAATTCACGAATATCGTTACTTGCCCTCCCCTCTGATGAAACTCAAGGAAATACACAGGACTTCGACCTTCGCATGGTCGCCCACCCCATCGTTGCCGTCGCTGGCGACCGGTACTGTCGCGGGGGCACTCGATGAATCCTTCAGCAATAACGGGCAGCTCGAAATATGGGCCCCGGACTTCCTCGACCGGAAACAATTCGATCTCGGCGGCGAAGGCCAGGCAGGCCCCAAAGGCACTGTTACGACTACTTCACGGTGTGTGCTTTGATTTGCGACGATGGCGGAGACGGAGGGTTGACTATACGAACCTAGATTCAACCGCCTGGCGTGGGGGTACGTCAATGCGGAACGTCCCCGCGGTCTCATCGTCGCGGGAATGGAAAACGGAGAGTTGGATATCTGGGATCCGGAGAAGATTGTTGCGAATGCGGAGTGAGTGCAACGTCTTATGCGTCGCGTCCTTTGCTATAGTACATCACGTAGGCCTGCCGAATCGCTTATCCTTCGCAACAAGACACATACCGGACCCGTGCGTGGACTGGACTTCAATCCCATCCAAACCAACCTGTTCTCGTCAGGTGCAGTGAACGGCGAGGTAAGTGTGATTCAAGGGAACATCGAACGACGATCCAACGCGTCTAGTAGATCTACGTCTGGGATCTCAAGGACCCCAGCAAGCCTTACTCTCCTGGCACGCGTAGTACGAAGCTCGATGAGATCACCGCGCTAGCGTGGAATCACCACGTCCAGTATGCGCTCGCAGCAGCTAGCAGCTCTGGATACACGGTTGTCTGGGATCTCAGAGGAAAGCGTGAGGTTGCGGCATTGGCTTACGGTGGTGGAGCGGGGACCATGGGCGGGATTCAAGGATTTGGAGGGCCTGGTATGGCAATAGGTGGACGAAGAGGAATGAGCGATGTGGCATGGCACCCGGACAACGTACGTGCACAACGTCCGGCTTCTGTGCGTCTTGACTGACTTGTATCATAGGCTACCCGTCTTGTGACATCTTCTGAAGACGATGCATCTCCCGTGATCATGGTCTGGGATCTCCGCAATGCGCGTGCCCCAGAGAAGGCATGTAATCTCTCATATGTGGTCCTGTGACGCGCCTGACTTTCGTATAAGATCCTGACTGGCCACGAGAAAGGCGTCCTATCGTTGTCATGGTGCAAGCAAGATTCAGATCTCTTGCTTTCGTGTGGTAAGGACAACCGCGCCCTGTGCTGGAACCCACAGACGTCGGAGATCATCGGCGAGGTGAGTTCAGTCACATCCTCTCGCGGCCACATCCTATTGAAACTTCTGGTTGTAGCTTCCCTCTGCAGACAATTGGGCATTCCAGGTCCAATGGTGCCCGCGCAACCCCGATCTCTTCGCCGCCGCGTTCTTCGACGGCACCATTGGTATTCACTCCATCCAGTCCACCAACGAGGCCAACGATGTACCCCCAGCGACCCCACAACCCGATGCCTCTGACATCTTCGGTGCGCCCGGCTTCTCCCGCGCGAGCCAGGCAACGCTATCACTGAAGCATCCTCCAAAGTGGCTTCGTCGTCCCACTTCGAGCTCCTTCGGCTACGGCGGCAAGCTTGTCACTGTATCAAACCTGCCCTCAGCACAGGGCAAAAATCAGAGCAGCGTCGTCCACCTGCGCAAGGTCGTCACCGAGACTACAATCGCTGAGCGGGCACAAAAGCTGCAGCAGTCGATAGAAGGCGGGGGTCTCAAGGACCTCGCGCAGGAGAATACCGCTGCGGACGAGACGTCGGCGACATGGAAGGCTCTGCTGAGCCTGTTCAACTCGAACTCGAGGGACGAGCTCATCACGCTCCTTGGGTTTTCGAAGGAGGAGATCGCTGCACGCGTCGGGGAGGCTGTCGCGAATCTGAAGAAGGCGGCGGAGAAGGCGAAAGTCACAATCGAGCAAGACGTCACGGAGACCGATCTCAAGACTCACGAGCCTGTTGTCTCCTTCGCCGAGCCCGAGCGCGAAGCCACGCCCGAAGACGAGGAGGGCGACGGTGATACGGACGAGACGGCGTTGGGCGCCGAGGCAACCCCGTCCGAGCTCAGCGCGTCCGAGACGAGTACAACCCGCCAAGCCGACGGCGAGTCAACCACAACCGCGCCCAGCTTATTCGGAGACGACAACCTGATTGGTACGCCGCAGGGCGACGCTGCCGCCGACTTCTTCGGAAGCATCGGTACGGCACGCAGCGCTGAGGACGACAACATACGCGTGCCTCATCACAATTACCCGCTGGACTCGTCCGTCGCGGCTACGATTGGTTCGCGACCCTCCTCTGTCGCTTCGGAAACGCTCAAGGACAACACGTTCAGGATCTACCCAAACGACGAATCCGAGACCGACCGCCTTGTCACGAAAGCTCTTGTCCTCGGAGACTTCGAGTCCGCCGTCTCGCTATGCCTCTCTGCGGATCGCTTCGCGGACGCGATCCTGCTCGCAGTCAAGGGCGGCCAAGACTTGCTTGCGCGCACGCAGAAGGCGTACTTCGAGCGCCGCACGACTGCGTTCCCGTACCTCCGTTTGTTCCAGTCGATCGTGACGAACGACCTCGACGACATTGTGCAGAACGCGGACCTGCAGGAATGGCAGGAGATTTTTGTTGTGTTGTGCACATTCGCGAACCAGGAAGAGTTCTCTGGCTTGGCGGAGCAGCTTGGGCAGCGGCTTGAGTTCCAATCGAACGTCATCAAGGCATCGGGCGCACCGGATGCGGAGGCGAAGAGCGTAGAGTTGAGGAGGCACGCGACACTGACATATCTTGCTGCGGGGCGGTTGGAGCGGCTTGTGAACATCTGGATCGAGGAGCTTGCGGAGGAGGAGAAGCGACTCGTTGCGGACCAGGACCACCTGGATGGATCATTGTACACTGCGCACGCGCTTGCACTGCAGACCTTCATCGAGAAGGTCACTGTGTTCCGCAAGGCGATCAACTACGTCGACGAGGACTTGAACCTGAAGACGGAGGTCGACGACTCAACGGTTCGGACGTACAAGCTGTCCGGGCTGTACGACAGGTACTTCGAGTACGCGGACTTGCTCGCGGCGCAGGCGCTCGTAAAGGAGGCCGTTGCTTTCCTGAAGCTGGTACCGTCAGAGTACGTCGGTGCAGCGGGTTCCCCATACGACTTCACGATTGGTCGGGACCGTCTCCTCAAGGCCGCGAACGAAGTCCCTACTCGCACTACGTCTCTCGCCACTGCTGGCCCTGCCGTTCCCACTAAAGTTGCTCCCGCTGCAGCTCCTCGTGTTCCCTACGGCGGTGGATATGGTGCCCAGTACGGTGTGGCAGCACAACCCGTGCTCACCCAACCCGCACCTGCACCGTCGGTCTACGATTCGTACGCGCCACAGGTACAAGCTGTGTCGTCCCAGAACGCCGGACCATATGCTCCACCGCAGCCTGCCGTGCAGCCTCAGCCGACCTACCAGCCGGCAGGCTCTGGCACGTACAACAGCTACTATGGTGGTGCTGCTCCTGGTCATGTTCAGCTACAGCCTCAGCAGGCTACCATTCCTCCGCCGCCTGCTCGTGGTGCAACTGCGACCCCCTCGGCATCGCTTCCCCCGCCTCCTAAGCGCGACCCTGGTGGCTGGAACGATGCACCTGCCGCTATTGGTGGAGCGCGACGCACTCCGGCCAATGCGAACCCTGCGAAGCCCGCCGCGATCACGTCTCCCTTCCCCAACGCGCCCTCTCCGACGATCTCCGGGTTTCAATCGCCTCCTCCACCTGGTGCCAACCTGCCGCCTCCGCCGCGCCCAGGGAGTGTCACGCAACGTCCTCCTCCCCCTCCTCAAGGTCTACGCGGGCCTCCTCCCGGCCCTCCGGGTCCTGGACCTTATCCCCCTCATGCCCGTCCTCCTTCAGGTCCTCCGGGTCCTCCTGTGGGTCCTCCTCAAACGCACATCGCCCCTCCTCCTCAACGTTTGCCCTCTGGTGCCCCTCAAGGCCCTCCTGTCATCAACCGCGGACCCCCAGGCCCCTACGGCGTACCGCCCCAAGGGCCCATTCCTCGTCAGACTCCACCTCCCCCACAGCATGCTCAGTACCCACCTCCAGGCGGACCCTCCGGCTCATATGCGCCGCCCCCGGGCGCGGGCCCCGCACCTCCCTCAGGACCGTACGCTGCCCCTCCCCAACAGCAGCCTCCGCCCTCCGGTCCGTACGCGCCCCCACCGCAAGTGCAGCAGCACTTCGCTCAGCCGCCTGGGCCCGGCGTGCACCCTCCCCCACCGGGTGGTGCGCCGCCTCTCGCGGGTCCACCGAGAGGTGTGACGCCTGGCGGTACGCCGGCGCCGCCACGCGCGAAGCCTGGTCCTCCACCACCGAAATACCGTGAGTCGCTTGAGATCCTCCTTTTGACAGACAAGTTGACTTGTGCCTGACAGCGCCTGGTGACCGGAGCCACATACCTGACGAACTCCGTCCCGCGTACCAGGTGATCACGTCGCAACTCGAGCAGCTGAAGCAAGTCACGCCGGTATGTCCTCTAGATGCAACTATCAATCACGAACGAGACTGACGCAGTCTAATTTCAGCCACAGCAGAAGCGACTTGTGGACGACCTCGAGCGAAGGATCAACCCCCTGTTCGATGCGTTGAACTGCGAGACCCTGTCAAGGCCGGTGTGCGAGCAGCTCCTGGTGCTGACTAGGGGTATGTCATCTATACCTTCACATGCCGAAGATCCATTCTGACTAGTTGTCTATCTAGCTATGGAAGCCCATGATCGCGACGCAGCGCTAGCGATTCATATGGACCTTTTGACACGTGGCTCGCTCACGGATGACATCGGCTTGTGGATGTCCGGTATCAAGCAGCTCATTGTCAGGTTGTAGGGAAATAGGCAGCCGTATGGCGATACCTGAACGGGGCAAGGGATAGGCGGTAATTTATGCCATTCACAACGACGACAAAAGAGACGATGTTGGGAGACGGAGAGTAATGCATGGATGGACTGATTTGGTGGAGCAGCGTCGTCTCACTGTTCATCACGACTGTCTATAGATAATGTCGGTTACTTCTCAGAGTCGCCATCGAATCTGCCCTCAATCTTCGACTTGTCGGTGGCCTGCCTGTGTCCTCTCACTGTCTATACCCGTGCATACTGAGAGAGTGATATTGAAGTGCTTATCCGAGCAAGGACCCACAGTATCAGCGACTACTTGACGCTTTTCGCGGATGGACGACTCGGGCGCTCTGATCTGCCAAAAGTCACACAGCATCCGTCAACACATGCACCTCTCGGTGCGACATGATTCCCTGCGAATCTGGGTGCGTTCTCTTCCAGTGTTGCTGCAACCTTAAGTAGTCCTTGACGTGCGCGTGCAACAATTCAGGGCACAAGCCGTTTCCATCAGACCGAAGCCGCTTAAACACATGCGGGGATGTCTAGTGACCCCGTGGGGACCATGGCTTTGTTCCACATCAGCAATCGCATCAACTGTGCCCCCATAGATTCATTGTGCGTAACGCCCCCATGTGCTCGCTGCCGCTTGCTCGAGTGACACATCGTCATAACGAAGCGACATTGGCCAACCTTTCCAAAGCAATCCTCCATTTAGCAAATCGTCTTGCGATTGCCCCTGATAACCTGATTTTCGTATGGCTAGGTGAACGGCTAACTCATGTCAGATGCTGAGGTGATCTTCTGCGCACGACTGTCGCAGCGGAACATCGACGCGCGCTCACGCCGTGGCACGAGTCCACATGTTTCTATTTACGATGCTAACGTCGCGAATCGCGCAAAGGATTTTGGCGATCAGGGCTCGCTGATGTACGCAGTCGCCGCTCTTATAAGTCTGCTGTCGAGGGTCGACCATACCTTGTCGGTCGACGTCTGTCCGTGCCCCGCCGCCCTCTCCGCGACCCCTCGCACCCAGGGCCTCCTACTTGTAGACTTGCAAGCCTGCTATCAACATGTTTGGCTTCCTCTCTACCACGTTGCTCGCTCTCGCTGGCAGTGCTGCCGCTCTTCCGGCACTCAAGGGCCGGGACGCGACCGAACTCTCCGCTTCCGCCCTCGCTAGCTACGCACCTTTTACCCAATTCGCGAGGGCAGCGTACTGCGACTCGAGCAAGATCATACCATGGAATTGTGGCGGTGAGTAACTATTCTGACCTTTAACCCGGATGACCAGTACTGACAAGCAAGCCGACAGAGGCTTGCGCTGCGAACGCTGACTTCGAGCCGTCGCTTACTGGTGGAGATGGGAACGACGTCCAGCTGTGTAAGTTATGTGCGCCAGATTGGTTATATGACCCCTTACCCTTGTGATTCCGCTTCCCAGACTTCGTCGGCTACTGGCCCGACCAGAATGCCGTCGTGGTGGCACACGAGGGCACGGACCCAACGCAGTTGTGCGTAATATTGAGCTTCTTTGTCTCCGGGTGATACTCACCAATCTTATCTATAGCCTATCAGACTTGACGGACGTCGACATTCCCATGGAGAACCTCAACAGTGACCTGTTCCCTGGGGTATCTTCGGATGTCCAGGTCCACAGCGGCTTCGCGAACGAGCACGCGAAGACAGCCACCATAATCCTAGATGAGGTTAAGAAGCAATTGTCCTCGTCAGGTGCTTCAACCGTCATTGCCGTAAGTGTCTAGAGTCATCTACGAACGTCTCTCCAACCATATAACCAGGTCGGCCACTCTCTGGGAGGCGCCCTCTCTGAGCTCGACGCCTTGTTCTTTACGCTCAACCTGCCTTCGAGCGTCCACGTTAAGGCTGTCACCTATGGCACACCTCGTGTCGGAAACCCTGCATGGGCCACCCTCTTCGATTCCAAAGTCTCTGACTTTGTCCGGATCGACAACGAGAAGGATCCTGTTCCTATCGTCCCCGGTCGCTTCCTTGGCTTCCAACATCCACATGGCGAGATTCACATCGTCAGCCCCGGCGAGGCCTATTCATGCCCCGGAGATGACGATGCTACGGATCCTCAGTGCACTATTTCCCAGGTTCCGAACATTGCAGAAAGCAATATCCTTGATCATCTTGGTCCTTACGAGGGCATCTACATCGGCACGCTTTTCTGCACATGAAAATACACACCGCTCGACGAGAAGGTGTATCACATGTTGTACTGTTCAGATGAATCACATTGAATTTCAGCTTTCAGGGTGTTCCAAGTGCCATGAAGTAGTGTAGAAACTCTGTGTATGGTCCACGGAGGCTACGCCGCGACCTCCCTCACGAACGCCGCCTGCCGAAACCGTAGCATGCGGGGACTCTGTGTACACCCTTGAAAAGACGGGCACCTCCTAATATCAGTAGCTTGTAGGACATCTAGACCGATCACTCCCCCAGCGAATTTCCCTGTTTTCGACGAAACGCACGGAGAACATTGCGATGAGCTCATGGAGAATCCTGTACGGATTCCTTGTCCCAGCGTCGGCTAGCTGTTGGCTTGGGCGCTGAACAGAGCGGCTTAAGACAGAGTCCACGGCTGTGTCTGCATCCCGTACGGGTAGCGTAGTCTCTATCCGAGTCCACAGTGGAAGGACTTCAAGATTGGTCGCCAAATTCTTTATAAACTCGCCACTCACCGCCGGCTGAAAGCCTTGAGAGAAGGGATTCGGAACAGCAACACGCTAGTCCTTGTCGAGGATCATGGATCATCCATTGCTACCATTCGTCATAGCAATATCACTCTCGAACATTTATGACATTTAGGAGAAAGACAAGGCCCGTGGCTCTGGCCTCCCCATCTAGCATGCTATCAGTGGTGTTGGATTCGTCCACATGCACCTACTAATGCTATTGCTGTGCGCTTCTGCAAGTAGTGTAGATATGATGACTACTATACAGCAATTGTGTAAGACATACATGCACGTGAGATAGCCTCTGATGCCCCCATCCGAGGCATAACGCCCCCTGATTCTGGCTGTAATGTTACACAGCCGCCGCGGTGCTGATCGAGTGCAGCTCAGTCTCATCGTCGACCTTCGATGTGGTATTTCCGTGGACATAAACCTCGATGTTCGAGTCAGCCCCAGTCAGCGCAGTCATAGTGGTACCTGTCAGGCCCGTGACTCTTGTCTCCGACTTCCTCGCGATATTCCATGTCATTGTGCGACTTGGATGCTGGGTGTAATAGTTGTCGTCGTGCCGCTGATGGCCGACACGGAGAATGACAATTGAGAAGATGATGCCAGTCAACGGGGTTGCCTGTGCAATGGACATGAGCACACCCCGAAGGAAGGTTTGGGTTTGGGGGGGGGGATCTACTTGCCATTTCAGACATGATCTCTAGGCCTTGTGAGCCGAAGTTGAGGGTCATCACATAAACGAAGAGGTACGCCGCGTTGATCATGCCACTCTCCAAGATGATGCGGACGATAGGGGTGAGGCTTGAGCCTTGCGCCCGCTCCGCCGTGACCCGTGCCATCTGCCGATCGACATACCAGATGCGGAATGCAAGCAGGGCTAGACGAAAATCATAAGTAGCTGGAGACAAGTAGACATGTAATTGGCACTCACACGTAGCGATCGCGTTTGCAACCAGACTGAGAGAGAAGAATGCCTTCAACCATGTCGCTTCGGAAAGCACCGTTTGGTTGGGGAGATTGCTATACGCCCACATTGTGTATGAACCCGAGACTAGATCCCCGTTAGCGACTCGTCACTCTTATGAAAGAGAAACCTCCCATACCTGCGCTAATAAGGGATAGGATGACGGGTAGGATTATAACCCATAAAGTCTTTCCCCAGACCACCCAACACCGATAGTTCTACAGCAAGCCTCGATCAGATTAGGTGCATCCGGACAGAAGATGTATGTTCAGCTGACCACGAAAGAGTCCCCAACAAGCAAGACGGCGATAAGTATACTGTGCTTGGTCGTGAAAAGCGGCCGAGTGACATCCGCCAGATACGCTATGCGCGCCGAGCGAGGATCATGGTGGATAAACGCGACGAATACGTTCGAAGTATCGACTGCGAACCGTGCCGTAGCGAGGAGAATGAGTAGGACGCCAGCAGTGATCATCGGCCAGCTAAGCTGTGAGCCATATCGCGCACGACGCCGTACGAGGTCATAGCTGCACACGCAGAACAGACAGACGAAGACACCTATGAGTCAGGAAGAGTGAGTAATAGCGGCAATCGTTTTCAATAGAGCATAGTAGCTGACCGTATAAGGCGCCCTCAGCCGCAAGGCCGGCGAGCTCAGCGACGTCGATTAGCATAGGCATCGTAAGGACAACGCTTCCGCTGGTGCTGCTGCCGTAGACGTATGTAGGTGGTACGAAGGTGAAGAAAGGAGCGGAGGTAGATTGCGATGGGATACGAGTCAGCTACCCGGCCGGTGAGTCGTAGCCTGAGCCGAGTCCTAAGCGACGTCAAGATATCTGACAACAACTCGGCATTCACAACTCATCACTATATAGGCGATTACGGCACACCGCTGCGTACGGGGCCTGAGCGCAAACGCCAAGATCTTCGGCGACGATAGCTCCGCCAGTGTCACATAACAGAACGACATGGCATTTGACGCAAAGCTTCGCCAGGAACTGTAGCACGAGCTGGAGATCATAACAGCGAATCAGCCCCTGTGTAAGTTGACATGAGACAGCACCATGGGACAGCGACCAAGTGGGCGGATTGACAGTCGCTGCGTAGCCGCCACAACGCCGCCACCGAAGACGCGAAGATGCGCTCACTTAGTGGTGAGAATACATGGTGTCCTCGTGGTAGCCCGCTGACATCCCGCACAGGCTCGGATGGCAATTTGTGAGGAGAAGCCGTGGAGCACTTGGGAGTCCGCTGGCACCGGGGCTTTGTATGAATCACAAACTTTGATGCAGAGCGCTAGCTGATCTCGGGCACAGCGGCGTCCATAGATCGCCTGAACATCTGCTGGCGTGTCTGCGAGCAGGCTGCAAGAGGCCAGAGGTGGCACCCTTGTGTCTCACCAGACGACAAGCGTGGTCTTCGAGGATGGCTGATAACAGAAGGAGATCCCAAGCAGGTTCAAGGTCCCGAAGAGTAGATGGCATCGTGATGAGTACGATCACCCAATCATCCATGAGAACCGGAGCAACAGATTCAGCGGAGAAGCCATGAGAGCTAAGGATCCTTTACTGTACAAATGGGATGACACTTCAAACAAGCCCAGGTTCCGACGGGGTGCGGGAAGACGAGAAGAAGACATACGTCTAGGCTTGAGGACTCGGCAGTTCAGTTCACCAAGGGCTCGATGACGATGCCCTTGCTCCAGACCTTCTTGGGGTCGTACTTGGCCTTAACTTTGCGCAGCCGTGCGTAATTGTCCCCGAAGACGTCCTCCGGCATCTCGTGGCCTTGGCACATATTGAGGAACCAGCCGATATCCTTGCCGGACAACTCCGCGTTCTTCTTGCGCACGAGCTCCACGATGGACTCCGTGAACTCCTTGCACGCCTGTACAGACGCATCTGTTGTGGACCTACGATGGATACAGAACATGAGCTCGATTGTTCAACTCGACAGCACTGACATGACACGGGGACATGAGCAGGGTCGCGCACCTTCCTTGCACAGCCATCCAGTAGTATGGCATGCGCTTGAGCGCGGTGGCGTCGGACGGGACTTCCGCCATCTTGTCGGGGACAGTCAAGTCCCAGAGGACTGCAGACCCGCGGACCTCTTCGCTGGTCTCGGTGAACGCCACCCATCTATCCCAGACAGTCTTCAGGAGTTCGGGGAAGAAGTCCGAGAACATCGTGCCACGGATGGCGAGTCGCCGCGGGGCCGTCGCCAAGGAGGCATCCGCCGCGTGCGAAGCAGTAAGCATGTCGGGAACTGTCCCGACCTTGTCGAGGACGGGCTTCACTTCGCCGTCGCGGAAGGGCGCAAGGACAGCCTGCGCGCGCGATCCGTCCGCGTCGTGAAGCACTGTGGGTAGGATCACAATCGATGGCTATGAGAGAAAAGATCAACATGATGCATCCCAACCGGAAAGGCCAGAAGACATGCCTTGAAGTGAGGGGCAGGGCGCGAAAAATTCATCGTGAAACGCTCCCTCGGCGTCTGCGTCTTCTTCCATTCCTAGGGCCAGACACGCGCACAGTTAGCCTATCGTCGATCATCTGCTGCGCAACAACCACCCGTACGTACTGGGATGATGGCAAGGATCTTGTCGATTTCAGTACCGGGGAATGCGAGGATCCCGGACGATATCGGACCCGCGGGAGGATGGGTCCTGAAGACGAATTCCACGACGATCCCGAACTGCCCACCGCCGCCTAACAAGAAGGCGCAGTGAGCCGGGGGCAGATGCTATGCAAGGTTTGAAACCTACCGCGGATAGCCCAAAAGAGATCCGGCTCCTCATTGTGACTTGCTCTCACGATACGACCGTCGGCGAGAACCACGGTAGCCGAGATGAGGTTGTCGACGGCGGTGCCATGCTCAGCCGTGAGAGGGCCAAATCCGCCACCCAAAGTGAAGCCCCCGACACCGACGAACCAGAGTGGAGAACCTACAACGTCCACCTTAGCCTTGGAGGTGACTTCATACACATCACCCCAGTACGCGCCGCCTTGGACGGTGATGGACTGCTTGTCCTCCGCGAGGGTCACCTTGTTCAGCTTGCTGAGGTCGATGACGATGCCTCCGTCAGAGCTCGCCCAGGTGGACGAATGAGCACCGCCACCCTTCACGGCGATCTCAATAGGAGGGGTTTGCGAAGTCGCGTACGCGAGAACAGGGGGAATGTCTTCGTACACGGCGGGTTGCACGACGTACTTGGCGGGGAGCGAGGATAGATCCGAATTCCGCTTAAGAGCCGCAGTGTACGCCTCTCCAGAGTCGGGAGTGAGGATCGTGCCCTGGATCTTGAGAATGTCCATGGATGCTGGTGATGTCGACGACTTCGCTGAGGCTGAGGTTTCTGTGGCAAGTTGCTTGTTGCCCTGGGTGGACGATGACCTGGTGAAAGCGAACGGAAAGATGGAGCGCAGACACTGCATGATATCCAAGATGTCAGCGGGCGACGGGCGGTCAGAGCTGCATGGGGATCCGTACGTTGTAGAAGCGTCTGGCTCAATGTAGACCATTCGCTGGTGTGACCAAAGACTTGGCTTCCGCTATGTCTATGAGCGAGAAGTGGTCCAGAAGGCTTCCAGATGCTGATCCCCCACGCGGCCCGAGCGGTGATGAGGCTCGCAGCGAAGGAGTTGGCGCCCCTCTTCATAAGCATGGGGTCGGGAGAACGATATTCACGCTTCCGTGTGTGCAGTGGCAGGGTGCAGAAGCGGCGCTGTGTATTCGGGCTCGACGATGGTGGCGGCGAGGAGAAGCAAGCGTGCGCTGCCCATCACGGTGAGCGCCAGCTATCGGCCTTCTCCCTCATCTATTACAGACCTCATGCGGGTGTACTCTCAGCTTCGTTCCTTAGTCGCGGTAGAAAACAACGCCCCTGGGTTCGGTTCCAATGCAGTCTTCAGTACAACGTCTAAAATCCAGCAACCGATCCCTCGATCAATCTTCACCGGGTTCTGTTCTTTGCCCTGCTCTCTGATAGAGCTGAATGTGTTATCGGAGTGAGTAGAGAAAATCAATCCCCAACAAGATCAGGTACGTTCGTCCATCATCCTTCTGGTATCCGCATGGGAGAATAGGTCCAAGTCGGCCAAGGAGCGCAGAGTCGATGTCCCGCGGCAAGTACGGGACACATCCAATATCCGACGTCCATGGTCTTAGAAGACCCTAGCTATTCACCCACAGGGTCCCGTCCGAACGACGCCCGCAATCTGGCGAACAAGCCTCACTACGTCTTCGTCCTCCTGTCGGAGTCCCTTGCGCAGCACCTGGGATCCCAGGATCAAGCAGATTAACGCACCAGCTGCAATCTTGAATGATCCGCTTGCGTTCGGGTGCTACTGCGTTCACCTCACATTACGGCATGGTGGTTGTTGTCATCGCCGGGGGGAACCTTAGGACTCAGTCATGGCAGCAGTGAAAACGCCTGTAAGTGCCGTTTATCGTGTGAGTGAACGGACATCTTCGAACCCCATCTGAGAGTGTTGCTGGGTGACTGAGTTGTCCAAACTCGTGTAGCTCCTTCCGGCTTATGAGGCCTCCATATATCACGTTTTGCCATAAGTGGAGCATTCCTACATCGATGGCTTGCTTAACGCCTATGGAGGAGCTTACAAATGGTGCAATACTGTAACCCAAAAAGAACTTGCAAACGGTGTACAGCGAGCGCGTGATGTAGGCTGCGGTATATATGCTCTCTCGACTTCCTATGGGATGCTTCTGCCTAAGCGGTACTACACGCTCAGCAATATCCGCCCGCGCTTTCGTGCCCTCTTGTTGGTATCATCCTTACTGTCATGACGGCGTCTCCCCTTGCAATTGATACGACCGTACGCTTGCGGTCTGGTACGTATTGTCTCGCTCTATCCGACTGGTGCTCGTATTGATTTGAAGCCTTTCGATCCAGGCTATGAACTGCCTCTCCTCGGACTTGGCGTTTATATGAATGACGATGCCAAGACAGCATCCCTGGCAGCTTTGAAGGCTGGCTACCGGTACGCCAATGTCATTGTTTGTACGCATATAGACTGACAGGCGACCCTGTGTTTGATGCGCAGTCACATCGACTCTGCTCGTATGTACGGCAACGAGGCTCAAGTGGGCGAGGCTGTTCGGGAGAGCGGCATCCCGCGAAACCAAATCTACATCAGTACGCTCTTCACATGTCAAGCGTGGGACTGGGTTGGCCGCTCATGATCACGCAGCGTCGAAGGTGACCAACGACGACCATGGCTACGAGAAGACTCTCGCCGCTGTAGACGAGTCGCTGAAGACGTTCGGGTTCGATTATTTGGATTTCATGCTGATTCACAGCGCGATGTCCGACAAGCCCACCCGCCTCGCTACCTGGAAGGCCCTAATCGAGGCGAAGAAGGCGGGCAAGATCCGCTCCATCGGCGTTTCGAACTAGTCAGCTTCTTTCATTCGTGGAAGTGGGGTCGGATTTCCTCACATAGCGATGTACAGTGGCGTCAAGCACCTAGAGGAGATCCGGGAAGCCGGCCTGGAACTTCCCGACGTCAACCAGATCGAAGTGAGAGAACACGCTCTTGCTGCGGTCGTCGCGGCGTGTTGCTCACATTGCCACGAATAGCTTCAACCGTTGAACCAACAGAAGGAGATCGCCGAGTACTGCAACAAACATGGCATCTTCATCGAGGCCTACGCTCCGCTCATGCGGACCCAGTGGGATGTTCCTGCGATCCTCGAAGTCGCGAAGAAGGTCTGCCCCTTCCCCCACTCCCACGGGTATATTGAGCACTCATGCTCCGCCGCAGTATACCAAAACACCTGCTCAAATACTGGTTCGCTGGTCCCTGCAGCGCGGGTACGCCTCCTTCAGCCTACCATGCTCGTTTCAGGCTAACAGTTGACGTTCTCTCAGTTTCGCACCCTTGCCGAAGTCCGCAAACCCTGCTCGAGTGGCAAGCAACGCAGATGTCTACGACTTCGAGCTGAGCGCAGAGGACGTAGCTCGTATCGATGCTCTCGACCGTGGCAAGGAGGGCACTATTACCTGGAACCCAGTTGATGTTGACTGAGATTGGTGCTCGAGCGTGCCAGGGGCGGTATTGTTTGAAATGCATTTGATCAGACCCAATTATTGTGTGCAATACGTGGTGGCTTCGAAGGCATCACACTTACTATTGTTGTCTGCGGTATCCAGTTGGATGCTTTATGAATTTGAAAGACTCCTTATGGCGCTGTGCAATGCCCTACAGTCTAGACCGCTCAGCCTCGCTCTGCCCGTACGAACAAACCGGAGGCGGTGGTCCGAGTTCTGGTACCTAGGCTTTGGGCGCTGCTTCACTTACGGTGTCTCTATTAGCGCGAGCGGTCGTTTTTTCACGGGTCTTTGCTCTCTGCCACGATGACTCCGCTCTTCGGGAGGATCCTACAACGGCATCCCACCTATGCGTTCTATACGTTCTGATCAGGCGATTCTAGCTTCAAACCTTGTGAGCAGGCGTGTGCAATCGGAACTGGAGTTGGTAATCCATTACACACTGGGAGTAATGCCCGATTGTGCTCGGAGGGTGACTGGCCCACACCGGACACTGGAGCCAATGGCATCTGCAGTCTCTTGTAGGATTCTTCTATACGTTTAGGGACTGCGCACCGATGCGCTATCACAGCACTACACCATCATGATGAGGTCTTCCAACTGGGTGCATCCCTCCGTTTGGGTACTTGAGCCAGAGCCGTCCACGTTTGCGCCTAGCGGAAGATGGTCGAATAAGGATATGGACCCTGTACCGCCCGAGAAGGTGAGCGAGGTTGGCATAGATATCAATGTGCAAGCATCTGACCGTTGTGACCAAGCGGACGTGGTCTACCTTGAACTACGTTGCCTACTGGGTTTCAGATGCGTGGAATGTCGCTGTCTGGCAACTTGCGTCTAGCATGCTCACGATAGGTTTGTCGTGGTAAGTGTCGACCTCGCGCCTTGAAGCAGTCGCTGAAACGTTCCTTAACCCGATACAGGCGACAGGCCCTCCTCGCGATTGCGGTCGGGCATGTCATCATCTCGATTGTAATGGTCCTGAACGGGACGATTGGAGCAAGGCTGCATGTCGGGTTCCCTGTGCTTTTACGGTCGTCCTTCGGTTTTTGGTTTAGTTACTTCAGCGTCATCAGTCGGATGGTGCTCTCTATGTTTTGGCTGGGCATCCAAGCATACACGGGGTCGCAGTGTGTATACCAGATGCTCAAAGCGATATGGCCGTCCATTGCGCGGATGCCGAATCATCTCCCTCCGGGTGCAAACGTCACTACATCAGGTACGATCCGAACAGCGGTCTTGAACAATTTTAGCTGCTAATAATACTGGATATCCAGGACTTCTGTGCTTCTTCCTGTACTGGTTGTTCCTGCAGCCCTTCATGTTCGTGTCGCCCCAGCGCATACGATGGCTTTTCATGTTGAAGGCGTTTATCGTGCCTCCGGCTTGGGTAGCTATACTGATTTGGGCCTTCGTCAAGGCTCCAACCCGTCGGGATCTCATGGATCAGCATAGCTCACTATCTGGGAGTGCCCTGTCCTATGCATGGTTGACCGCGCTGAACAGCGCACTGGGAATCTACGCGACTCTTGCGGTCAACATCCCAGACTTCACGGTGAGTACGTACGCAGTTGTCATCAAACCGATGCTCATCCGTATGTGCAGCGCTATGCCAAGAACGAACGAGCGTGGGTGGTGTCCTCATTATACGCAGGTATACGGTCCTTACAGCCTCATTGTCAGGCAATACATTCAGTTGCTCATAATCCCTAGCGCTTTCACCCTCGTTGGATTCATCGGGATTGCTGTGACCTCTGCGGGAACCGTCCTTTACGGCAAGATCCTTTGGAACCCCCTGCTTCTGATCGACCACTGGGACAACCGCGCGGCGGCTTTTCTTGCCTCTTTGACATTCGCGCTAGCCACTCTAGGCACGAACGTGTCTGCGAATACCATTTCCGCTGCCAACGACATGACCGTGCTCTTCCCGCGCTATATCAATATCAAGCGCGGGCAGATCATCACTGCAGTGGTCGCACCATGGGCGTTCGTTCCATGGGAGATTCTCTCGAGTGCGAAGGGGTTCCTTTCGTTCATGAACGGATACACTGTTTTCCTGGGCCCTTTTGCAGGAATAATGGTTGCAGATGTAAGTAACCACGAGGAAGACTGAGACGATGTACACGGCTGAAAATCTTTCAGTATTGGATCGTCCATCACTGTAGGGTTGACGTGCCGTCAATGTATCGTCCGTACGGACGTTACCGGTACACGTATGGCTTTGTGAGTACAGAATTACATGCGGTTGCTTTCGACCTCACGACAATGCGCAGAATTGGAGGGCAGTTGTCACGATTCTCGTGGCGGTTCCTCCTAATATACCTGGTCTAATTGCCGCTATAAACCCTGCGGTGCGGATTGGTGGCACTTTCAAGCTCTTTGACTTCGCATGGCTTTTCGGTGTACGTGATGTTTCTTATCAGACCGTTGGTGCAATACTTATGTTCAAACAGTTCTTCGCCTCTCTGGTTGTTTATTCTGTCTTATCGCTAATGTTCCCCGCGAGAGAAACGTTCATCGGGGAAGCCATCACCGACCAAAATCAGAATACATCAGAGAGCGACGGTATATCGCTATCGGAATCGAAGGAATCGGTGTAGAGTAAGTTGTAGACCATAGTCGAGATTGCTCCTCCCTTGTTTCTCTTCCTTTTTGCGACGATAATGGAGTAATCTGAGAAATCGTCAGGTCAGGAATTATCTGTACGGGTGTCAGGCTTTACATATTGTTCACTCACTCAGTATATCAATGGGATCAAGCGATGCGGAGTCTTTCTCGCCCAATCTTCCCATTGGACTCCGAACTCCTTCTCCAAAATCGCGTCTTCCTCCGCAGTCCTCTTGAGTAGGTTGACGGTAACCCAACTCAAATATCCGATGATCGAACCCGCGACTGCCCTTCCCGTGATTGTCTTCCACAGTCCCGCCTCCCTGAAGTACGACCCTCCACTCGCGAGCAAAGCGAAGTTACCGGCGATGAGGAGCAGCCAGCCGGTGTAGCCCGGATGACGTACAATGGAATAAGGCCCACTCGTGATCAGCTGGTGATTGTCGCGGACAGCTACCTCCCACGTAAAGAATCGCCCCAATTCCCGATGGCACCAAACGCGAATCAGGCCTCCTGAGATCCCGAGAGCACACGCTACTGCGGAAATGGGGGTGAGTTGCAACGAACTTGAGGAACGCCTCGCGGGGAAGAAGTAGGAGAGGATGTGATCAGAGAACGGCGATGGGAACTGGCGGGCCAGGACCACTGTGGCTTCGATCAATGTGATGCTACACAATATGGTCTTATGCATCGCCAACAATGTCAGTCAAATGTCATTTATGCGTATCGCTTTGCAAGCGCACCTTGGCAGTGGATGTGCATGCTTTCAGGAATTCCGGAAAGCTGGCATGGGACACGAAGTCGGGTGTGACGGTCCCTATCCGCTTGACCTCGGATGCGGATGCAGCTCCTGTAGGGGGTGTCATCCCATGATAGGTACACACAGCATTTCCAAGGAGCAGGGGGACTTTGAGGAGCGGGGTGCTCAGGCTGGCAGATACGAAGAAGACCATCTTGAGCTGCACATTCGACGGTTGCTCTAGTATAAGACTCCCTGATAATCAGGCACATGTCAGCTCAGCATTGGCTGCCAGTCCAAGAGATCGAGGATCATGAGGACACTGGAAGCATGGAATCAAACGTCACGTCTTCACGATTGGTTCTATTGCCGACGGCAGCAGGGACTTCAATATACAAAGGGGATTAGACGGTATGGTGTCTGCTTCGCCCAAGTATCCCATTGCGCCTGGAACTCCTTCTTCAGTACAGCATCTTCCTTGGCTACCCTGCCGATCAAGTTTACGGTGCTAAACAAACAGTACCCAAAGCTCGCAAGGGCTACAATTCTTCCCAAGAGTGAATCACGTAGACCCGACTCGATGAAGTACGACCCGGGACTCGCGAACGATAAGAAATTGCCGGCGATCATGAAGATCCACCCGGTATAGCTCGGGTGCCGGACAATGGAGTACGGCCCACGCGTTATGAGCTCGTGATCGTCGCGGACGGCCATCTGCCAAGTGAAGAATTTTCCCAGCGCACGGTGGCACCATACGCGGATAAGGCCTCCCGCAATCCCAAGGATGCATCCAGCGGCAGAGAGTGTGGTGATATTCAGCGATGCAGCCGCTGGTGCGCTGTTCCCAGCGGCGGGGAGAAGGGCGTCAAGAACGAGACCGGAATATGACAACGGGATGTCTCGCACGACGAGCACAATGGCCTCGGCGATGGCTACCCCGCACAACACATACTATGGTAACGCACAATGAATCAGAACACTTCCTCGGGCCGACCAAGAGACGCTGTCACCTTCGACGCAGCCGTGGCAGCCATCTGGATCCTGGTGGTCCTAGTCATCAGGTCAGGTACAGTGAACCTGAGCTGCTCCTTCGTTGGCGGCGGTTGCCTCGGTGGAGTCATGCCGTAGTAGGTGAGCATGGAATTGGTAACCAAGAGAGGAACCTTCAGTAGTGGGGTCGTTGAAACGAATGGAGCCAAAGAAATCATGTTGAGCAGGATGTGGAGGGAATACACGGTCGCTCGAGGCGAGTTCTAGGCGCAATTTGTATTTTGACGTGGGCGCTGCCACGAATGTCGGGGGGAAGAGGCGCACTTAGCATGGTCTCTCACGCACCGCTGTGCTAATAAAATCCTTATTGGATCCGGGCTCCAGCGGTGCTTCTTGCAGATGATGATATCCTCCCATACGGGAAGCAGTTGTGTCCGCCAGATACTCGCAAAGACTTGCAGGCGGAAGCAAGTTCGACACTCATGTACAATAAAAGAGTAGCTGCAACCCAAGTCTACAGGTATTTCATCACAGCATAGCATGCTGACGTGCGGGGTTAAGGAGATGCGGGGGCAAGGAGATGCGCATGACAGATTATGCCACTGATTGGGCTAACTGAGCAAGGGGACGCCGTGCTCCTTCTTGATAAGGTCGGAGGCACGCTCTGCAATAGCGTATACAGGGGCCTGAAGATGAGCTCCGAAGATGTGTGGCTGAAAGCAGTGCCGTCGGTATACACGATCCGAACGCAGAGTAACAATGGTTAGACGTACGAATATGGATGCGTCCACTATTCTGAGCCCGCTCGCGCCATTCACGAGGAGGTTAGAATTGACGACACCGGAGCCAAACTCCGACGTTGACATCCTAGCGGTTCCCATGGGGTGACGAAACGTAGTTACGAGATTCGTGATGTACGCATGGATGTCTACGTCCGTGGTCGTGTTCACAGCGTCCACGAATGGCGTGACGATGAAGTCCTTCCACGGGGAGGCGGCCGCGAAGCGGTGAGCGGCCTTCACCGCTTCAGTCAATGTCGCCAGGTCCGAGGGTGTCTGCATGAAAGCGGGATCAATAAGGGGTGCGTCGAACACGGACGTCGTAGCGAGCTGCACGGATCCTCCTGTAATCAGATCTCAACAACAGATTCACCGCCCACGTTCATGGAACAACGAGTTGACTCACGCGATGTCGGCGCGACAAGCGCGACACACATGCTCATGAAATTGCCTGTAGCAGGAACCGGCTCCGTAAAGGACAGGAAAGAATTCTGAAGAGAACAGGCAGGAGAGGTCAGATACGCCGAGGCGATGAACGCGATGTGAACGGACATACCCCAAAAGTCAGCTCGAAATGCGGAGACAGGGGCCCCGCGGTCGTGTCTCCAAACTCACTCAGAACGGAAGAGTTGGGTGGGAGCCGGAACCACCCGATTTGGTTCCCTCCTGGATTGTTCGATATGACGCCCTGCTTCGTGGCGTTGTATACTGCCATCGCGGCGTTGAAGATGTCGGGGTTCCTGTTGATGGTCTCGAGCGTGTTGGTGGTATTGACTTGCCATTGCAGCGGAACCCACGGATGGTCCTGCATGTGCTTCCCTACGTCAGGGGCGTCGACAACCGTGGTGATTCCAAGTCTCGTGAGTTCCTCTTTGCCACCGATTCCTGACAACATGAGAATCTGTGGGGTACCAATCGACCCTAGAACAAGAAGAATAAGATGAGAGATGGCGGCGCAGTTCGGCGGTCTCACCTGCAGATAGAATAACCTCCTTCTTGGCCCTGATTTGCACCTTCGTCCCTGATACACCAATACTGGTAAGTTCGGAACCGATCAACTTGTCCGCTATGAACTCACCTGAATCACACTGGGCGAGCTCCACGCCCAGGAAAACGGGTTTCCCATCCTTCCGCTCCGTCTGCAAGAGGCGCGTTACGCGAGTCCCGATGAGAACATCCAGGTTCTTGCGATTGATCGTCTCCTGCGCGAGGAATGCCGTCGCAGCGCTGCTGCGGACGCCGTGCCCGATGGTCGACTGCAGCCAACCAACCCCAAGTGGGTTCCCGGAGTTCATATCCAGATTGAACGGGAATTCGGACAACTCCGACGTCGTCTGCAGCACCCGTGAGTCCAGGACGCTCGCATTGCCAGGCAAGCTCGTCAGGACTGGGCCTGTCTTCCCATGGACGGCAGGGTCCACCTGACCCGTGGTGTTGTGATCATCCGCAGGCGGTGTGAGCGTCTCGCTCTGCACCAGGGAGCAATCCGCGGTCAGTGGAAACCTGAGAATCATATGAGGGAGCGCTTGCCTTGAGAATGTATGGAAGCATTGCTTTCCAAGACCAGCCCTCGTCCCCGGAGATACGTGCGAGCCGATCAAACTCATCTGATGACCCGCGCGTGTAGAACATGAAATCTAGGTCTCCGGTCAGGGCTCAGTCCGACCAGATCGGAGAGTGGGTCGCTTACTGGTGGAGCTGCTTCCGCCAAGGACGTGACCCCGGGGATATGCCAGCGTCCTGTTTTGGAGTGCTCTCTGAGGCACTGTAGTATAGTTCCAGTCGAACGACGCAGGTATGTCGGCGACGAAATAAGGTACTTGAATGTCGTCGAGATCAGGACCGTCGATGTTGCTGCGCTCATGAGTGAGTACGTTACGCAAGAGTAGCATAAGTGGTGGCTTTACCTTCTTCCAGCCTCAACAACGAGAACGTTGACTTCCGGCTGTTCAGTCAAGCGGTTCGCCAAGACGGACCCCGCTGTTCCTCCCCCGACAACGATGAAGTCATACGACTTCTTTGTGAGCCGTGTATGGTCGGTCAGGAGCGCAGCTAAACCATTCTCGAGGAAGCAAAGTAGCGCGATGAGGAAAGAGCGACGAATAGACATCTGCGGTGAGGGGTCTGGGCGGAAATCCTGACGATATGTCACGCCTCTTGAGGCGGCCTAAATAATCAGCGCGAAACAAGCATCACGGGCATGAAGTTGAATTACACAAACTCGGGCTATATTTTCACGATCATGCTCCCTGGGAGGACTGGCACAAACTGACCTGGCCAAGCAAAGGGCGGTCCTGTAACCGCAGTACCTTCTCATGAACAGGCAAATACAGGGTGTCGACGCGAATCCAGTGCACGACGCCCAACATTGCCCTATTGATCAACATCGGGCCCGCCGCCGCCCATCGCCCAGTCGCCTCCCGGGCAAGCGTCTTGTGATAACGTACACGACTTGACCAATGGGACGCTGTCACGACAGCCCGGTACGCGAGTTGCAGAGTGGTTATTAGACCACACAACAAATGGAAATCTCGCTTCATGTCCCAGTTCAGGGATGCCTTAACCCAGCCGAGCATTACGCACACCGAAAGGAGTGTGGATCAATTGCAGCGTAAAGAGGGAGGCGTGTGCCCTTCATTGTCACCTAGGAGTTGCAAGTGATGGTAATTACCATGTCGTGTCTGATTCAATCTCCGGCATCATAGAGCCAGCCGACTGGAGTGCCACGAAGGCGAAAGGAACGTTGGGCGGCGCTATCGCGGTTTGAGTGTGCTACTGCGGAACATCTGTCAAAGACACAGCCGAGAACCAGTGGATTGTCTGACGTACCGGATGAAGCGATCGGTCAAGTGGAACGAAACGCCCCATCCACACAAATGGTTGGATTTTTCCACGTCAACCAGATGGCAGCCGAGGATATTGGCCGCAGCATGTCGTCCACCACGTTATGACATCTACGAACTGCCCCATGAGCTATGTAGTAGTCGTCAGACATCTCCGAGGGTGGCACGCTGGCTAGGACAGCGTCGTACGAACTGATTCTATCTGCAAACCCCAAGACGTGACGTCAGCCTGGAAGTAGTAAGGCACAATGCTGGTAATCGTTTATAGCACTGAGAAAACACAGCCGCCTTGGTACAATAGAGGGGGTGAAGACACGGTGTGCCCCGCCTTGACTCCGTACTGATCGTGGCAAGAATCACTGTGGCGAGTGTCGAGGGATGATAGAATGCCTTGCGTGCGACGCGAGCGGAAGCGAAAGTAGATCCCATGTGTTGCACTCACCAATAGCATTGGAGGGGTCAAGAAGTCCCGTCGCATCCTGACCACAGCGGAGGCCTGTACATGATGGAACCTCAGGAACACCTGGGATCCACATCCCACATTCGATGGCTGAGCTTTACATCGGCTGAGTTGGGCCGCCCGTAGAAGCGATGGGTATTGAGATCGATGAATGGAGTTCTTGTGTCTGGCGTTCTCGGATGTCGATATAGAGCGATTGTTTGGACCCCCATGAACTTTTGAACACTCCAGGCACAGCATGCGAAGAGAAACGAGGGAATGTACAGTGAGACGGGTAGCAATTAGGCTGCCGTTCCAGTACTATATGATGATACATAGGACAGATGAACAAGCGCGTCAGAAAGGCGTCTATTACACCGTCGGGCACGCGCCGGCGAGTCGGCCCGAGATAGGCGGGTGGGCCCAACCACTCAGCGCCCAACCTCTTCACCGTCATCCTCTTGACGGTCGCCGTACCCGCCCAGCTCAAGACGGCTCAATTGAACATCAGGGAATGGGAGACGCGCTTCGAAGCGGTATCGCCATGCGAGTCAACATCGATGAGCTTATAGGCTACACCGGTATGCCCTGTCTGTATATCTTACCCGCTCATGCACTGATATTGACCACTGGAGACTCGGACAAATATTGGACAAACTCACGTCCCCAAGGTCGAACGCGCCTTTGTTTGTGTCGACTGCTGACTTGCCGAGGACGCGCGCGACGCACGGGAGAAAGTGTGCCTCGAAGTATTGTATGTATGTCTCCACGGCGGGCAAAGCGCCAGGCTCCAAGCAAGGAAATTTGTGCGGCATTTATGGGCAACGCAACCTAACTCTAGCATTTCCAGTGGGCCTTTGTATCCCTCTTTGTGATTTGGGAAATCTTATGGGCACGTTGCATGGTCCGTATATCTAGCATAGATTTCCTCACCTGGACCATAGCGCTTTGCCTGCCGTGCTCGTGGCTTCGCTCCCAGCTTCGACAAACGCCGCGAGGTCGAGCGCGAGAAACTGCTCCTTCCCGCCTGCGTAAGAATCGCGCGGAATCGGTACCAGCTCCTGATTTCGACACCCGCGGACGCCGAGCGCTCCATCCTCAGTCATCATTCAGAAGAGATTATGCATATTCTGACTACATACTAGATCGCAGTCACCCACAGCGCGGCATCAGCGCGCAGCAGTCAAGCGCGGGACGTCTATGACCTTCGGAGTGGGCTGTTGACGTGCCGGCGTAGTCAATCATAGGACGCGTCCTCTCGCCTTGTGAGTAAGTAAAGGACATGCTCTTCTAAGCAAGACGATGGTTGGGCGCCATACGCTATTGCCGAGATGTTACTCTGGAAACGCTACACAGGCCATTGGAAAATGGGCCATGTATATAGGCTTCCGTATGCTGACAGATCCGGCAGAAAGCAGAGCAGCAGTACTTCCAGGAATTTCGAGGAACGATGTCCGGAACAAAGCGGATTACCCTCTACAGCGCGGTGGTGAGTTCTTCCTGCGATCTGTCTCGGCGCCGACTCACGACGAGCAGGACTCCCCGTTCCCGCACAGGGTCCGTCTGGCACTCGAGGAGGCCAAGGCAACGTACGACATCATCTGGATCGACCTCATGGCCAAGCCCGAGTGGTACGAGAAGAAAGTCTACCACGGCGAAGGCCGGGTCAGCCCTTTGCTCGCGCATCCAACCGTTTTCAAATGTTAACACATCCTCCAGGTTCCGTACCTCGTCTACGGCGGTCCCAAGCTCAACCCGGACGAAGCCCCCTCCGGCGACGCCGTCGGGATTCCCGAGTCGAGCATCATCCTTGAGTTCCTCGCCGACCTCTTCCCCGCAGCGCGCCTCCTGCCCGCCGACCCGGTCACGCGCTCACAAGTACGCGTCTTCTGCGAGGCCGTGAACAAAAAGCTGCTCCCCGCGTGGTTCCCCTCGCTCTTCATGGGCGTCCCGACGGACGGCCTCTTCGCCGTGCTCGACGACTTGCAGAAGAAGCTCCCGGCGAAGGGCGGGTACTTCTTCGGCGAGTGGACCATCGCGGACGCGACGATCCTCCCGATCCTCCTCAGGATGGAGCACAACTGGCGCCTGAAGCCATTCTCGATGACGGAGGCCGAGATCGCGAAGGCGCAGGAGGCGTGGAACTCGCCGCGCTTTGCGCGGTTCAGGCAGTACCTCGAGGACAACAAGAAGCGCGAGAGCGTGCTCAAGACTTGGGACGAGGTACGTCATGCGTGCGACTCTGGGCTCACGCGGCATTGTGGATGCTGACTTGGGCATGCCTGCAGGACGCTATCGCGCACGCGTTCGGTCGGCGGCTTGACAGGTTCAAGAAGACGGGCATCATCAACAGCGATGTCCGCGTGCCCATTCCCGCTGCTCAACAGTGATGGACGAAGGGATGTTGTCCTTGCTCTGTCATGAATGACGGTCATCTAAATGACAAGTTGATGAGATTTGAGGCAATGTAGTGCGAATTTAACATAGCAACCAATGAGACTCCGCTGGGCTTTACGATATACATGACGCGATGGAGTATGGTAAGGGATCCAAGAGTGCAGAAGAACAAGCGCGAGCAGAACACAAGATATTACCTCAATTCAAGAGTGCCTTCGGAATTGGTAGGACTGTCATCGAGGACGTGTCCAAAGTACCACTTCTGAGCTCGTCCACGCGCTTCTTGAGCGCGGAGAACTGCTTGATCTTCTCCGGAAGCTGGGAACAGAAAGGGTAGAAAGAATCAACGAACCCACTGAATACCGATGCGGCGAGAGTACCATACCTGATATCCCGCGACGAGTCCCGACGTGCTAACAACGACGGAGAAGAGTGTCTCGTGCACTGTCGCATCGGCTAGGACACGCGGACGTGAGCGATGCATTGTGCAGGGTCCAGGGAGAGTCGCGTAGCCCACGTACGTGCAGTATGGATGACTTTGTATGGCTGCAGGTCATACACGAAAGGCTCTGCCTTTGCTTTCCGAGAGACCGTGCGCTTGACTGTAGCCTTCGACCTTGTCTTCACGGTCGACGTCGCAGTCGCGGGAGGTTTCGGGTCGGGTGCGGACGAGCTGCTCGTGACACTAGTCATCACTGCCATCGTGAACTTCGTATCGATATCTGCGTCTTCCGAGTTGACAGCAGGTCCTACAGGCGGGGCTGTAGCACGGATGAAGCTGTCCCAAATGCCCTTGCCAACAAAACAGACGATGCGAGGACGTCTCTGGATGATCTTCTGGAAGAGCGCAGGTACCCCCGCGGTGAACTCAGTGTTTGCGAGCTCGGCGGCCTTTCAGCACGAAGCAGGCGCGTCAGAATAGAGGGAAGCATGGTATATGTGACTGCACATACCTGCGCACTCGGCCGCTCGACCAGATTTGTCTGACAGCCACCAGAAGCGTTTCAGTCTAGGGTATGCGAGAGGATTGGTTGCTTACCAAGCCCAAGCTATAACTCTTTGGAAGAGTGCCATCCTCCCGTGGGTTCAGCAGCCTGTCCGTAAGCTCTACAATCGAAGACGATGCATCAGAATTGAGCCGGACAGCCGAATGCGGCGACCACTTACGAGAGCCATAGAGACATTTCCAAAAGTGATTTGTTGGGTGAGCGAAGTGATGCCCTATCGTCGCCGACATCTGTCCGGGGCTTGTCACGGGTGAGTGCTATGTCAAGCAGCTCAGGTGAGAGACGCTCACTTGATTCCGCAGAACATGACTACATAAGAGCACGACCGATGAGTCCAGAAACCATGAGCTCCACTGGCAACCACATAGCCACAAGGTGCTTGAGACTGACCGTCTAACATGTCTGTGTCGTCGCCAAGGTGGTCCGACAGACCATCCAAGTGGGCGTACTTCTCAGTGGGAGCAATGCCAGGTGTCCGCTTCCGCTTCTTCGGAGAAATTGAGCCCGTCCTCCGCTTCTTTGGACTCGAGCTTTCCAAGGGCTTTTCGTCAATTTCTTCCACCGGGGAACTACGTGCTCGCTTCCTGGATGGTGTGGTGGTAGACACGTCGCTCGCACCAAGGGCTGGCAAGGAGTCCTCCTCCTCTTCACACTTCAAGTTAACAAGGCGACGATGGTTTCGCGGGGAGGGCCGCAAAGATGGCGTGAGCTCTTCGTTGAAACGGAATGTTGATAACTTGTTTCTGAGCTCCTGCGTCGGGGTAGCAGCTGCAGGAGTAGACTCAGTGCTATCCACGGAGCTACTCATGATGACAGCGAGAAGTTGACGGCGCTAGGCGATTTGGATGAACCCAAGCTGAAACCGAGGCGGAAAGCAGGCGGTTGATCCAAATGAACAGACAACAACAGAAGACTGCGAGAGCAACCACGAGAGCGAACGTATAGCGGTACAGAAGACTAACAATGCGGTGTTGCGCACATGCTAGCAATTTAAGTAGACTCGGACTCGAAATGCAAGGCGCGGCGGAGACATCGGGCCGAATGGACGGCTGCGTGGAAATCTCCATTGTCGAGAGATCTCCTCCAGATGATGAACGTTGAACTCCCGACCACCATTTGGATCGACTGCTTGACTTGACTCGAGTGTTTTTGTGGCCTAACTCGACCCTGGCGCAAGCTATGGTACAGAACAGGTAGAAGTTGAGGTTGTGCATCCACTTGGCTATACATTTATCTCGAATTCGCAACACTAACGCTAGCAAACCTATCGGCAGTTTATGGGAGGCAGTTCCCACTCTGCGGTTCTAGAGACATAGGCCACCCACTACTTTTTTTGGGCTCCGGAAAAAACAAACTCAAGTCGACGAGCCATCTTCGCCTTGACGGTTTCCTGAGGCACTCTTGTTAGTATTACTTCGCGGGGCAAATGCCGAAGACCAACGCACCGTATTCCATCTTTTGGTTGCACTGGGGCGTGTCATGTTCTCCTCCACGTACGTTCGTAGACGCGCGAACCTCGGAGAGTTCTGCAACGTCTCCAAGACCTCCTCGCTTCCCGGGGCCAAGGTAGGCGGCTTCAGCTCGAGCAAAACGAACGCCTGTAGGTACACTGGCCAGAACGCCGCATCCGCGATCGACCAGTCTCCGACTGCGAAGCCAGTTGGCGGCAGCAAGCTCTGTATGTGTTCCAACGCCTTGTACAAAGTCTCCCCTGGGCCCTTCTTGTAGGCAACTTCAATCAACGCAGGGACGAAAATTTCCTCCACTGCTTTGTAGAATAGGCGCGCCTTGGCACGTAAGAAGGGAGATGAGGGAAGCAGCTGTGCCTTCGGGAAAGTGTCTGCGAGGAATTCGAGGATGACCATCGACTCGCCAAGCTGAGGGAGGTCTGGTGAAGGAGATTGTCCTGGGTGTAGTTTGGGGCCTCCATATACCAAGTAAGGGACCTGGATAAAGGATGAGCGAAGGCTTGTGACAGCACATGCAGACGGAACTTCGATAGGTACCTTCGCGGTAGGGTAGACGTTCTCGGTGTACCAGTCGGGCTTGTCACAAAGATCGATCCAGATGATATCATAAGGAAGTTTAGCCTCTTCGAGCGCGACGAACACTCGATGAGGGAACGGAGATTCCTGCTTTGCGTTAGCAACACCAACTCGAGTCTCCACTGGGTAGATTGAGCGTACCTCAGCAGCGTAAATCGTGATTCTCTCGCTCTCGGACATGGTCAGTGTGACTTGGAGGTGTACGGTGATAGCTAGAGTTCAGAAAACTGCACGTAGCTCAGAGCCGATCGTGGATCAGCAGAGCGGGGGTAGGTAGAACATCGATCATCATGATATACAGTCACCACCGAGTCATACTCCCGGCTCCGATCATTCCTGCGGATTCATGCGTGGGTTCGGAAGCGGGTTGTGAGAAGTCGCAGTTCCATGTTGTCGTACTCCGCGTCTGTCATTCACACATGACCCCTGCGGGATCGTGGAGGCTGTCCTCGACGTACGAGTACAAGACGAGCGGGGCGGCGATCCGCAGGCAGTCTACAAGTCCGAATCACGATTGACATCAATACCAGTAGGAATCCTTGCGCTCGGGACTATTCTTGCCCTTATATACATCGCTTACATTCGCAGGTAATGCAACAACGAGGAAGTCTGTGCTTACCAGTTCATCCAACCGTATATGGGAGAATGAAGTATTCCCGATTCTCAAGAAAGTTGCTAGAGGACCATGGTCCATTGGCAGCGAGGGTCGCAGTAGACTATTTCCCGTGCCCGGTTTAATCAATTTCCAAGTCGTCCGGCGATGCGGTGAGTACGCAGTGCACTGTAGATATATTAGACCACTGGTAGCTCCACACGCAGAACTGACCTGAGCAAGAACCATGCCCGCTGCCATGCCAGTCATTGCTGCAGAGTAGGCTGAGTTCATGCAACAAGAAATCCATCGTTCTGATTCTCTACGAAAGCTGAACGTATACTTCATAGCAAGTACAAACATGACAAGAGACTATGATACAATACAATATTGATCACGCACGAGATAGCACATATCCTACTCCTCCATCGCGTCCTCGTCGCTCTCCTCTTCGCTATCACTTTCTTCGCCCTCGGCCACATCAACAGGATCAATGTCGATATCGTGATCGGCGCCCATGTAAGAGTCGCAGATAACATATAGCTTGAGCGCATGCTGCCCCTGCGGTAGCGAGAACTCGAGGCGGACGTTGAGGCCCCGATGTACGGTAACCTTCTTAATTGCAAGCAGCTGCTTGGTCTTCGGCTCGCCAACGACGACCCACCAGTTGGTAAGCTTCTTCTTGGGGTAGAAGGGTGCGACAACGGCCTCGTCGTCTTCACCAGGGGTGTCCATATCTTCGTCTGCATCCTTGGACAGCGAGACTTGTATCTGGATAGGAGCGCCGGCAGTGTAGTCGCCCTTCGCAAGCTCGAAGGTGACGTCGAGAGTGGGATAAGAGTTAACAAACGTCGCGACGTCGCGCCTACAGACATGGTCAGTAATTGGCTAGATGAATGAGCGGAATAAGGGGCACGTACATCTGGCGAGCGTCCATCTGTAGTAGCTCGTTCCGCTTGTCATCTTCCAACTCCATGATGTCGTACACTGTCTCGACGCCGGCATCCTTGCAACGCTTGATGACGTCCGGCTCAAAATGCGGGATCTGTTTCAGAGGCGAGTCCGTCTCCCAGCACGCCTGTACACACATCTGCGATAGGTCCATTGCACCGAGAGCGTTGAGCCACGCGTTCGACGACATGACGTCGACACACGCGGAGAGAAGGTTGAGAACCTTTTCTAGGACGAGCACCTGGTCGGCTGCGAGATCGGGAGGAAGAGTGAGACGGGAGAAGTGCGCCTGAAGGAGAAGGAAGGTTTTGAAGTGCGGTGCCTCGAAATCTGCCTTCTCGAGCTTGACGGGGACGCGGTCGTAGATTCGGCGCAGAAGGACGTCTTCGTGTCGACGGATGGGGATCGACTCGAACTCCGCCGATGACGATACAACCTCCAACAAACCCTTGAGCTTGGTGCGCTCCTTCAACGATAGTGTATACACCTCGACCGTCACGTCTGAAGAACCAAGTTAGATGCAGTGTCACATTAGGCATGGAGAGTAACTCACAAGAGATGTTATAGTACGCGGCAATCATACCGAGATTCAATGGCGATACGTCCATCTCGTCCTCAATAGAGATGCACTTCGAGTTGACAAGATCGTTGAGCGTGTTTTCGACCAGCTCTGACAGATGGTCGGAGAGGTGCTGGTGGCTGACGTTGTGCAGATTGTAGTAATTCGGGTTCCGCGTCATCCGTCGGTAGAAGTACGTCCATGTCAAGATATCCTAGAGCAGATGTGACCATCTCATCGCCTGCTGACTAAGACGATGAACTTACCATAGCATCCTGCTTGTTCTCGACCGTCTTGACAGCGATCTCGGCCAAAAAGTAGTCATGGAGCATGTGGGTCGGCAGATGCGACTCAATGGGGAGACCCTCAGCAAGGAACTTCTTGTAGAAGTCCTTCCTTGTCTGCTGACACATGAGAACAGCGCGACTCTTCTCGTCCTCAAGCGGACGACACGCGCGACCCATCATCTGCAAAACATCCATGACGGGGTAGTCGACGTAACGGTGTTCCTTGCCCTCGTAGAATTGCACGCCCATGATGATGACCATGTAGCTGGACACAGGCAAGCTCCACGCAGTGTCTTTCGAAGCGATGAGGACCTGGATGGCACCGTGCTGGAACAATCGCTCGACGATGCGCTTGTCCTGCTTGTTGAGGGCTTCATGGTAGTAGCCGACACCGTGCTGCAAGGTCTCTTTGAGGCCTGCGTCGGTGACATGCTCTAGGTGTGGCGCTAAGTCTTCCTCTTCAACATGTAGGAAACGCTTTGAATCCTCATCAGCGTTGCAGTGCGTGATGATGTCGTCGGCGGTGAGACGACATTGGCGACGCGAAGGGACAAAGATGATGACGGGCTTGTGTGGTGAGTACTCGTTGATAGCCAGGTAGGCAGGCTTCGACATAGCGATCATGAGCGAGGGGAAATGGGGAATCTGGAAGCTCTGGATGTGGATGTCCATATCGAGGGGACGAGCACTGTGATAACCGTCAGAAAACAAGAGCGCCTGACACATCCGAATGGACCACAAACCTAGGAGGGAAGTTGAAGATTGCATGTGATGGCGCACCCATCCACTCGCCGAGATCGCGAGCATTGGCGAGGGAGACGCCGCACGCGATGATACGAGTCTTCAACTCCGTCTGCGCAGAGACATACCGGGTACGCGAGATGACAACCTCGTACGTCGGGCCGACCTCGCCACCCACAAGCTGCACTTCGTCCGCGATGAGGAGGCCGATCGTCTGCACGTTCTTGCGTTGACGCCATCTCCTTGAGAGTACGTCCCACTGTGGAAGAACTACGGTCAACACAAGCACATATAAGCGTATGATGATGGCATACTTGAGTCGGCGTGCAGACAATCAGATCGCCCTTTTCGAGCAGACGCAGGTCTGCGCTCGTTTCGCCTGTCAAAGCAACGATCTCCTTGCCGCCCTGCAGGTTACCGAACCTCTTGCGCCACTCCTCGACACGCATATCCACCATCTCCTGATAAGGTTCGATGCAGACAGCTCGTTGCTGCTCGCGCTTGCTCCAGAGACGGAGAAGGGCAAACTCAGCACAGATCGTCTTGCCACTGCCAGTGGGGGCACCGATGAAGACGTTGTCGTCTGTTGTGTAAAGCGCCTGGAAGACCTGGGTCTGGATCTTGTTGAATGTCTGGATCGTCGAGGAATAGATGTTCTCGAATTCCTTGTTGTGCAACGCGGAGAGGGGGAGGGGCTGGAGGTCGAGAAGAGGAGTCGGAGCCGGGAACTTCTCGGGGAGGATGAGGTGCTTGAAGGAGATGGGGAGGCGGGTCTCAGCTTGCAGCCAGCGGTCTGAGACGATTGAGATGTAGTAGTTGGGGGGAACCGGCTCGAACATGGGAACGGTGAGGGTAACGTAGTGCTCGTCTTCAGCGTATCGTTGACGAAGAATGAACGTATCATGGAAGAGGATGATCTCGCCATCAACATCCTTAACCAAAATCCAGAACGACTCGGCTGCGCCGTGAACCTTTTCGTCCCAACGGAAGTCAGGAATTATAGTCAAGTCTATGCGCAAGAGTGTACGAGTAATGGGCTGGACTTGGGCCGACAGCCTGAACCACGATGTCAGAATCGTAATATTGAAGCGAACGCTGACACGTACTGGAGCTTAGGGAAGCTGTGTACAAGTCTGTGGACCAACCGGCCAGCGTTCGGAATGCCGATAAGCTCGCCAATCTCTGGTGGGTTCTGCAAGATAATTAGGAACTGATGTCACACAAGAGGTACTGCGCGACTTACGAGGTCGAAGTAGCGGTACCAAGGCTAGAGTTGTTCAATCAGCAACGGTACGACACGCGGTCAAAACGGACACTCACGAATTGCTTGCCCTCAGCCTTCCGAATAATCTCGTTCGGGACGCCCTTGAACTGACGCAGCGGCGTCATAGAACCCCACATCCTGCGCTCCACCATCTTGCACATGTCGAGCGCTGCCTTCGCGGGAACAGCCCAGCCACGCTTGAGGCAAATCTCAAAGATAGCGCGCATGATTCTGAGTAACAGGTTATGAGCATTTGGCCTAAACGTTAGGCAACGCAACGACTTACCGTCCAGCAGACTGCTGCACGTAGACCATGTCCGCAACCAGAGCGAACCCTTCGAGCTTCAGTTGTGATATATATGCTTGAAGTAGCACGTTAATCTTCGCTGCCGGCTCCTCTACAGACTCCTTCACGGGAATAGGGACGCGTTCGAGCAGTTTGCCGAGTTCGAGCTTCTCCTGCATGACTGGTGAGCACCATGGGAATGATGACATAGACGGAACGACTTACATCTTGACGGACTGGGATGAGCTTGAACTCGTTCGAGAGGGCAAATACGCGGAAGAGCTCGAGCTGCGACATGGTCGACCGGAGGTGCTGATTGTACGTGGCCATAGAGCTGTAGGTGACGTAGTAGTGGGACGCAATGCGACCCAACTCCGTGCTCTGGAAGCGGCCAGTGGAACGCTCATACTTGATAAGGTAGCACTTCTCCAGGAGCGCTGCAGCAGTATGAACTATATCCGCCCTCTTTTGCACAAGCGTCGGATCACCTTCTAGGTAGTCGACGCCGACGCTGTACAGAACTGGATCCTTGAGCATACGGACGTAGCTAATACAGTCGACGAGTTAGCGAGTGGTAGGTGCGTGCGAAACGAACGAACTTACAGGTATGTGTAACCCAACCACTGGACGGCCTCGTCGCGGTTCCGGATGGTACCAAGCACAATCTCAGCATTCAGGTTGTCCGTCAACTTCCCGACGAACTGCGATTCGATCGGCAGCTGCTGGTTCAACAGGCTGAGGTAGTACTGAAGCTCGGAGTGGTTCGTTATGATGATGCCCTCTCCGTAAGTGTCGTACTGCGGACGACCCGCTCGACCGAGCATCTGCAGCACGTCCTGAGACGAAAGCTCGACCCAGCGGCCCTTCTCCGGGTTGTAGATCTGCGTGCCCTTGATGATCACGGTATGTGCAGGAAGGTTGACGCCCCACGCGAGCGTCGCGGTACAAACGAGCACCTGAAGGTGGCCGTCCGCGAACAACTCCTCGACCAGACCGCGATCCTCGCGGGACATGCCGGCGTGGTGGATCCCAAAGCCGAACTGGAGGAGGTCCTTGAGGTTCGGGTCCTTGACGTTGTTCGCCTCTTCCAGAAGAATTTCGCGCGTGGCGCCCTCAGGCTTGACGAACTGCGTGATCGTCTCCTTCTCGATCGCCATGTCGCGGATGAACTTCGCCGTCTTCGCCGTCTCTTTCCGCGAGTGGACGAACACGAGCGTCTGATTCTTCCCGGCTTGGTCGAGCACCTTCTCGTAGCAAACCTCGTTCATCACCTGGTACCGCTTGATAGCCTTCTTCTCCGTCACCCCGATGAACTGCTGCTGGAGCGCGCAAGGCCGGTACGACGCGTCGAAATAAAACAGGCCCTTCGACTGGTCGACGCGCAAGAACGTTGCCACGTCCTGGTAGTTGGGAAGCGTAGCTGACAGACCAACCAGCCGCACGTACTCGCCCGTCTGCTCCATCCGCCGGATTGTCCGTGCGATCACTGACTCGAGCACTGGACCACGTTCATCATGCAACAAGTGAATCTCGTCGATGATGATGAGACGTACGAGGTTCGTATAACTCGTGTCCGTACTCTTGCGCGTGATCACATCCCACTTCTCCGGGGTCGTCACGATGATCTGCGTCTCCGAGATCTGCTGCTTCGTCATTTGCGAGTCGCCAGTGAGTTCGCCGACCTTGATCCCATACACCGCCAGACGCGAGCTAAAGTTGCCGACCATCTCCTGCACGAGCGCCTTCATCGGCGCGATGTATACCACCTTGAACGCGTCCAAGTCCAACGTACCCGAGTCGATATCGCGGTACTTCCCGAGTTCGTTCAGAATCGTCAGCAGAGCGACATTCGTCTATAGATACACCGCATGAGCCGAGTACTAACGTGCGTACTACACACTTGACGTACCTTTCCAGCACCGGTAGGAGCACAAAGCAGCAGTGGCTCATCCGTCCCGAACGCGATGGGGTAGAGCTTGCTCTGAATCCGGTTCAGGCTCCGATATCCCTTGAATCCCTCGCGCGCCCATTCCGGCAGGTCCTGGATCTGAACAAGCTCCGAATCTTGCACCGGCTTCGACTTCGGTGCAGGCACATGGATCTCCTCGTAGCCCTTCTTCGCCCGCTTGAACGACCCTTCCGGGAGCTTGCACTTCTTGTTCGACATCAGGTGACCACCCTGGCTGAATGCCATGCTCTCCAGGTCCACAGTAGCCTTGGGCTGTACCGTCGAACCAGGAGCAAGCGTCGCCTTCTTGGAAACCGCCTCGACCTTGGGCTTCGAGTCGACGTCCATCGCGTCCGAGCCCGCCTTCGCCTTCCTATCTCCGGCCAGCTCGCGCAGAATCCAGCCTACTCCCTTCTCCCGCATCGCCACCTCGATGTTGACACGCTCGTCTGCATCGCTACGCATCAGCTTCGTGCACCACACGATGACGTCCCGGTTCTTGACAAACTTCCGAATCAGGGGGAAGTGCTGGTATTCGAACAGGTCCATCAACTCGTTTTCGCAGTCGCGGACGCTCGACTCCGAACCGAGTATCGAGAGCACCGAAGACGCCTTGTCGGCGGCCGTGACAGGGTCGGGGTACACTTCAGATATCTGCCGCTGCACCCAGAAGCCGTCGATCGCGTGCGGAGAGACGATATCCTTGTCGACATGTGCCTTCCCTTGATGACCTGCTGAGGATCCGCCGATGACCAGCTCGTCGTCTCCCTCTAGTGACTCCGGCGGCCGCTCCGCTCCCTCCTCTGCCTCGTCCTCCTCCTCGTCGCTTTCATCTCGTACCTCGAAGCCCTCTTCTTCTTCTTCTTCCTCTTCCTCCTCGTCGAAAACCACCGCGACACCCATCTCATCATCAATCTCTGCCTCCTTTCTCTCGAGGTCGGGGTCCGCCGTCTGCTCATCCTCAACGCCGTAGTCAGTGATCTTCTTCGACAGGTTGATTAGCTGCGAAAACGACTCGTTCGAGATTGGACCAAGGACGTCCTCGACCTCCTTCTTCTTGTCGAAGTCCTTCACGTTTTCGTTCTTCAGCGTCTCCAGCACCATGTCTGCGGCACTTCGAACGACATCCTGCGCTTGGTCACCGAGTGCTTGGTGGACGTTCGCGAGGATGAGCTCGTAAACCTCGCGCGTCTCCGCCGTCCGTGGGCGGTACGAGAGCCCTTCGACGTCTTCGGTCGCCTCGATGATGTCGGTGTACCCGAAGCCAGTCACGTCCGCTGCTCTCCGCTTCTGCGGCCTTTCCGCGGCCTCCTGTCTGTCGGCTGCCTTTTTCTTCTTCTTGTCGAGGTCCTTGGGAGCTTCGCGCTGGACACGCGACCCCATCTCCCTGGGATCAATACGGCCGACTAGAGACGTGGGGGCACCATCGGGTTCCTTGTCTCGACGCGGCAAGACGGAGCGGTCGGCGGTGAGAACGAGAGAAGAGATGGAGGCATAGTTGTAGCCAGACAGATCCCTCTTGGCCGACATGATAGAAAGAGTAGCAAGGTATTAGTCGTACTCCGTCCTTGATATTGTCGGCAACGTTAAGGAACGAAGGAGAGAATGGGGGAGAGGATGAGGAAGAGGATGATGAGGCAGAGCGAGCGCGAGCCACTTCACTTTCTTCGGCAGTTGCCGATTACTCACCAGCGCCTGCAGCGGCCCCGTGCATGGCAGCGCCGAGGGTCGAGACTTGGCCACAAACTCGAACGTTTGCCGCGTAAGGGATCCTTTGTCGAATGTCAATTGATCCAAAGGTCATTCTAACCTCCGCATCAAGTACTCGAACATACTCACAGCGGCCGTTTGGACTCCCTTACGCCAGTTTTCATGGTCATACCCCGTTCATTAATAACTTCCTATCTCACGGCAGGGATTCGGATTTTTCCAGCTGGAGCAAAGTCTCTGAAAAGGGGACGCGCGAGGCAAACAATCCGTAAATATGTGGCGTTTCTGGATAAAAGTGATTGAAACACGACGGGGGTTGCCTTTTTGCGTCAACATTTCATCGACTTCTCTCCAATCGAAAATATCCGATTTCCTGCCGTGTCTCCTATCTCAACGTCGTCCTTTCTCCTACCCGTATACTGTGGCTTTGCGGCTTACCCATTGCAATGAATGTCTGTCGTAATCCAGTCCATACCGATATAAAGCTTATAATTTCCCTTTAGATTCAGTCCTATCGAGATTGATGGATTGCGACCACTGTCCCAGATTTGCGTGACTTTCATCGTGGTTGGTGTAGTCCGAGAGAGGTCTTTGAGAACGTTCTCAGTCAGCCGCGGCACGAGCGCTTCCTATACGTGTACCAGGAGGTTGTTCACGACATTTCGGGACTAGGTTCAAAAGTCAGTGCGTTGCTCGTCCGTGACGAGTGTTTCCTGGTCTCCCAGCGTCTTCAGAATGCGCGCCGCGAAATTAAGCGGAGCTTGATGCGAGCCTGCTTGCTCCTTGGCCACCCAGAGATTGGTGCGCGTGATCAGAATCTCTTAGTCGAGCCCTTTCCGCTTACCAAACTCCAGGAATATCCTGAATCCTTCTCTTCTTCTTGCTCGAGAGCCTGTCACGCAAGGAGACTGCTGCTCACCTCTTCATCCGGAGTGACTTACTGTTCGATGGATTGGGTGTAGCCCGCCCGGCAACTATGACCCAGGCGAATACGCACCTCCGATCGTGGATGACGTATCCCGAGTCTGGTCAGTGGTCGACTCCCATTCCTTCAACCCTCACCGGTGCTCTATATATAGTGGGCGAAAGCCGTCCTCCCATCTCTGCGCCCTTTCTTCCCTCCTTTCACCATCCCTTTCTGTCCTCGGTACTCTCATTCACCGTGAGCCTCGCTAACAGGTAGGGTATCGCTGTCTGTACACGTCAACACAGGTGAGTGGGTTACTCGCTGTCACACAGCATACAGGTAAGTCGTGCGGGTGCAGCAACGCAGTAGGTTAGAGCACGTCGTGGTAGGTCACTGTACGCGGGCTTGGCACAATGCGCGGGCGCGGGGAGTAGCGTATTATTATGTAATGCGAAATTTGTATCGTAGAGTAACCACCCATAAATATATATATCCGTTCATGCTCGATCTGGTGCCCTAGCGCAACGAGCCCCAACTGTATAGGACTGTTGCACTCTGTTCCTATATTTTTGCCAGGTGTTCAATAGAGTGGAACATACAGATATCGGGCGAAAAATATGCAAATAGACGGAGACAGACGGGAAAAGACGACGAACGGCAAATAGCTTTTTGTGTGCATATGGACAGATATATATGCATTCACCTACATACATGTGGATATCTGACTACTTCTGCCTTTTGGGCGGACTGAAACGGGCCGAAAAAGATGAGAATCGTGAGCAACAGGGAAGGTTCTCACTGGGCCTCACCACCGGAGCCGAGATCATGTCAACCTCTGGGTCCTTCAGATGACGATCAAGCGGGAGCACGCCTGCGTGCGCAGCGGGTTCGAGATGATCTCAGAGTTGCGGCAGTACGCACGCCACGAATGGCCAGGGTCTTCGATCGAGGTAAAGGTGGTCGTTCTTGTTCCGCAGGAGGGATCAAATGACGACGTAGAGTGGATTTTGCTGCCGAGTTTGGTAATCACGAAGGCGAGGTTTATGTCAGTTCCTGGACATTTCGGCGTGGTGCAGTCGGGATGTCTTGATCGAAGATATCGTTGGTGCATGCAAAGCGGAGGATGCATCATGGTGCATGTTTGCTTGTGCCCTGCGTTGCGTCTCTTGTCGTTGTGTGGACTTCCGCGTTGAGCTGCGAGACCAGAGTTTCACTTACCAAGTCATATGGACGTTTTGTCATTCGCTCAGTGCTGTGGGCTGAGTAGTGATCGTGCAGCCTTAGGCTCGGCGATCAGGTCGAAATGACTGTCGCGCATCTGGATGCGGTCAAAGTTAGGTTGTATGATATCTGTTCGACATGCCCCGTCCAAAAACGTCTTGACCTGCTACCCGTGAGTCGTCCCGTTGCCTTCGGAAGGACGGTGTCGATGAAAAAGGCGGTCTCGCAAGTACTATGGTAAAAGCGACATTGGTGAGCTGTCGAGGGCCACGAACAACCTCTCAACATTCCATTGCGTAGCACCTGACTTGTGAAGCGCTGCTTTTCGGCAAAGCCAAACATCAATGTTGCGGTTGTGGACGAGTTGTAGGTGGCAGTCTACTGCTACCGCGCCTAAACTTGAACTGGAAAATGCCGCCAATCACTCAACGTGGCTCTCCACGCGCGGCGCGTCGTCCATCTCCAGCGCTCAGCTCAACCCTGGTGTCGTTTCCGTCACCGACAATCAGCGATGGGGTAGACTCACCGCCTGCGTATTGTGAGAGCATTTCTCCGCTCACTGCGGTTCACCGCGCTCTCCCCGGCAGCGGCATCATGCGCCAGTGCAAAGCCCCCTACCCGCAGGGAATGCGAGCGCATACTGAAGTGAGATCCGCATCGGCCAGTGACGTCACCTGCCAATTTGGAATTGGGAACTAGAATGCCTCCGACAGGGTTAACCTCATCCTTGCCAGGACACATATAGATGGAGCATTCGACGCGCACCTGCATGCATGAGTAGTTTGCGGGGATCACAGGCCGTGCAGGTCTGCTACTTCGCAGAAAGCTCGGCACGCAAACCGCGAGCCACAATTGTCGAGCGTCGAGCACGGCTTCATCGTACCGTAGGGAGCACTCAACGAAATGCTGAGGTGTATGATCCATGATCTACGCAGGTCCCCAGGTCGCTTGAGGTCTACCTTTGAGATACTCATAGAGGTTACGATATTGGTGAGTATATCAAAATGTGTGCTCCAGAATGGTAGGCAGGACATTATAACACATGAAGGGGAACGTGAAAAGGCATGCGGATGTGTATGTGTACTGTGCAAAGGGACGTACTGTAATAAACGCAGGAGCTCGCAGAGCAGCTTCGCTTCGCCATCTCCATCCTTCTTTAATTCCGGTCAAACCAACGTCACCTCCTCGCCGCAGGCGCGTATCATAGCGGCTTCCATCCCTCTCCTGCGGGCCATTTCAGGTCGTCCCTCTCCACCACCATCCTCCTGCCACCCCTCGCTCCATCTTCCCTATCTACGAGCGCAACGTCGACCCCGCCCCTCTGCCACCTCCGCGCACGGTCCTCGACCCGCTCTCGATCCCCGGCCCCGTCCTGGTCTAGACTGCTGTCCGCATCGTCCACATCTAGTCCTGGGCTCGTCGCCTCCCCATCGTCGACGTCGTCCATTAACCTCGCCTCTCCGTCCTCGCGCATCCAGCCTGGACCCCGGGGACCACGCTGCACGAACCCCCGCTTCGAGAACGCCCCCTCGGCCTTGTACCGCGCGGCGTCGAGCGCGGGCTTCCCGCGCAGCGAGAGGTTCGTGAACGTCTTTTGCAGGCTCCCGATTGGGGAGTCCGAGAACGTGTCCCAATTTCGCTCTCTGTCGGTGTCGCGTTTCGTGGAGGAGAGGGAGAGATGGCGGGAAAGGTGCAGGTTCGATGGAGATGAGGTGCTGGAGCGTGGCGTATCCGCAAATGGAGACTCGAAGGGCGAGGACGATGTGGGAGTCAGCTGGGCGCTTTCTGGGCGTTTCCGGCGAGGTGGTGGGGGTACGGGAGGGGGAGTGGGATGGTGTAATGACCGAGAGCGCCCAACACGGGGCGACGTGTTTGATGGTAATATGCGGTCTGCATCGATGCTCAAAGCAGCAGGCTTGCGGTCTGGGTGCGTCGGCGGCGGCTCCGGGGGCAGCTCTGACAGAGGTCTTGGCGGAGTCTGGGACGGCGACATCGTTGGAGATGCCAGCCGCCGTTGTGGAGGCTCCGGAGGGACGGTATTCGGACCATTTGCGGAAGAATGCATGGGATTACGCTTGGATGGTGACAGAGAAGCCGTTGCCACCCGCTCAAAGGAACGAGCAGAGATGACGGTGGAGGCCGGGGGACTGAGATTCCGGCGAGGCGGTAGCTGAGGGACGCGATTCTGCACTGCGGTACGTTCGGCAGAGCTGCTGGCCGATCCTGCCGAGGACGCGGACGAACTCGCATTCTTAGTGGGACTGGTGCTGCGCACGCGCCGTAGTGAGTTCACTGAATCTGAACTACTCCGGAGAACCTCCATGACGCGCTCTTGTTCGAGTCTGTGTTCCGCTTGTTTGAGACTTTGAGCGATCCGGGTCGCCTGGAGAGATTGCTGGATCAGAGTGTTCGTCGTATGCCGGTTGGCATGCGAGACACTGGTAGTAGGTGGTAACGGTGGTTCGCGGCTAGTCGCCTGTGTGTGATGCGCATTCATGGACGCATGTCGCGGTGGCGGCAGTACAGGCGGCTTCCGAGGTGGTAATGGGGGTATATTCGCATCTTGTAAAACTGTTGAGCGTGTACTAGGGAATACGCCAACACCGGCTGGCGCGGACTGAGGTGGTAGACCCTGAGAAGCCCGTCGGTTGAGGAAAGGATTTGTTGGCTTCGGAGGAAGAGAGGGAGGCTGAGGCTTAGCGGGCGTAGACGAGACTGCGGGGGCAGATTGAGGACCGGTGGAGCCATTGTGCCTGAATGGATTCTGCACCGGCGACGAAACTCGGCTATGCTTGCTGTGGGGCGAGGACGGACGAGACTTGTGCTCATCGGGATGTGCTAGACGCAAGCGAGGAACCAGTTAGCGGCACTGGCAGGTACGAGCGTGGAGCGGATTCATTGCAATCAAGGACCAGGGCGTCTAGTCAATGGTTATGAGGTATCATGGATATTCGTACGAAGTACACATTCCAACATGGGTAGACGTTCCTGCAATGCGGCTGCCAATTCCCACGCAAACTCGACATGTGTCTCCAAGTATTTGCAGCATCCGCGTAACTGCATAGCAAGGCAGCCACTTCGCAAATAGGCCTGGGAAACGTTCTGGCACACGGCGGGAGATTCCATGGAAGGCATGCATTTCTGGTGGGGCCCCACGCTCGGATGCTCAGAAGTTGAGGAAGAGCACCACTCGACCGAGATGACGACACAACGCAGATCGTGCATAACACGCACCTTGTACGAAGATGAGACTCGGATCCACCTGCTTGCCTCCGAGCACATGGGAAACGAGCCGTAAGACGGCGAAGAACTGGCCTCCGTTCAATACATCTGCAGGCTCGGGCGGTAAAAGTCGAAAAATCTGCTATGAGATGAGACATGACCAAGTCCGCGGAGGACACAGACGCACCGAGTCGAGCGTGTTGGACGCCAGTGTGGGATAGCGGCCTCGCAGCCATGCTCGTGCTTCGCGCACGCCAACCGAGAGCTTATCGTAGTCCGGAGGATGTTGTCCGTCATATTCGATGATGTCGTGGATGGAGGAGGTGTAGAGGGTATACTCGGCATCGTTGAGAGCGGATACGTGTAGGGTGAGCGGGCGGGACATTGCGCACGCCGTGGTCGTCGACAGAGAGCTGCGAGCCAAGATTCGCGACAGACGCGAGGCAGGCGCACATTCGGCCGCAGGCGGAGGCGCGGCATCTCTCCCAAGCGCCAACGCGCCCGCTTCTCTTTACGGCGGCGCGGTGTGTCCGCCGTCTTGACAAATGCTCTCCATACCTGACCTACCGCAAGGCTCACAAGCAAGAGCACGGTGCAGACTGCAGCAATCCACACAGAGGACCGCTGACGACGAGAAAAATGTCTCCGCCATGCGCAGAACACTCACCAGCACGTCGCGAGTCATCGCAGAGAAGCTTCGGATCCAGCGCCCTAGGTCTGCCGGGAAGTTCGGCTTCCATCCACGCGCAAAGCGTGCGCTCCATGCCAGGACATATACGTCTAACCGTACAACGAGTCCATGCGGCTGCCAAAGGCCAGTGAGAAAGTAAGAGGAACGTGTATAGCGTACGAGGGGCTGATTCAATAGCGGTAGATAGCACCAGTGGTCTAGGCGACAAGTTGTTCTCTTCTGCGGCCGTAGCCATCTCAACACTTCCATAGGGCCACTGGATTCTTGTGGACGCTGTCACGCTGTCCCCTGGACGCAATATACTGGAAGGCTATCGATGGCGATTGATGGACTAGCGAGCCTTCCGCATACGGCAAGGTACCGACCTCATTCCTCACGATCGGTGTCTTCCAAGAGCTCTGTCGTGTCCCAAACCCCACAAAAAAATATCTGCGAGGATCTTCAAGACGTAAGCTTTCTGCCTCTACTGACACCACTCTTGAGGCACTTCGTGAGGAACAAGGAGCGTCAGCCTCGCTCGATATTTATGATTCATCGAAGGCAAGCCCATCGACTAGTCTCGCTTAGTCCATCACCTCCATCAACGGCTTCTCAACGCGTCCACAAGAATCGAGTGGGCCTCATGCCGCCCTGCGCAGACCTCACTACGGCGCGTGCGCTATATGGCCATTCAAGCATCTTTTTGTTACTCTTCTTCCCCATCGGAACACGTACTTCTGCTCGATTCGGCAATAGTACACACGCCCTTCCGGTTCGCCTACCCGGGGCCATATACATGGTATGGCCATTCAGAGTTCTTTGGGGGACTTTGTTGGAGGCGGCGTTTAACTGAATTTAGCATCATCAGGTGAACCAAAGCCCTTGGTGCGATTCGAGGCATCTCAGCATGCCCGTCATGCTGTCTCGATGGACCAGCCGACGAAGTCAACATCTGCAAGGGCTCGAATCCGCCTAAGGCACATCTTAAGTAACTCCGGTTCGGTCTAACCAGCACTGTTCTAGACCACGCCGTCAGAGAACTGATAGGTCGAGTAGAGCTGGAGGACCGGTACCGTAGGACAAACACCGCCTGACCTTTCCGGGGTCGTGGCTTGAAGCACTATCGATGCTAGTCAGAGCAATCAGAACGCTATCATCGAGGTATGACCAGACGTACGGGTTGTTTCGAAAGGGTCGCGGGAACGAAAGGGGTAACCTCTATACGAGACCACTTTTGGACACTAGGATCTCTGACACTTCCGCGATACTGGCGATGCATATCGCATGAACCTCGTGCCTATCAACCTGATTGATACTCATAAACTCTCTGAGACAGATAATGAAACGTGCTCAGTACTCAGCGACCGGACACATGTAGCAACCGGCGCAGTCAAGAAATACAAGACCCCAGATATCAGCCATCCCACATCTCTAGGCCAATGTGGCGTCGCTTCGCACCACTCTGGACGCCGATACAGGTGATCTAAAAGATTCGCCAACATCAGACACTTATACATGTGCCCGACGACACCGTTTGAGACAGGCCGGTGACGTCTCCTGCCATCGGTGCCCTCAATACGTCGTCTAGATCGCAGTAACAAGAGCACGCTCTAGGCGCACTCGAGGGTACTACCCAAGGTTCGATCGGTACAATGACGAGTTCCCGGTTCGCCGTGTCCGCACTTCGGTATACATTCTCGTCACCAATCACTGAGAAAGAGGGAAGTTCTTCCGAGGCGCTGGCGTTCAGTATGCGCATTCTCGGCAAGCACTGTCCAATGATCACGCTTCCGTGGGAGAGCCGTGTTACGCGATGCAGCTCGTGGATGGGAGAGCGTCGGCCACGAGACTCAAGAGCATGCTGTTATGTGGAGGGACGTGGGTAGCAAGAAGTTCAGATGCAGCCAGTCGTCCGCCGCTGTGGGCCTGCAGCCGGCGGTCTTGTAGGCGTTTCAGCGCAGCCCGGTAGATAGGTTGGGGAGGATGCGCCCGACCAGAAGTGTCGCCAGACATGTCTATGGTGCTTCTGGCCGTTCACGGTAACCCCTGCAGTGTGCGGCTGAGGGCGCGTTGGCTTGTGCCTGCGACGCCACGGCACGTGCCATCCAAGCCAGGGTAGCGAGCAACCGGCGGAGGTAAGGGCAAAGCGATTCCTCGGACACCTGGGAAACTGATCTTCGGTGTCTTGTCACAGAGATCCATCCGTACAGGGTCGTAGAATCTGGATGTCCGTGAAGCGCGGTCGGACGGAGAGACGGATGACCGCAGGCGAGACTACTGGCTGCGAACGACGATCGTACTGAACTACAACAAGCCTCGCGCTCACCAAATGATCGGTAGCAACGAACACGCCCCTGCAGACTTGCCTCCGGAGAGGGGCGAATTCATGTGAGGCTGCTAGCCCAGCGTGCTGGTGGTGGTATGGAACTCCTAACACTGCGAAGAGAAGTGGCGGATGCGATGCCACTAGCAGGAGACAATCGGGGCTCCAACTCTAGTGTTGTGTCGCCGTCTCTCGGAGAGGTGAAGGTTCTGCAGAAGCCTCGTGTGAGTTCAAGAGAGAGTATATATGGTTCAGCAGAATCCGATGAACGGCAATCTGGTGATATCAGAGATGTGATATCAGAGACGAATACAATACCGCGAGGACACAATATGATAATACAAAGAACGACCGCGAATAACGACACCTACTCGCCGACGGATAAAACGATCACCAGACGCTCTGCACATGCTGTGGCCCTGGGGTGGAAGGGATGCTTTGCGGCATCGCAATGGGTCGTGGCGCTTCCCGGACCGGCTCAGGTTCCTTCCTGTACTCGATCTTCTCGACGCGCACCTCGCCCTCAATCAATTGGTATACGTAGGTCACCACCACGGGGCCCTGGATGTCCATGAGCGCGAACGAGGGAGTGATATCACTGGACGAGAGATACATGAGGCCGCGCACTGGACTGCGCAGATGAAAGTACGTACCCGTTGTAACTTCCTATCCATGCCCCCGTCGCAGAACCGGGGTTGACGAAGAAGCGGTTGTCGTACTCAACCGCTTGGAATCTAAGAAGGCATGATGAGTTGCGTCCCGCTTGTGAACGGCAATGCGAGCTTACGTGTGTGTATGCCCGGACACCAAAACGTCCACGTCAAGCTGCCTTGCTATCGCATTGAGGGAATCGAGGTCTCCCGTTGGGATACATTGATGACCATGCACTACACCGATGCGGATCGGCGAATGTGCAACCGTCACCGAAAGTGGGAATGAACTCTTTCAAGAAACACCGTCACAGGTATAATTTTGCACTACCAGTACAGCACTCACCTCGTCATAGTCCCCTCTTACGACATGCACGTCTGGTGAGACCGTCCGCAGGTACTCGTACGTCTCCCGATCACATACGTTGCCGGTACAGAGTATTTGCTGGATCTTTCCCGGAACCAAGAGCTTCTTGAACTTTGCCGGGAGATCATGGATGCGGTGTGGTATGTGGAGGTCGCCGATGACAAGGACTAACACCATGGCGGAACGAACAAGACGAACACCGAGCTCCGTTTGACCGCGTGCGCTGCGACCAGAGCGGAGCCCGTCGCCCACGTGGCAAGCAGGAAATGGGCGCCTATGTTACCTAGAATGCCGCAGATGTGACGCAACCTCTGTCAGTGAGCCACGACTGACCCCCTTCTCTTACTTGGCTCCTTCCAGCTCACTTGCTGCCGCGCTGCTGCTTGTGAATTCTGAATATGTCCCACAGTCTTTCTGAAGAGTGTACACCCCTGAAACGCAAGTACGACGCATGCTTTAACGCCTGGTTCGAAGGTTACTTGGAACCTGCCGTTTCGGCCTCGGTGACCCCGGAGCAGCGGACGAAATTTTCCCAAGAGAAGGCAGCAGAGTTCGAAAAGGCCTGTGGAAAGATCTGGCAGGAGTACCGGGAATGTGTTCAGGTGGGTGCCGTCTTCTCCGGCAACGCATCCTCGCCTTTCAACCCACAATGCGTGCACAGAAAGCGGTCAAAGATAAGGGCTTGGAGTCACTATTGAGCCAAGCACGCCAGTCGCATCCACTCAAAGAAGCACCTCCCGCCTCTCATGACCCTCCGCGATCATAGCGATTTTTGGGCTGGGATGGCCTCTTTTGTCCCCGACACACCGGCGATATAGATCAATCACTCACCTCAGGGCTGCCTGGTGGTCCTCTGAAGATACTATACATTCTGTAGGCGTTGGTATTCTTTCTCGTCGCATATGGTCTCATGCCGTTTCTGCGAAGCCGTCATGGGTATCAGATCTCACCGCTCTTCCACTACTAAACACTGCCGCGCTCTGCAATCCCACGCCCCGGATTAGCATCCATCGTCCAAGGGCTTCTCTGTCGTTGTAACCACCGCTATCTTGTCCGGAATGCCATCAACTCGTGTCATTCCGATGTTCGCCCGACAAGACAGCAAGTCTACTGAACTTGTGACCTGTGCCACTCTCAACGATGGTCCCGTACCGTCAAGTGCGTTAGCAGCTCTGTAGTCAATCGCCCGCTTGAACAGGTCCGTACGACCACGTTCCCGGATCTGACTCACGCATCCTGAGGACGGGGTGCACCTGTTCAACATGCATGACCTTCTATTCGCCTCCGAGCGCGGTTTAGTCATCAGGTGGTTACGAAGCGAAGCTCGCCATCAGTTCACGCACTCTTCGCTCTCACAGTGGGCCAAGATGCGGCCAGCTCGTGCCCTGCTGCAGACGTAAGACAACGGTCCTCGTTCCTAGAAGACACCCGCTTCGCTTAGGACAGTCTCCACAGGCTGCTATCGCTTGTCGTCATTTGATACGTCCAGGCTGAAAGCAGCTCCTAGCCGTTCGTACGACGTGATGTCTAACGACTCCTCATGACAACGTTCACTCTTTCAGGGGAGCTTCGCTGACTTCATGATGTCCCTATTTCCGCGATGAAGGAAACCCTGCCGCTGATTATTTTTTCCGGACGATAGGGCAGTACGAAACTGCCGGCCGCAGCTCGCCTGCCGTTGTGGGTCCCTGCGCTTGCGTGAAGCCGATAACGACAGAACGACTGAGGCTGACGGTGAGCCACCGTACCTTATTAGCCGTTCAGTCTGACTAAACAGAATCACTGTTCCTTGGACCTTTCTCCCGCGTGGGCCAATTTGCCTTCATTCCCGCGCGTCGGCATGGCGTCAAGGTCGGAGGTGGTTGGAGCATCACCAAGGTGCAATTGATCAGGTTGCTCGGAGTACCCAGTATCTCCCCTGTTCCAAGCACCGGGTAAGCTCCTCTTATTTCCAGCCTCGTTCAACGCTAGGTTGGCAAGCAGCGCCCCAATCAGCGCTCGCTCAGTATTTTGAGTTCTCTTGGTACCCCACTGATCGTAGAAACGTAGTAGAATTTGGTCCAGGCCATCGGGGTCTAAAGTCTACGAAGAGGCCGCCCTGGCTGCTGTCGGAAGTTGATACGACGCGGTAGGAGGCGCAGTCACGCAGTCCTCCAGAGCTACAGGGTCACAAGCGAGGACTATGTATTTGGTCAATAACGGCCCATAAGCCGAGAGATTGTGCGCGCCGATGATAGGCTCTGAGCGAGACTAATTGTAATGTGGCGGTCCGCTGCCATCCTCATGAGACCTACGCCACTCGTCACCTATCTTGGCAGCGGGCTGCAGCAGATGGCAGCCTCGGGACCCCAATTAACGGCAATACCGTCGTAGCTGCAGTAGCAGACGTCGGGCGCGTCGGGGCGCCCATTGAAGGCGCTCCTGATCGCAATCGCGCTGCTACGTCTGCCACGGTAAGTAGAGGGTGAACGGCTTGCCCGCCGCCACATCGTCCTCGTCCTCATGGCTATCGGCGACGGCACGGTCAGCAGTGCCGACGTCCCTGGCCGCGCCGCGTCCCGGCACCAAAACGACTCGACGCAGGCGCTCGAGATCTGCCTATACGCAACTTACGTGCGAGATATTTTTTCCTTCGCATTCCTATGGCCAGGACTCCGAACTGATACGGATGGCGGCGTCCCGTTTGGCTTCGATCTTTCGTCATTCAGGTCATCGGTCAAGCTTTTAATGGTCGCAACAGTCGTTTCAGCGGATCCCGGCGTCATCTGTCATACGCACTCTACTAGTATAGCCTCGTGCAATCGCCACATACTCGACGTTCCAAACTAAACGCCGACAGCTCGGAAGGTGGGCTGTGCCACAGCTCAGGAACGCGCTCCCCACGATCCCCGAGTTCTTTGGGCGGTTGAGACTCAGGACTAAGGGAGTGATTGACGTTGGTGGACACGCACGCGAACGTCGAAACTTCCTTCCCCAATGCTGAGCGCAGCGCGGGAAGAGTCCATGTTTGCAATTCGTACGCAGATGGCTCGCGCGCTGCCAGACTGCATGCAGTGTCTAAAGTTAGGAGATGACGTGCATACTCCATAGACAGAGTCAGCCGGGAGGATCGACGTGGGAGCCTATTCGTGGCGAAGCTTCAAGGTTTAGATGACAAAGTTGGAGCAACTGCAAGGCCAGGGGCATTATGGTTTAACGTTGTAGGTACAGATAACGAACACGGACGGTGGCGATGGAAGCAGTACATGTATATTGAGGTAGAGTATGAGATGCATGGTGATGCCTGATAGATATCTAGAGATGAGTGGACGATGAAAGCGAGGACGGTGCAACAGGAGCCAATGAGGTGCGATACAGACCGGATATAGTGGCGGGGGATAGGAAGACAAGCAATGTAATAATATCCGTGAAAACGACCAGTAGAATACGTATGAACAATGCAGAGTCCGTTTCACATGCGTAGAAGGAGATGAGGAGGTCACAAGCCACACGACCGATGTCGGCGACACCTGGCAACGGGATACCCACGTGGAGGGATCATACACGGGGAAATTTGTGAATGAGGGGAACGACGAGACGATTACGCCATCATCCCCACAGGAAGCATCGGCATCGGCATGGCGTAGAGCATCGCAGGTGCGATGGCTTCTTGCACGCCGAAGCCGGGGGTGTAGGTCGGCACGGTGTATTGGTATTGCAGGTAAGGGAACTGCATTGTGGGTTCCGCCGGAGGATAGTAGTACATAGCCTGAGGCTGCGCGTACCTAAGCAAGGAAGGATCACCGTCAGTCAGGTTCCGAGAACAGGATAAGGGGAAGGTGACAGAATGACACTTACTCGACGGCGTTGCATTCCGAAGCCTGTGTGGGCGCCATCGGCGGTACATGAGGGAGCATAATCTGCGGCGCCACCTCGCTTGCAGTCGCCAGGTTTATCAGCATGGCGTCGCAGTGTTGCGGTGTTTGCGAGTCGAAGGACGTCGCGAAGGTGCCTATGCGCTCCTCGGGGCTGAGGAAGGACGGGGATGACGTACAACGTACAGGGCGAGGCGCGTGGACAGAGCTAGCGGCGGAATGATGGTCGGTAGCCTCGTGGTACACCTGAGACGCGTTTTGGAGTTGATGTGCTTGGGCGCCGTGGGTGACGGTGTACGACGCCTGATCGTAGTAGTCGCCTACCGCCGCCGATTCTCCGAAAGCATCGACGGTGCCCTCGTACTCGTAACCGACCATTATCGGGTACTGTGCGTCGTCGTAGTGGGAGTGGAAATGGATGGAAGGAGTTGTGGAGTCAAACGAGCTCGAGTGCGTGTCAGAGAAAGAGAGTTCGGGCGTCGAGAGGCCGGGCTCCTGCTTGGGCAGGATGGATTCGGAAGTGTCGCAGTCGGACATCGAGTCGGTAGCTTCTGTGGGCTCAGAAGAGCTCGCAGAGTGCTCTCGCTGACGGCGTGCGCGACTCGCATTGTATGTAAACGTACCCTTCTCCTCTTCGACGTATTCGCAGATGTAACCGCGGGCGAGACAACGCATGCAGGCGGGGCGAGTGCCAGAGCACTATAACGGGACGAGGACGTTGGATCCTGACTACACATGGAGACGTAAACGATCCCATACCTTGGCCTTGCGCTGACGGCATTTGTTGCACGCCTTTTGCGTCCGCCGGTTCTTCAGCGGCGTCGGTGAACGCAGGAAGATACACGCACCCTCCGGACCCGGAAGGGTGCCGGCACGGTAGTGGTAGTATTCGGGACCCCACGGGACATCGTACGGAATGAGATTCCAGCTATCCTCGGAGGCGACGGCGGCGTCCAGTGGAGAGTGCGGGAAGTTGTCTACCGGAGTGCAAGGCAGCGAAGAATTTGTAGGCGAGGAGCGACCCGAGGCGGGGCCGGAGTCGGGATAGCCGGGCTGGTCGGTGTAGTGCTCGAACATGATAGTGAGTTGGTCGTTTGCCAACTTGGTGCGGGTATGCGATGTGGAGGAGGACATGCCGTCGGTGGGTGTGTATAGTGTGCGGCAGAGGGTGGAATGATATGGCAAGGGTTGAGCCAGACGGGAGGGTAAGGGCTACGGGTTGTATAATTGGAGGTGAGGAGGACAAGGACGAGGATGAGGACGAGAAGGCGAGGGGACTGCGGGGAGACGACCCGGTGTTCTTTAAGCAACTGTGTGGGCGGCGGCATTGGTTGCCGTGAAAGAATACTCTATCGAAAAAGGGCTGGACTGGATGGCGAGCGCGGAGAGGCTGAGGCGGGTACGGCAGTCGCCAAAGGGCTGGAGCGTCTTGCGAGATCCAAAGGATCTGTATATAGCTTAACGATCCATCGGGCTAATGTTCTTCTGTTGATGAACAGAACCCCTTCGGTGGCGTCGAGTATCGAGATCGGCGTCTAGTCTAGTCTTTTCACCCTGTTGCTTATTTTCCGCCCCAATAGATCCCCAGCTATCGGACGCAGTCGCGCAGGTCGACCGAAATGCCGCCTTGCATGCGAAGCCCACCAACCCCTTGAGAGGCGTGAGGCAGGGGCTGGAAGGACAGCAAACAACGCACCAAGTCCGCCTGCACCCTCAAACGAGGATTCTACACAGCCGTTCCCAGAGCCAGCCCGCTGGGAAAAAATGGCGTTCTGAGGCAATCGCGGCCCAGAAGAGCAACGCCTAACGGCAAAATTTGACTTCAGCAGCTCAGCTACATCCAGACGCCTGGGACAGGTGCTCAGGAAATGGGAATAGACTCGAGCCGCCTGGCGCCTGGGCAACGGCCTTCTCAATCCCTCGCACAGATACCACGCGCAGCGACAGCCATCGGATGGACGTGGACGGCCGCATCGCAATGCGCCAGCACATAACACGGCCAGTAAGAGCAGCGAGCACAGAGCCCTGGGCGATCAATTATCCTGCCACCTTCCCGTCAATAATGCGCCCTGTCCAATGAATCTCCAGAACGATTAACATTGACGGCTTGACAGGCCAGCCAATGTCGACCAAGTCCCTGCCGTCTCCTGAACATCCAAGTCCCTCACGCGTGCCAAGCCATGCGCCACTAAGGGGGAATAGACGCACAGCTGTACCCAATCCATGACTAGCCCATCTCACCGAGGTTACATTCGGGCTAATGAACGACAGGGCCCGACCGTCTCTGCGCGTGGCCGCCACTACCCGCCATGTCCAAAGCAGCCTCCGTCGGGGCCTGCGGCGCCCGTAATGTCCCCTTGTGATCGAGCGCCTCCCAGCAGCCAGGTACATTTAATGCGCCTTCTCGATCGTATCACGTCTGCGACGTGCGTGTGGTGGTATTTGATGTGAGTGGGCCGTGCAAGCGATTCGGACGGTAGTCCCGTGGGACTTAGTCGGATCAGCGCTGCGTCTTAACAGGTCGTATGTCCGTAAGACTCGAGGAAGGCCCAGAGGACCCGCCCCACGAAAGGCTACGAACGTCATCGAAAGTTCAAGGCAGGATACACCCCTGTTTTGATCCCCACTTGATATTCCTGCGATGGGTGCCACCGGTTATAACTTAGTCGGTATTCAGAAGCTACAGGGTACGTTGCGAAGACTATGTGATCGTGCTGAAACAGAGTCAAGTGAGCGACAGGAGCGGGTCACAAACGCGGGAAGCTGGATCATGGTATGAGCACGGATGGCATCTATGAGTTCACGTAGCCGGATCGTGTAAGACGGCAAGCAGATAGTGTTCGCCTACATCGAAGGATTTTAGAACGGGCCCCGTCAACAATCCATCATCTCGCATGGGTACGACCTCAGAGATATGGGCGCAATGATTGTCGCGCAACGCACCTGGGGATATCATGATTTCGTGGCGCTTTGTCCGTATCCGCATGAAGCGTATGTCGTCCTGCGTGGACAAATCATACGGGTCAGAGCGCGTGAAGACATGGACAATGCATGCGTGCTTACTCCGTCATTATGCCCGCCGCTCACGTCCTCCAAGCCCGTTTGCACACTGTGTACGATACGCGCTATCGCACTCGCGTATTTCTTCCCTTGTTCCCCCTCGAAAACGACTCCTGAATGGCGGATGATAGTCACTGGTTGCCCTCTCGATAATAGCATGTATCCCAGCACAGATCGATGCGACGTGAGAAGCGTGAGCGTTTGTTCGAGCTCGGGAGGCGTAGCGTGGGATTGCGTGGGTGCTGTAGACGCAGCCTGAGGTTCCGACATTGTTTGTGTAGCCAGCATGGAGAACAGTTCAAGTCCAACATCGTCCGTCGCGTTCGACAATCCATCGGCAGTACGCGTCCGGGGAGTGCCAGATTACGTAATGGAAGCATTGACCCTGCGAACGGCTCCACGTGGCTCCGCACGAAGTCTGACTTTAGTCTTTCAACTTCCTCCGTTTTGATTGACGTCGCGACGACCCTGAACTAGGTCCGCCCACATAGCTCGCCATGCTAAGGATCACAACACAATAGGGATTGTACCAGTGTGGTAGAGTAGACCGATCCTAAGGGGGGCCGTATTCAGCGGACGGAGACGAAACGCCAATATTTCTCAACGGCGAGTGCCGGCCTCTTAGTCCTCACCATTGTCGACCTATTCCATATTCCAGCATATCAGCTCGCTTGAGCTCGAGTATCGTGATGACCGCGTGGCCGAGAACCTAAACGTAGAGCTGCGTCTGATGACGCCCTCGAGTCCCTCGGTCGCCACCTGGAGTTGGATACTTGCCTTTCGAGGCTATATATTAGTTATTTCTTTCCATGGACTAACAACATCGCGTCGCCTCCTTCACATTCTCACAACCTAGTAGCAATTCGCCATGTCATGGAAACCCTCTCGCAGAACTAAGATACCATGACGTACCCATCACCAGCCCGGTCATGTCCTGGAGACATCGTCTTGCATCCCCGCTGTTGTGTTCTAGCCGAGTACGCGTTTGCAGGTACTGTAAGCCAAGACTACCGGATGTACTTACTGTAAGGGTAGGTTTGTAAGCAGTGTGTACACTGCGACAATCGTGGTCTATGGGTGCCTTGCAACTTTCGACTGGTGACCATCTGCCAATAAATGTCGGCCTATTTGAATAGGACCCTGTACGCCTGATGCATATACTACAGTAACGAACCATTCTCGACCTCGGGTCAGACAACCTCCGGTGCCCCAGAATATGGTGCTGCTGGATTTTCCTGAATGCGGATATCCCGGCAAGGTTCATCGAATGGCTACTGCTCTCCAGTCAAGGAACGAGCACGGGCCCACTCGGCGCCCCGCTGCGCCGCATGCGTTGAGGTTCCCATGATCCAGGATGCATGGATCGTCTTCACTTCTGGGATCGTCACTTTAGAAGTGAATTGCAGCACATGAGTCCTCCGCATGAAGGTACGCACTTCTCCACCGCCGACGTCGCGCACTTCATTTCCCTGTAAGTTGGAGGCCGCGGCAGCTACGCAAGGCATTGGCTCGTCCGAAAGCTAAACAGGGTCTACATACAGCATTGCAATACAAGGTCAGGACGGATTAAGCGCAGAATACACTATAGGTCGAGAGCAGTAGGATAGCCATGTCCGCGAACGAATTAATCTCCTTCGCCCCCTCTAGCTCTATGCCACTATGCCTCTATGAATCATCTCGGCTGCCAGAACGGTGCGGCATCATCTACTCTCCGTTGCTCTTGGGCGCCTGCCTGAAGACTCCGAGAGCCTTGCCGGACAGCCTTCGGCGTCGGGGGTCGGGGGTCGGCCGCTGACATTGTCCGTCTGTGGAGGCCATTGGCTATCCGAGAACTTGGCCTGGCAACATCCACAGGATCACCCGCGTCATCCGTCCTCTGCTCCTCGACGAAGTCAAGCTCGAGGATGAAATGTCCCTCTTTCCACCGTTCGGGCGCATCGTGGGCTCGGACGAACTTCCATCCGAGGTATGTTTCGCACGTCGCGCAAATGAATTCTTGTATCGTGTACGCGCCGGAGTCCATGAGAAGTATGGAAGGCGGGTCGAGCGCGATATTCCGCCTGTAGATAGGACGTGTGCGACAGGACGGGAGCGGAAAAGGCAATAACAAGGAACGAGGGTTACAGGGCAACGAGACGATAACGTGTGTAGGCGGTGTGCAAAGGCCAATCAGCAAACACAAGGGACACGCGATGCGGGCGCGAGATGACACTGAAGACGTACACATCGGAAAACAGGGCCGCCTTGCCTGCATGCCCGCGGTATGCCTGCGTGCAGGGGGAATTGAGGTTAGATTCTCCAAATCTCTCCCTTGCGCCAAGGCTCAGGGCTCGCGGGCATTAGCGACGCGTGCTAACGGGCGTGCACTCACTGTGGAAACTAGTCGAGCCGTGTGTGTGATGCGCGTGCGACACTGGGTGCATGTAAAGGCGCGTGGTGGTCCAGCCTGCGCCACAGGGTCCAGTTCTGAGGGTAATGGGGGTAATGGGGGCGATGGTAACTTGGACATGGCGAAGTGAGGGCTGGATATTGTCGAGAATGTGGGGGTCGAAAGACAACAAGTCGTGGACACCGTTTGCGAATCGTCCAGACTGGGCTCCTGACGCAACCGCCCGGTGGTCCAAGACAACGGTACGAGCCATCAAATTTCTCATGGGATTTCCGCCACAATTGGCTTGTAAAGCTGGACGCGTTGCGGAATGCGGGGGGCACTGTCCTTCGTCTTGGTGACCGTAGGCTGTCTGACGTCCCAATACATGAGACAGCGTGCACTGCAGGGCGTAGGTGGTGAGAGCACCGCACAAGCAGATCACGTACGTGATGCTTGTCCACATGAGATTCACTGAAATGCTGTGCCACAATGCCTGGTATGGACATACTCTTGCAAAATCATCTAAGATTGTCATATGTCGATAAGTGGACGTTTGTCTGGTGCCACTATATTGTTTTTGCTCGTCGGACAAGTTCCCCATTCAAGAATCTACCAAGAACTGAAGGCTGCTCATACCAGGAGGTTAGCTCGTGTTCCTTTTGATGAGGTTAGGATGATACATGCAACGGTTCGAACCACAATGGCTGCCCGAATTGGCAGAAAATGCTTCCGATGGCTTATCAAGATTACTGCGACGCGCGGCGTTATCGTGAACCTGGGCCATCCTCGCTCACCCTCACAACCTGTTTCGCGCCCCCGAAGCTCGCGCAATGTCCACTCAGCGTGTATTCACAGGTTACAACGTGGTGCTGAGCGATGGACAGCCTCAACCAGCCACCCTGATTGTGGATCTCACTACAGGCAAGATTGTTGACATACTCGGCCGAGTCAGCGCCCGCACCGACTTCCCTGACGTCGGCGATGCGGATTGGATCGATGCGGGGGGCAAGTTTATCTTGCCAGGAATAGTTGAGTGCGTGCAGCGGCTGTCGTTATAGTTGTATTGCATCGGAATGCGGTTCTAACGAAGCACCGCCAGCGCTCACGTCCACCTGAACGAACCTGGACGGACAGACTGGGAGGGTTTCTGGTCGGGCACGCGCGCCGCAGCTTCTGGAGGAGTCACGACGATCGTAGATATGCCACTGAACTCTATACCGCCGACGACGACGGTCGCAAACCTTGAGGAGAAACGCAACGCAGCCCGCGGGCAATGTTGGACAGACGTCGCATTCTGGGGCGGGGTCATACCCAACAATCAGGTAGAATCAGTGTTGAAGACTCTATCAAGGCAGTAATGACCATCGCCGGCGATAGGCTCATATGAAGCAGCTCGTCGAAGCAGGTGTGAGAGGCTTCAAGTGCTTCCTCATTGAAAGTGGCGTGGAGGTGGGTACTTTACGAGAGCACAGAGCTACTGTCTAATGCCACGGTAGGAATTCCCATGTGTCAACGAAGATGACCTCCGTCTGGCTATGAATGAGCTTCAGGTAATGTGAGATGCACATCCTCGGACAGATCGTCGTCTTCACCATACGCATGAGGGCAGAATACGTCCACGGTGCTTTGCTTCCACGCTGAACTTGACAAGACTGCCAGCACGGTTGCCGCGCCTGCGGATGCCGATCCCACTCTCTATTCGACGTTCCTCGCGTCCCGCCCACAGCAGCTCGAGGTCGATGCCATCGCGCTAATTACCGCGCTTCACAGGCAGTATCCTTCTCTCCGGTTGCACATCGTTCATCTCTCCGCGTCTGATGCGCTCCCACTTATTCGCGCCGCCAAGCAATCGGGCCTCCCGCTTACCGTGGAGACATGTTTCCATTACTTGACCCTTTCCGCCCAACACATCCCGCATGGTCGACCCGAGTTCAAGTGTTGCCCGCCCATACGCGAAGAAGCTAATCGCGAGGCGTTGTGGGCGGCCCTCTTGGACGGCACGATCGACTGCGTAGTTAGCGACCATAGCCCATGCGTCGTGTCCCTGAAGAAGGTCGAGGAGGGCGATATTATGAGCGCATGGGGAGGGATCAGCACACTTGGGCTGGGGCTAAGCCTCTTGTGGACGGAGGCCCGCAAGCGTGGCGTGGGCATCGATAGGCTCGTCGACTGGCTCTGTGTCAAGACCGCTAAGCACGCTGGACTCGATGACAGGAAGGGAACAATTCAAGTGGGGTACGACGCGGATCTCCTCGTTTGGGATCCAGATGCGGAGACGAAGGTGCGATTCTAAGTACAAGGGGCATGCCGTGTGCCCGCTAACCATTAGCGGTCGCCCAGGTCACGAAGGAGTCGCTTAACTTCAAGAACAAACTGACCCCTTACAAAGGCCTTGCACTACGTGGGAGGGTTGACCGAACGTTCCTCCGCGGCTTGCTGATTTATGACGGTGCTGTGAACGGATTCACTGATCTAGAGCCAGTTGGCGCCTTGCTGTGAAACCCGCATCATGCCATAGAATACATCAGAAAGACTTTCGGATTGATGAGTGCATGTTTGATTTTCGTTGACGCGAATGGTGTTATGCTACTGATTGGGCATTAAGGGAACAAACGCGCATATCCCGGGCGTCCTGATCTTACCGGTTCATCTGCTAGAGCGCCGACTTTCGCGTTTTGTCGGGCCTGTGGATGCACACTGTAGCCGATCATATGGCGGGTTGCGGTTAGTATTCCCCAGGATTATCCTAGCACCTGCGCGTAACCGGTCCGCGGGTACCAATTGTTCATTCTCGTGTTGGTCCGGCTATTACCGATGACATCGGGATGCCTCTCCGACATTCATACAACCGAAAAGCTCACGGTAGGTGATCCGCCAGTGAGGAGTTCTCGCTTGCTTCATTGTTGACATGATGGTGTCGCCGGGAGACGGTGCTTCTGGTCAGCGACAATCCTGCGGCGTTCGGGCGCTTTAGTAGCGTAGCTCATAGATGCGCTGCTGATTGTCCGGTCGTGTCTTCAGGACGTCTGTCTTTGACCAGTTGAAGAGCGAGAACAAGGTCTTGTGCAGCAAGGGAATTCCTCTCCATGATAGCGGTCTGGGCTATAGCTCGTGGGCAACTGCTTGCCACCTACGGGCATCGTCGTGATTGTTGACCGTAGTAAGCTGGGAGCGGATGATATGAATTCGATGAATCGTCCGGACGTCGGCCGCCACATTCACCGTACAGGGTGATTCAAGCGTGGTTTGTGTGATACGAGTACGTACGGATTCATAACCTCGGTCTCTGTTCGGCATAATCATTGCGATATAAGAATTCGCGGCTGTTACATGTGGTAGTGATAGCGCGGACGTACGAGGCACCTCTCGTTGGATTTATTGAGTGTCGACAGCTAGCGCTACTGGCATGTCTGGCAAATCAGGCCAAATCGATCGGTTTTATTCATTGGGCATTCCATTTGCAAGGTCGAGAATGGGCTTCGACGAAAAGGTGCATATCTCGGACCTCTCTGCAAAGCTACATACAGTATTGGTAGCGACTACAAGACTGCATGCAATAAGTTAGCGGTCAGACGACCAGCCTCGACCGCTCACTCAGAGCATCACCGCGGAGTCAAGCTACCCAAGCAGACAATGAATTCGTTCTCCGTCCGTGCGTCTAGGCGTTCCTGTTCACGCTGTGTGATCGTTCAGAGATATATGAGGTGTGCACGGTACAAAACGAGGACTACATTACTCTACAACATAACAGCACAAAATAAGATAGTGGTAGATCGAGAGACACGACATGGCTGGTTGCACTGTATTAACTAGTCATCGCCGCCCAGCCCCAGCCTAGGCACGGACGATTTAGAGGATGTTGGCGACTGCATCCTCTTCCTCGTCCTCCGAGGAGTCCATTATACTGTCTTTGGTGACGTTGCCCTCTTCCAGCATGTCGTCGATATCCTCATCGACTTGCGCTTCTTGCCGTGCTCTAGACGATTTGCCCTGCAATGTAGCTCTACAGTACCCGGCCACAGGCAACGCCGAGCAACGAGGGAAGACATGCGCATTTTAGTAAGGCCGTTGGAATGGAAGCCGCAGCTTTAACGTCAACTCACCGCCTCGCGCCGTTGGCCTTGGCTTTCGCGACTGGGGTCGCGTTGTTCTCATCATCTTCGTCGCCCTCACCGTCGTCATCTTCTTCATCTTCGTCCTCATCATCAGAGCTTATGACAATAGTCTCTTGAATCGCTTTTTTCGTCGCGTTTCTCCCCTTCTCACCACTGCATGATATACGCAACGTTAGCGACATCTTGCATGGGCCCCCGAGCACAACCGAACAGTCCGACGCAAAGGAGACTTACGCGTTTCGCTTCGGCATCAAGCGCGTGGGGGCAGGCGTGGCTGACGGAGATGCTCTAGACGTTTCCGTGAGAGCATCATCGTCAGAATCATCGTCTGATTGGGAGAGACGACGTCGCCTGTGAATGGCGCGCGGTACACGACATGCAAGGGTCAGCGACGGAGCATGGACGGAAAGCACGAGACGTACTTGGCCTTGCTCTTCTTCCGAGGAGATGGCGGCGGACTGCGATCGTCGGATATGACGCTCGGTGTCTCTGTAGCGACACTCATGGAACGCCTGCAGGGGAACAGAATGACGACATTGGCGTGGGTATACGGCATCGGTTGATCGGTGGGGGGACAAAGAGACGAGATAAGGCGAGGCATACCGTTTCCTCCCCTTCTTAGGGGGCTCATCTTCGTCTTCTTCTAGCGGCACGATGTCGTCAAGGAACTCGAATAGATCCTTGAGCTCCTCGAGCTGCCTGAATTCGTCCTCGCTGAAATTCTCGAGCTGCTTCTCGTATCTCTTCGCGAGCGCGCTGTCGAATTTGATCAGCGCGTTCTTCCCGGCCGTGTCCGGCGGCGGGCGGCGCTGATGCGTTGCCGTATGAGCTCTGATGCCCTAAGGCAAAAGATTGGAGCAGAAGCCACGCTTACCGTACGCAGGGTGTCCACGAGCAGCTTGAGTATGCGGACCTTGTCGGCGTCTACCTCGTCGGGCAAATACAGCTTTCCGAGTACTTGGTACAGGGCTTTCTTGTCCTCCTCTGTGATAACGTCAGATCACAACACAGTAGACTCGAGATCCTACGCACTGCTGTACTTAATACTGAAGAGAGCCTTGAGAATGTCGTGCGCCAGATCAAGATGGATGGGGTCCTTGTGAGCGTCCTTACGTAGCCCCTTTACGGCCTCCCTGCGGGTCGGACCATCTCAACGTGAGTAACGGGGACACGTAGCGAATGACGTACGCAGCCTGTATGGGGTCTGTCCAGTCGGCGAACATGAGAGCGGCCTGCGAGGGAGCCACCATATCTTCCTCGCCATCCCATGTATGGTACGCTTTCGTAAGCCACTCGAACATCGGAATGAAAGTCTGTTCGCAAGGAATCGTCCATCAGCATCGGTCCACAAGTCAGTGTACATAGACCCACCCTCTGCATCCTCCGCTGGTTCTCGGCGGACGAGTACGAGTAGACGGGGAAGAAGTACGACAGACACTGCCTCAGCTCGTGGTTCCCGACCGTCTCGGGCGACATGTACGCGAGTACCAGCGCCAGCAGCACTTGCTCGTCTGCGAGCAAGCCTGCAAGCATGAGCTTCGCGGTGCCGGCGCACACCAGCGCGTGCACCTTGTCTGTCTGGTCGCTGCCGAGCATGGCCAGCAGAAACATGACGATCCGACCCTCGTTCTCGCTGCCCGGCGCGAGGAACACGCTCTCGTGCACCATGAGGATGTCGAAGATGATCTGCAGCACGCGTAGCTTGAGCACTTCGGGCGCGGCCGCGACTTGGTTGAGGAACAGCTGGAAGGAGGAAGCCGCCATGTGCTGCAAGACCGTCCATGCGGTTGAGAATCATGGCAGGTGAAGCAAGCGGAACTGGAGGACGTACGCGTGCGATGAGGCAGCAGAGCCCCAAGCAGGTGAGGCCCTTCTCGCGGAGAGCCATCTCCCGCCGCTTGACAGCGGGTATGACTAGCTCGCCGAGGATCCCTTGCAGAACCGGGTTGTCCTCAAAAGTCTAGACAAGCCGTTAGATACACCCTCGCCGACGAGCAGCGGTGATACTCACCCCATTGACACGCTCGAGCATGCCAATACACAACGACAGGCAGCGCAAGTCCACAACGTCCATCCTAGCCTTCTCCTCGGGGGTCATCTCTGCGACCGGCTTCGGCAACTTGGGCTTCTTCGGACTCCCGCCTGCTTCTGTCATGCTGTCGTCCGGGTCCACGCTCATATCTGCCTTGACCTCGCTCTCCTCCTCGGTCGGGGGGTCGCGTAGCTCGTGCACGACCTCGACGACGACTCGAATCAGGTCCTGCTCGCTCTCCGAGATCACGCGGAGGACGTCGAGCGGCCGTGCGAGGAGCGACTCGGAGAGGAAGTCCTGCGCGATCATCCCGCGCACGAGCAGCGACATCTTGCGCCGTCCGATCTCGTCTTTGTAGTCCAGGTTAAGGGCGAGCCGTAGCAGCTCCGCGATCGTCAGCTCGCGGTCCAGCCGCGCCTCTTCCCGAGCAGCGCGCGCCTCTTCTTCGTCGTCTTCGTCGTAGGCGCTCTCTTCCTTCATCTGCTCTGCGAGCGCGTTGTAAGCGTCTTGGATCCGGAACGCCATCGCGGTGGTGACAGGGAGCGTAGCCTCGACTCGTGCATGTGCCTCCTTGGAAATGCACTTGTCGACGAAGACACGCGCGAGGAAGGCACGTTCGGGCGTGAGGTTCGTCCAGTAGTCGTCTTCGGTACGCGCAGTCAGGACGCGGACCTAAGGTAGATGTTCACAGGGCGTACCAGAGAACTCGATGTGTTCGAATATGTCGACGCGCGTGTCAAAGACGCTCCCTAGCGCGTCCTCCGCCACCTTCCCCTCCTCGAGGTCAAACAAGTTCAGGAACGCAACGAGGTCTTCGATGACCTCTTCGCCATTTTCCCTCTTCACGTTCTCCTCCGGCTTGACCTCCTTGCCTGCTTCCGTCCGCACGACGTCCACCCATACCCCGAGCAGTTGCGCCGCAGCCTTCTTCACGATGTCCTCACGGTCCCCTAAGCCATTCCGTACGATCTGCTCCCGCTGCGCGATGGTCAGCACGCGCGGATGAGTGAAGCCCACCCGCGTGCGGGAGTCTTCCCCAACGCCCGTGCAGTATTTCTCCAGTACGTTTACGTAGACGAGTCTCCGTGTGGCAGCATCGACATCGCGCGTGCGTGCGAGGAGAGCGGGCAAGGTGTACGGAGTGGCGGGCAAGTGGGTGACAGCGGCGCGTCGGACTTCGGCGGCGGGGTCGTATGTCATGGTTTCGATGAGCATGTCGAGGATGGTGGGCTCGTCTTCGTCGAGCTCTGCCGTTTCCTCGGAGATCGCGAGCTTTGAGAGAGCCAGGACGGCATATGAGCGCACGCTAGGTTCCTTGTCTCGAAGGCGGTCGAGGAGAGCAGCGCGAAGCTCTGCGTAGAGGTCCTCGCTACGTGCGGGAGTCAGTTGATCGGGACCAGTCAGCAGAAGTGCAACAATCATACTCAATCGCGCCTAGATTCGTGATCGTCTCTGCTATGCACTGGAGGACGCGCATCCGGACGACCTTGTCCTTCGCGGTGCAACCTTCAAGGAAGAAGCGGACGGCATGTGTGATGAACCGGTCGGCGAACGTGTCTTCATCTTCATCCAATTCACGTTCCTTCCGGTATTCGAAATCTAATAGTCAAGTCGCGTTAGGGCCAAAGATCGCGTTGGAAGGTAGTTCCGCAGCTGCGGGACGCCACAAGTGGAGGGCTTCGTGACAACTACAGCCTCTGGTTGTTTCATCGAGGCGGGTTGAGGTTCCCAGCCTGGTGTGACCACACGACGCATCGGAAGGCGGCAGCGAACGAGGACTTACTCTTCTCCATTGCGAACTTGGTGTAACCTCCCATGAACTTCACAGTCCTGTCCGCCTGACCGACGCCCTTCTTAACAGGGAGAACCCGTAGCATCATATCGTCAAATACGTCCCAAAATGCCTTCTCTCCAACGAGCTTGGTGCTTCTATCATTCTGAACGGATGACTTGACCTGCTCGGCCTCCCTATGGAGCTTGTAGAGCGCGACATAGTTCTTCTGGTGGTTGGCAGATGTGTTCTGGACCTGGTCAAAGATCTTTGGCAGAGCGGCATTGAGAGACTCGAGGTCGAAGGGCGCAGCATTGCGGGCAGGCATGGCGGCCCAGAAGAGGGGATGGAGGGGAACAGGTTCACGCGCGATCGAGCATGCGGTAACGAACCACGCGCGACGCGTCGTGTGACACGTGATGCTTCGCGTCTTGTGACCTGTGATGCGTCACTCCCTCGTACGGAGTCCCGGCAGCCACCCGCAAAACAGACATCATTGCCAGTACCTCAGATATCCCATGCTCTCAACTCGTGTTGTTCATCCATTAGTATGCTGATATTTGCGGACATTTGCACCGGCCCTCAGGCTCGCCCGATTAGCCAGAAGACAGACGTGCGTGGACACAACGCGACCCTCAGAATCTGTTCAGGCAACAAGCTCGCCTCAATACCCTTCGAAGCGGTGGGAGTTCCGTTCAAGATCTGGGTATGTCTTGTCTTACTTTGTGTCTCGTGCTGCCTAGTCCGAGTCCTGCGTTATTTGACGGGTATTAGGACGATGAAGTTCAGGTGTCGCTTCGTTGCTTCGACTATATAGCGTGTTCTATCACTTTCTCGATGATGCTTAACCTGTACAGGCTTGGGTGCGGCTCGTGCGGCTCACGATTGTTATGACAAGTATGCACTGCTATTGCTGGATGTAGCGCTCCCACGAGGTGAGCTTTTCGTCCGCAGCTTAGCTCTGCTATGACAGATAGGACACGTTCCGATGGTTGATCATTTGCATGCGCCTCGGCAGTGCTTTTTCGTGTCGAGTCATCGACCTTAACATGGTTTGATTCGCCGGGTGACAGCATTGCATCAGTTCTACATCGCGCAGGGGCGTTCAAGCTTTTCAGCCCCCTCCACAGCCAAGAGCCATTGGTTGATCGATGTCGCTCGCTCTACGAGCACCGTTGCGGGTGGCGCGCTGGAGCAGCCGCAGTTCTTCACACAGGGACAGGCACAGCGACAGTAATGCCCTGAAGGGTTCAAGCGTTCCGGAACCGGCGAGGGACGGGGCTGTGCAATCCCGCACGTTCAATCGGATACATGCAGAAGCATTTCGGGCAGTCTGTAACGGAACACTGAATGACGAAGGCTACTTGCCGTCTGCAGAGCCAACTGGTGGCATCGGCGTATGCATATAACTGGATCCTATGAGCGATGACAAAAGTATCTGACCCACCGCTTTGGCTGAGGGGCTAGGTTTTTTTTCACCAACATAGCGTCCCAATTATATACAGGACGACGTAAACAGGGACTGACTGGTTGACTAATACCGCCGCCTGTCATTACTACCAAGATTATAATAGATCGCAGCCGGAGTATGGCGCTCGGTATTGGGATCGCATCTATAGAATTGACACTTTGCCCGGTGCGCGCGCTCCTCTGTTACCGCAACATAGACACTACGCGCTTCGACTTACGACTTACAACTCATGATGATGATTGGGTTCTCCGATAATATGCATAAAAGCGCATTCATCTTCCGAGACTTTACGTGAACCACTTCTCCCTACGGGCTCTCAAATTGCTCTCAAAGTTGTATACGTGTATTGCTCACTGAGAATGTCGGCCGATTCAGAGACCCAGGCTGCCATAGCTGAGGCGAGGTATGTCTCAGCTCTTGTGGCATTTTGCTCTAGGTTCTGACCCAAGAGTTTAGGTCGTTATTTATCGGCAATTGTTATGGACTCGCTGTCCTCGGTATGTCCCCATCAAAGCCGCAATGAAGGCCCACACTAAAGTTCATCAACAAATCATGCCTATCTGCCAGCGTTATTTGTATACGATTACCTCATAACACTGGGAAGCGAGGTCACGCTGTTCTGGATGCCCCGTGAGGTCAACGGAGCCTCGATCCTCTTCGTGCTTACTCGATACATTACCCTTGCGACCGAAATTCTGAACGTGGCACCCTTTCCTGCTTCATTCCACGTGAGCGATGGCCTGTGTCATCTGTAAACGTTAACCCAATACTAAAACCTCGGCAGGGGTAGAGTCCTCCACATCGACTCGAGTGGGAGGATGTGTATTCTGATGCCACTGCAGCACTGTTGTCATGATCATGGCTGCGGTCGTGATTAGAAGTTTGCAGTATCTTCCATGGGCTGGTACGTGCGACGTGTTCTGCTATGCATGTACAATCTGGGACACCGCCCTTTTCTACAGCGTTCTCCGCACTCAGAGTGTACGCCTTGTGCCCGGGGCCATACAGATTCTTGATAGCAGCAATCGTGCTTCCCCTCTCGTTGGTCCCCCTACTTATCAATATGCTGGTACGTGCTAGAATTCTGAATCATCACAAGCGACCTTGCTTGATAGGCCTTTTTGCCCCAGGTTAATCTGCACTGGGTACACTATCTCGATGATCCACAAGGCGGTGTTATTGTTGTTGATATGTTATCACCAAGCGTGAATCTGAAGTTAGTGAGCGCACAACTATCTCTCTTCACCCCACATATCTGACACCGCAGGTCGCAGGCGTATGCTAAGGTCTTCTAGTACTCTTCGTCCGATATATCTACTAACTCCGACTATCTCCTAGTCATCATCGCAAGCCGGGCCTCCCTGGTTCTCGCCGATCTATTGGTTCTCTGTGTTACTTGGTATCAAACATACGAGACTGTCAAAGTGTCCCGGCGCGATCTGGCTGACTCGGCCAAACCGACCTTTGCAAGTACACTTCTTCGTGATGGTTAGTCGTCTAATCTAGTATTTGTCGTATGCACTGCTCAAGTGATCTACTTATAGGAACGATTTACTTCTTGTCAGTGAAGTTGAAGGTCCCTTCTCTCTCTCATCCGTTCAGCAGCTCAATATATCACGTCGGACAGGACACTACTGATGCTGAATGTCCTTCATATGATATTCAGTCTAACATCGGTGAGCGGGTAGCGGAGCGAGGCAAGAAGTTACTCTGACATCAGTGTGACATTGAATCAGATCGGCAGCAACAATGTATTCGATCTAGCAAGCGTCATACCCTATTTCGAGGAACCGTACGTGCATCTACTATCTCGTGATGAAACCCGATTCCATGAGTGTACACAGTTTGACCTCAATTCTTACGTCGAGATTCCTCGTCAACCTGCAGCAGGTCAAACACAGGCTCGCAGGGTCTTCCCGGTCTCTGTCCCAAATGTCGGAACCCGCATTTCAGCCGCAAGCATCAAGAAACATGAACAGGTTCATTGGGTCCCTAGGAGCTCAGCTCTCGTTCGACGAGGAGGAAAGTGATATATAGGCGGAGTCTTAATATGGTGTCTCGATATATTCCGTGAGGGCCGCCTGTGTAGTCAATCTGTGTTTTCTTGTGACCGTATATTGCCGAGCTGTAACTAGCGAAACATCGAGTGCACTGCTCGAGTTCTTTTCATCGTCTTCATCCTCATGTACGTGGCAGTGTTGGTCTGTCCAATAAACTCTTCTTATCCCCTTCTAGCTAGCGCACGGAAGGCACCTCAACAACGCATGCCTACAGCGACAATTCGCCCTTACTACTCAGACTTCGTCTTGCAGGCCCGTGATGGAAATCAAAGGAGAAACAAATGATTTAAAGCAGCTCACTACGGACATGAACATATCCGTCATCGGCTCAGGTGTAATCATTTGAACCGAGACATTACAACCGAGTGGCAGCACGATACTCATATTTTACTCATCCTTACAATCTAGACACCTCCAACGGCCATGGACCACCGAAAGGAGAATCGCTATGACGCCACCGAGGTCTCGAGAGTGATATCAGACGATAGAACACTGGCGAAAACACGGAGTCGGTTAGTACATAATATGCAAGCAGGATGCATCCGGTCGGAAGACAAACACATACCTAGTTTCCCGTCGGTTCTCCTTCCTCCTCGAATTCTTCTCCTGAGATCTCCGACACGGTATCGTAACCCTCTTCATCGGCAGCCCTGGCAGTCCTCGAGCGCGTAGACTTCTGAGGATTCAGGTTCACGGACCCGTCCCGATAGATATGAACTCTGTTGCCACCAATCCTGCGGTTGTACCGGACGGTAATATGGTCCTTCGTGTCATTGTCGTTGAAGTGCCACCATCGACCGCTAGAGCTGTCAGAATCCGTTTCGGAAATATGTTGAATATCAGTGTCTGAATCAACGAAGGAAGGCTAGGAGAACGAGTGGACGGACGACGTACGAGTAGACGATTGCCTCGGTTGAGCTCTTGAGGTCTGAGTACTTCTTCCAAGCGGCGGTACAGAGTGTAGTGATATTCGGCTGCTCGGCTGGTAGCAGAGTCGCGGGTCTGAACTCCATTCTTAAGGACATGATGAACGAAAGAGGATGAGGGTTCTGATGGCTCGATTTGTAGGTGTGGGGGTAGTATGTGCGGGGTGGTGAATCGATGTGGGGCATGATTAAATACTCATGGGGCTCGGCGGGTACCGAAGAATTCCCTCCGTGAATTTGCAACGCGAATGAGCCTTGTCAAGGAAGCTGGTTCATTATTGGCATACAACTATTGCAGATGCCGGAACTACATTGTACCGGTGTGCGCTGAGCTCGATCTCCGCCGCCGCGTACGTGTACATGCAGCACCTTATGACGTTCATGCTTGCATGGAAGTGTCCAAAAATGTGCTGTCTGGACCTCTAGCGCACAGGTCGTGCACAATCATAGTACCTCATAGTACTCGCATGTGACGTGGGGCAAGTACAGTGCAGAGTTCGAAGAATTGAAGGTGTAAGTGGAAGCATGCAAACGTCAATTGGATCGACTGGCAGTTCCGCATGACCCGTGAAGTTGGTGCCTCGATTCAGACCATCCCTGATAACGAGCCTTCATCATGTCGGTCTATAGACACATAGCGCGTCATGCTCGGTCCTGCCTCATTTGAGTGCCGACTCTCATGCGCCTGAGAACTCGCAATATCACTTCACTATGCAGCTCGTCCCAGCGCTATCTTTTGATCAGAGGCTCACAACGGGGGTGACCCACACGCTCCGCTCAGTGTAAATGCTTGGCAACCATACCTGTTGAGTGTTGCATCCTCTTCGCTCCTCCTTAGCAGATAGACACACTCCACACTGGTCGATCATCTACAGGCTTATCGGCCTATTTGTGGCGGTGGTTGAGGTTCTTGGGTCACCCAACCTGGTTCACTCACGACAGCGAACCATGAGCGCCTTATTGCGCAGAGGACTTCCAAATCATGCCTCACGTCGTTCAAGACGAACGCACGGAAGATTATTGTGAGACGCTCTACAGTGACGCGCATCGCTCCTTCGCCTCGCTGCGCACGGTCAAGGCGCTATGCGCAGTACTTGTAGGTAACGCCCGGAGTCCATCTGCGTCATACCCCACCCCCCCTGCCCGCGCACTCGGGGCAGTTGTCAAAAACAGGACCTCACGGAAGAGTCGGTATGGCATCCGTGCGAGGAAGGCGGACGGGGTGACCAGATTCGAAGCCGAACCTCCGGAGGGGAGGGGGATCTCACGTGCGTGAGTCGGCATAGGTCTATCCAGCCTAGCTCCATACAACGTCGGCTGGAAGGACGTCTGCCAACGCCCGTCAGCGAGTTCCGTCTTGATCTCAGGCCGGTCCAGATCAATTTCCGTGGATCACATCGCGAGCCTGAGCTGTGTGCGTAGGATGGGGGCTCACCTTCGTCTTCCCGGAGACCCGGAGCTGGGAAAGACCCGGGACGGCTGAGAAGCCTACGTCTGGCTCCCTGTCCCGTAAGTCGTCGATAAGGGCGGTGCGGGGCTCTGCGTAGAGGTCTTCGTTGTGAGTCGGCACAATCAGGCTGGGTCAGTCAAAGAACAAAATATCTCAATCTCACTATTTCGGAGAGATTGAACATTGCCTCCGCTGTGCACCAGTGGAGGATGCGCATCCTGACGACCTTGTCCTGACGAATAATATGCGCAAGAGGACAGGGAAAGTGTCCTCTATACAGGCCACGCTCCTTGAGATATCCGGGTTCTAGGATTCGACCCACATCAGTCAAACACTACACAAGGGACTGTCCTTAGCTAGCTGACGAATGAGACCGCACGCACATGATGTCCGCTATGGGAGCAGAGGCGCACCAATTGCTACTCCACAAAAGGCGAGACGCACATAGGAGACAGAAGGTCACCCATGCGACGACGAAAGCGGTTGCCCAAGAACATCTCACCTAATGATACCGCCGTACCAGAGATAAAGAGGCCCTTTTTTCTGCTCTCCACAGCTTCCTCCAGACAAATCTGCAACACTGCTCATTTAGCATCTCATCGCGAAAGTAGCGAAGGGACTTACTTTGCTCCAGCGTGAACTTGGTGTAGGCTCCCGCGGATTTCACGGCTCCGTCCGCCTAAAGGACGCAGTTCTTCAAAGACGGAGAACGCGGAAACATCTTGAAGTGCATCCCAAAAGGCCTTCTCTCTCGCGAGCTTGTTGCTCAAGTCATTCTGTGCGGGTTGACTTGGCTTGCCGGTTCTCCATGCAAGGTTTGCACGGAAACGCTACGTAGTCTTGCTCGTGATTGGCGAGTAACCTATGTACAACAACGGCGGTTATAACCCGAAGGAGGATCGGGCCATGATGGTTTAAAACCTCCCTTTCCCCCTCCACGTGATGACAACCGTGCTTGTCCAGAGTTGTCTGTGCACACATCCGGGGTGGCTCTTCCATTGCCAGCGTCGTACCGCTCGGGTTCCTTTCCCGCCCTCTTCCCGCCGTGTACGGCTGTTCTGTGAGCTAGTTTGCGCTCTCCTTGCCTGTAGAACCCCTCTCCTCCTTCCTGCGCTCTGCCCGCCTCCCGCCGTCCTGCTCTCTCCAGGGACGATGTCGCGCCAACAGCGCATCAGAATTTGATGCGCTCCTCATGGTACCTACGCGCTTACCATCAGCGCCGTTTCTCTGTTGATATCCCCCTCCCGTCTTGTCCTACGTGACTGCCGCCGCCGCCTCCCTACGTCCCGCCACAGACCCGCTCGCCTTAAGGCATGCTATATGCTTGCATACTACGTACTCGTTGCTTTGGTTTTTCCCCTCTTCCGGCCGTCATGGGCAGGACCCTCGACCTCGCCGCCCGCGCCCGCGCGTTGCTCGGCTGCTCTCTTTCTGCATGCGGTAGGTAGGTTTGAAACCGTCAAGGCCAGATTGCCCTTCAGGTAAAAACCGCCGTTGTAGTCTCTACGATTGGCGGGGGCGTTGTGGACCTCGTCGAGGGGCGCTATAGAGGGGTATCCTTCCGGTCTTCGACATCTAGGAGTTCAATGGCATCAGAGCTATAGGCCGCACTACAGGGTAGCATCGAAGCCAGCAGCTGGAACGAACCACCCATGCAGGAACTCGGCCGCAGATGCAACCTTTCAGAGGCATTACATGCGAAATGGACCCGAAGAGCACTTCAAGGATCTGGGGCTCGGCTTGGCCAGCTTCGACGGTAGACTCTTCCGAGATCGCGAGCTTTTCAAACGCTCTATGGCGTACCTGCGCGCGCTAGACTCCGTGCATAGATCCCTGGGTTCCTCAAAGACATCTTTGCTGCGCGAAAGCGTGAGTTAGGTTGAGGTCCTCATAGAGCGTAGATCACTGGTGTGGTCAAACTGTCAATGGCCTCATCCTGACCATCTTCGGACACTCTCAAAGCGCACGACATTGTATCATCAGTGATACCCACAAATACCATATCTTCTATTTGGATAAGGATGATCTTGGCTGCGACTTAGCGTGACAGACGAGAACAAATGCGCAACAGGTTGAATGGCCTGTGGCGCGTCGGTGGTAGTGACGGCAAGGAAGAGGCGCCGAGCCGCGAGCCCACCGCGTTTTGGGAGCGTGAGGGCTCCGTTGCAGCCGCTGCCACATGGAAGCCTTTTCAACACATACGATGCGCCGCCATCTTGTTCTCGTCCACGTTGGCCCTCTTCTCTCGACTGTCTCCAAATGTCCTCGTCACAGCCAGTAGAGTCCAACAACGCCTACCGACGGACGAACAGGCACGACGACCAAGTCCGCGTTGCCCCCTACTTGACCCATGTCGTCACCCATCACGGCCAGCTCACCCTCATCCCGCCCCAGAATGCAGGCAGGATAAGGAAGCCGGGGAAGAAGAAGAAGCAGTCCGGCAGCAGGAATCCGCTTGACGACGAGGAGCCTCGCTTCACCACTGCCGTCCCCCTCTCGTCTTCTCGCAAGCTCCATCCTGCTCCCGCTCAAATACGCACTCGGAAACATGCCATCTCGACACCATCACCAGTATCTGCGTCTCCTACCGCCCCGGCGTCCTCGTCGCGCAGATTTGACCCCATTGTAGACGGTGCGTGTGGCCCTCCATCGTTTCGTCGCCGTACACTGATCCTCTAGCGTGTCATAGACCAGTCAATACCAGATTATCCTCCGCCCTCATTCGAGGATGCCATCGCGGCCCCATACCTGCCCCCACACCTGTCCGCGCCTGTGACGAGAGACTCGTTGCAGTCTCAGCCCTGGTCGCATGACGCTGTCCCCATCGATCCGTCGTCTGCGTACACACAGTACCAGCGTTCCATGACGTCGAGCGTGTCTTCCCTGCCCGCTCCGACTTCCGTTGTTGCCGTGACGCCTACTACGATCTACGCCTCACCCGCGCCGTCGCAGTTCGAGGGTTCTCCCGCGCCTACAGAGGCACCACTTGCTAGGTCGGTCGATCTTCATCCTCTCTCAGATTCTCCTTGCAGCCGATCCTCACGTCCCGGACCACCGCCCTTATCGTCTCCATCAACCACCACATTACTATCTGTGGCGACGCCTGTCACGACCACAACCGCCTTGTCCTACGCTACGGCTGCGTCAGAATCTTCTACCAATTTCTCCGACACGCCTCTACTGCGTCCCCCGCAGCGGAGGTCTATCCCACATTCATCTCTCGGGCAATCACCACTTGTCGACCCAGCATTGCAGCCTCGTGATCGCTCGCCGAATGCGGCGCCTTACCGCTTGACGTCTCCCTCGACCACCACCCTGCTCTCAGCCCACCATGCTGTCCGTGATTCCCCTGCTGCCTCCGAGGCTTCTCCTGTCACCTATCTTTCTGGTTCTTCTCAAGCTTCGCCTACCCTCTCGGAAATCTCTCTGCCTTCACCTCGTCCTAGACAGCAACAATCCCACTACTCGCTCCCTCTTCTCCGTTCTCAGCCGTCTGAGTTCTCACTACCTTCACAGCACCGCGCATATACCGAACCGCTCTCCGCGCCCACCCCCGACGTTTCCCCGCCCGCTTCTCCGTCTTCTCCCACCAGGACTTCTATTGCGACTACGACCGACGTGTTCGAAGAATTCACCTGGGATCCGAGGCAACGCTGGTCCGCGGATCGCCGTCTGGGACTCTCACTCGAGGAGCGTGTCGAGCGTGAGTTCCAGCGAAGGAACACTGAAGAAGCCCTCACCGCTTTCGGCGGCGCCAACGGCCCCAGCACGAACACCCGCCAGTGCCACCACTCCGGCACGCTCCGGTCGCTCGAGTGCGGGGACATCGAGAGCATCGACGAGGTCAGCGAAGACGGTGACGGCGACGACAGCTTCACCTTCAACCAGAGCGAGAACGACGTATCCGAGGAGGAACGCGACTACGACGCGGACTCGGCCCACACGCACGTACACGCGCGGCGCAGCCCCCTGCCATCGAAAGGGAAGTCGCCCTACCTCGAGCTGTCGGCGAAGGGAAAAGGCATGTCGCGCTCTAAGTCGCTGCTGCTGATGCGCAGCCCGAAGAGCCAGAGTCCGGAGCCCGCGAGCCCGCCTGGCTCGCCGCTGTCCCCGAGCTCGTCGGGGTTCTTCAAGCTGCCGATGGCGTTGGCGAGTAGCATGACGCTGTCGTTCTCGAATGCCCTTGGCGGGAAGGATAGGGATGGGATGACGGATAAGAGCTTCTCGGCTCCGCCGTATCCGACCAAGTCGCTGAAGCGGAGGGAGAGCTTCGGCGTGAAGAGACTATTCAGCGGGCTCAAGGGGAAAGAGAAGGAGCGGGAGCACAACCGGTCGCAGTCCCTCCCAGCTGCGGCCTTGACGTCCAACGTGAACTTGAACGCGAGTTTCGTATCTTCGTCCGATTCGTCTTCAACATCGGAGTCTATCGATGGTTGGGAAGTCGTCAGTGTCGAGGCCGAGTCGGTGCATTCGGTTCAGTCGGTCCAGTCGTCGACTACTCCGACCTCTCCTGCACGCTCCAACCCAGACGCTCGAACGTCGTCACCGACGAGCTCACTCTCGTCTCCCACCACGGAGACTGCACGTTCCGCCTTCCTCAACCGTCCAGTGCGTCATCGTCCTGCACTACTCGACAGCCCGACGACGACTACTTCTCCGTTGCCACCGCCCATGCAACATGCACCAACCGCAACGACCCCGGTTACCCCATCTGCCGTCTCGCGTCCGTACCCGCCAGAGAAGTCGCCTCTTCGAATGCTCGTAGGTGTGCAGCCACCACGACAGCAGCGTATACAGACTACCCCGGTGCCCACCATCGCGCATCCAATGACTGCGCCCTCGCTCCAGACGACGCGTGCGCCTCTTGCGCCCTTGCCTCCTCCAACGCCCACAACACCAACAACGTTGCGCACCGTTAAGCCGTCACCTTCCGTCATATGGAAGGTGCCCTCTCCTGTCTTGCGCTCACCCTTATCTCAGACGCCTACATCTGCATCCCCTGTCCACTTGTCTCCCTTGTCTTCTCAACCCACTCCCGCGGGGCCTCCACATCCTCCGCTATACGCGCAATCATCCTCACAACCCCCACATCCAACCGTCCTTCCATCTGCGAAACATTCTGCCATTACTGCGCTCACGCGAAGCGAGAAGAACGCCCACAAACACTACTCAGCGCCGCTGCCCGCCATGGCGACGATGGCGATGTCGCGCGAGTTCGCTGCACACCCGATGCAACGTTGTCCTAGTCCCATCCCAATATCGCCTGTGTCACCCGCGAGTCCTGCGGCCCCTGCTTCCCCTGCCTCGCCCGTGAGTCCAACCTCACCCGCGAGTCCCGCAAGTCCAAGCGGCGAAGCGCCTACACATCTGCGGAGGAGACGCGCGGTGACTCCGCCGCCTTCGCATCGGATGGCCATGCTCCAGTGCGACACGGACCTCCATGTCGGTGTAGACGCAGACGAGCAAGAGCCGGAGAGCGCGCATGAGCCGGCTACTATCGAGCAGCTGATCGACTCTGCATCCGGGTCTGACACACCTCGCGGCGGACGCATGTCTCCCATCCCAGCGTCCCCCGTCAGCCCTGTGACTCCTGTGACTCCTGTTATTCCCGTAACCCCGGCGATACCTGGGTCGGCGACGTCCACACCAACGACGCCAACGTTCCCACTTGCAGGATCTAGCACGCCTGGGGGCCACTATCGGGGGAGGCCACTCCCTCAGGTCCCCATGGAGCAGCACGAGGAGGCGGTCCCGGTAAAGAGGGTTCCAGACGAGTATCCGTACCCTGTGAAGAGGGTACCGGAGGTGTATGCGCGGGAGGCACCACCGCCGCCTCCGCCATCGGTGACTGTGGTGGTCCCGAATATGGTCTCGCCGCCGGTTATGGGAGCTTCACTGGCTCCGCCTCCGCCTCTGCGTGCTTCTCCGATTTCGCCGACACCTCCGCCGCCGCCACCGAGATCTCCTGCTCGTGCCGCTCCTCCGCGTGTAGTGCTGCCTCCGCCCGGCACGACCTCGGCGACTCCTGCTGCTGCTGTTCCACCTCCGCCTTCCATCTCGGCTGCGCGTGCTGACGGTGTTCCTCCCCCACCTCCGCTTCCTGCTGCAAGCTACCCCGCGATCACGATCTCGCCCCCACCGGGACCTTCAGAGTCTTCCATACTCACGGTACCCTCTGCGCCGCCGCCAATGGAGCGATCCACGTCGGGGAGAAGCATCTTGGAGGACGAAGACCCTGTTCCTAGGCCCGAGTTCCTCGAGGTGACGGATCTGGACTTGCTCGCGTCGCGTGCGACGGAGGGCGGCGAGGATGGAAGCAATTACGATGTATGTCCTTTCTCGATACGCTGTGCACACAGGATTTTAACTGGTGTCCCTACTGTCCCAGGATCTCCTACGGCTTTCGGAAGTCTTGGGGTCAGTAGTAACTCCGATGCAGGTTGCATCGCCGGAGAAAATGCCGTTCACGGGCAAGGTTGAAGTAACCCGGCGGCGTGTTTTAAAGGACGGACGCGTGAAGCTCAAACTGTCGCTCCTGGGCGTGTCGGTGGACAGGTGCGGAATCTGTATGTCGCAGTTCCGCCGCGACGAGCACGCGGCCCTGACGCCTGCATGCAAGCACTCGTAAGTGTCTATCTTACCTTTGTTTATCCTTATTTCCTATTTCCTGTTCCTATTCGTCTATACCCTCCCCGTGTCCTTGCGTAGACCTGACACGGTTCATACCCCTTCATGCTGCCCCTTATACCCCGCTCATCATTGAAAGTATACCCTCTACTTCCCCACTCCGCGTGCTTCAAGCTACATGCCCCTTGCAATTTCCGTCTTTCAAGAATTGATGTGATGCTCACGCAAAACATGTGTCTGCCCAGGTTCCATGAGGCTTGCCTGCAAAAGTGGCTGCGCGAGAGCCGCATGTGCCCCATATGCCGCATGCCGCTCTCCATGGACGAATGAACCCTATGGACGCGTTCTCGACTCGACTCTTCCATCACTACATTATATCGCCCCCTGCTATGATCCTTGGTCTCTCACGCAATCTCTCACTGGTTGGTCTCTCCGCACCCACATTGTATTCTTGGAGAATTTGTAGCTTTACACACCGTCTATCCGCATACACAACCTCTTTTGATCCACATTCGCACTGTTGCCCATACACATCCCTGTCCATCCGTCACCTTTACCTCAATCCTCATGACTATGTAGGCTACCACATTTATCTCTAACTCCACGTCTCCGGCCATGACCGTCGATGTCTCTGGAATTTGTGGCTATTGTAGTACTGTTTCCCTTGGCTTCATCTTAGGCGCACGAAGATTCTCCTTACGTTCAACTCAAACAAAGGGGCAGCGTTCAAAGAGCAGTTCCTTCGTCTCTGGCAAGTCTAGATTCTGGCATCCTCATTACTGAAGTAGGTACACTGCGTGTAGTGAACGTCCGCGGGCGGTTTTTGTTAGCGTTCGGTCTAGACACTGATAGAAATGTCAACTCAGGACACATATTGTCTCCCATCTCCTTCAGGACCGCACGCATGTACCGCCGGGCGTGTGTGCGGTATACTGTGACTTCCAACACCAAAAAGGCCCGAGGTCATCAAAGCGCAGTCTGACGGGAACCTACGAAGAGACGTCACCCTCGGGCAGCAGTGCATCTCTCGCGGTAGCTCTCAGGCGGCGATACGTCCTTTCTGAGCATTCGAGATGGGAGGCCATCATGTCAAGTAAAGTAGAACTACACAAGCATATATACACAACAACAGCTACGAACCACGGGCAGGTGTGGTCCTGCAATCACCATGCCATCTTAGCAATAATGGACTGCCGAGATGATATGTTAGAAGCTCGTTGACAACAGCATTCGACAAATGACAACGACTCACGTTCGGGTACGTCCTTACGATGAGCTTCCTGATTTCATCCATCGTGAGGATTCCGGCGGCGAACGCGAATGGGATGCCCCAGAACATCCCGGGAATAGGCGTGGTGCCGAATACCCTCTGAAGTCCGGGTCCGTATAGGTTCACGACGCCGATGAGCAAGGTGCCAGTCATGCCCAGGGGTACTGCCAAGTTCCTGCGAGGGCCCCAGAGAGGGTTCGACTGCAGGATCGAGACCCGCCTGTTGCGCACGGCCAGGAGGCCTCCGTATTGCATGAATACCATGGTGATGTAGCTATAGCGCGCTGGTCAGGATCTATTTCTAGCGGATGAACGTCGGCAGACGTACTAAATGCACTGGCCAACACTGACGAACTCGTTAAGCTGGTCGGTGCTGAATCCTTTGTAGCCGTCAGTCCACTTGTTGTAGACGAGGATGACGTCGTAGAAGCCTAGTCCTTGCTTGCTCATCCAGAGGAACCACATGCTCATGGCGCACGGCCACATCATGAGACCAATGAACTGTGAGGATAGGTCTTGGTCAATGACATGAGGCGTGATCAGGAAGTTAGCCCTACCAGATAGATTTGGACAAAGAATCGCCAATCGGTGAGCCTATCGGTGCGTGCATTGCGCGGCTTGCGGAGCATGAGGTCTACAGTGGGCGTGGGTGAGAGGTACATGTTATCGTTGGGAAAACATACCAGACTCGGGCTTCTCATACATCAGCGAGATGGACATGACAACGTCATTCGTGATGGAGAAGCAGACTTGCAGGTAAGAACTGAGCGCGAGCTGCATGCCAAGGAAAACATTGCAGAAGACTGCCAGAAATTCGGTATATGTTCCCGCCTACGCAGTTATCATCAGACGTCCAGTGGCAGGGACATCTCAGTAGACATGCTCACCGGCATCAGGTAAAGGATGACTTTCTTGAGGTTGTCAAAGACGAGACGACCCATCTCAATGGCAACAACGATCGAAGTCAGATCATTGTTCAGCAATATCATAGCGGCTGCAATCAATGAGTACCGGATCATGGCCTACCAGTAAGACAGTCTCACCAGCTTCTTTAGCGACATCGCTTCCGGCACCCATGGCCACGCCAATGTCGCTCGCCTTCAATGCGGGGGCATCGTTCACTCCATCGCCGGTGACTGCGACCGTGTTGTCTCCCCTGGCCTTAGTCTGCTCGACAATCCTCAGCTTTTGTTCAGGAGTCGTGCGCGCGAAGACGATCTCAGTATAGCCGCCGACAATCATGTCCCAGTCCGCGGCCTCAAGCGACTCGATGTCATCGCCAGTGAGGACAAGGGCGCGGTCTCCGTCGTTCTCTGCAGGTTTGATGACTGGTGGGTCAAGTCCAGCATAGCGTCTCGCCATAGGAGATGTACGCATGGCCTTGAGATCGTCGACCTTCTCTTCAGTGACAATGCCAACCTATGCGATGGTTAACATGACAATTCCCGTATCAACTTATCAGGGCAGACAATGGAAGTATACCTGACGAGCGATGGCCAGGGCAGTCAGCTTGAAGTCACCCGTGACCATGAAGACCCGGACTCCAGCCCTCCTGATAATCTTTATGGCACCCGCAACATCCGACCTAGGAGGGTCCCGGATACCCACGAGGCCCACCAAGGTCAGATCGCCCAAGTTCCTATACATGAGCTGCTCCATATCGTTCGGCGACAACGTCGCATCCATCGCCACGCCTCCGAGGGTCCGGCGGCACAACGCAAGAACGCGCTGTCCCTGGCTGCTCCAGCGTTCCTGCAAGAGTTGAAGCTGAGACCTGCGGTTCGAGTCGAGTGGCAGGACGGAGCCGTCAGCCTTCATGATGTTGTTGCACTTCGGGAAGAGGACGTCCGGGCCGCCCTTAACAAGCATCCACTTATCAGCCTCGGAGTCCGATCTGGCGGCGGGCTCGGCAGACGGCTGGACGACGGTGAGCATCCACTTGTTGCGCGAGTTGAAGGGAATCTCGAAGATCTTCTCGTACGACTCCAGCAGCGAAGGAGTAGAGACTCCGATGGAGGGCACGGAGAGACCCTCAGAGAAGCGGAGGATAGCGCTGTCGGTCGCGTCACCTTTGATCTGCCTCTCGTCGAGGGGGAGCTGGGCGGAGGCAGAGTCGAACTTGGCGCCATTGCAGAGCCGCGCGACCATGTGAAGAGCTCTGAGGGCAAGAGGCGCACCGAAGCCTTCTTCTGCTGAGAATCTGTCCTTGATCTCGTCGACCGAGAACTCGGCGTCGAGGAAGGCGATGTTCTGCACAGACTACGTACGGAGATGCTATGAGCCAGAATAAAGCAAACGATAGGGATAGTATCATACCATCTTGCCGACAGTCAGGGTACCGGTCTTATCGGAGCAAAGCACAGACATACAACCCAAGGTCTCAATGGTTGCGAGGTTCTTGACGAGGACATTCCGCTTGGCCATACGCTTTGCCACGATGGTTAGTGAGAGTGCAACACAGACAGGTAATCCCTACGTAATCATCTGTGTGAGCGAATTTCACGGGACACAAAAACAAACAATAAAGTCGTACTTGGGGGACAAACGCCGTCAGGCACCCAATAGAGTTGACAATCGCCACGCTCGCGGTCTCGAAACCTGGGAAGCTCCTCCGCAGCCATGCTGCCCAGATGATGAGCGCCAGCGCGAAGAGCCCAAGTGCCAGCGTCGAGATGATCTTCGTGAAGAACCAGACCTCCTTTTGGACTGTCGTGAGCTTGAATTTCGTCTTGCCAGACATGGCGACAATGCGTCCCATGACGGATTTGTCGCCGATAGCGAAGACGACACCCGTGCAGCTTCCCTGCACGACGAACGTGGACGCAAGGGCAACATTGCGCGTCTCGAGTGCGTTATCGGAGGTGAGGTCGAGCGTTCCAGGGATCATATCGCTGTCAAGATGTGGTGAGCGGCGCTGATGTGGGAATGTGGTTGGTGTCGTACCTCTCGCCAGTGAGAAGGGAGCGGTCAAACCGGACGTCGCTCGAGACCGTTACAAGACGGAGGTCAGCAGGGACACGGTCGCCCATGGAGAGCGTGACGACGTCACCGACGACGAGGTCTCTGGCAGGTACGGTCTGGTGTTTCCCGTCACGAATGACGGAAGCATCCTCGGCGACGAGGCTCTTGATGGAGTTCATGATGCGCGACGCATGCCAATCGACGAGTGCGTAGAATGTCGCGGAGACGATGATCACCAGCAGCTGCAGCCAAAAGACATGAAGACGCATATAGCACGAGGAGAGTACGATCACATACGAGAAGAACTGCTACGCCGAGATTGAATACCGCAGGATCAGGATCACCGAGCGGCTTATAGGACAACTGCATAGCATTAGATGTGAGCGGATAGTAAGACTTGACCTGGGGGATAAGCGACATACGACCGTGACGATGAACGCAATCCACATGAGGAAGTTGAACCCGCCGAAGACATAATTGAGAGCCTTCTTCCAGTACTGGGTCGGGGGCTTTGAGATGACGTTCTTACCATCCTTGACACGGCGTTCGACGGCAGTGGCTTCAAGACCGACGATAGGGGACGTCGAGAAGCGGGTGTAGACTTCCTCGATAGCTAGACGGTGTACGTCTATCTGGCGAATGGCGGAGGCTGGGTCCGTGGCGTTCGCGGCCTTCTTGGGATCACGTGCCTCCTTTTCAATGGAGTCTGCATGAATAGAGAGGGTACGATACCTAGATTGCACTCGGTGAGAGGCCGCGTACTGTGTGACCTTGAGAAGCGACGACGTACTGGATTTGGATCTCGGGGTTCTTGATCCTATCGTTGAAAGCGGTATCGGAGGCCGAGCGTGACGTGGTGTTACTCCGCGGGGGAACGACCGACTCCTGCACGACGGGGTTGTTGGACGACATGCGAGCAAGTTGGGCGACCTGAATGGTCTGGACAGGTAGTCAGGTACTCTCGTCGATGTGGAATGGCGACGCTCGACCATTTTATACAGACCGCCCTGGCGCCCCTCTTATCTTTCCTGGCATGTTTGATGCAAGTCAAATCTTAACCCGCGAGCGGCGGAGGTGAGCTCTTTACGCCATTCCTCCTGATGAATAGCCGCTGTCCAAAACAGGCCTGCGGGCTCCATGGCATGTCTAGGACCAGGGCCATCTCAGGTCGCGCGTGGCCGAGCTGCCCCAGTAGCTATGCAAACTGTGTCCTTCCGTAACATTCTTCGGGTGACTGACCGCCGCTCTGCGGTTCCGTATGGTTCTACAGCCTCGGTCCTAGCCAACGTGCGTGCGATGGCTTCAGCATAGGGAACGACCCGCTGCGGAGTGACACACTCACTACAAATTTCTGTGATTTGTCGCACTCCAATGACTTGCGCTGTTTTCGCTATTCATTGTTGTTCGGGCTCTCCCGATCAAGAGATGACGTACCGCGTATCGGTGACGAGCTCTAGCCTGAGACAGGGAGCACCGCGAACTATACATCGACACTGAGAAGACATATCGTTGACTTTCTAGGAATGTGATCTGTTGAGTGCTCATGTCAGGCGAGTAAGCCTGCTTTGAAAAGTTGCGACAGATAAAGAGGCACTTTGAGATTGTCAGGAAACATTAGCTGCATAGAACTAGGTCATATGCGATCGTGCTGGGGATTCGTGTCCCAATCTACTACAGTAACGGGGACATCAAGTCGTGTAACCCGTCCAAAGATCAGCTTGTCAGTTTCCCGTTGACTTTGCGTTGGTATGTGACTCACCAGTGAATCCAGACAGCCAGGCGTATCGAAACAATCCAAGCAAGGTGGCATATGAGACCCCTCAACGCAAATGTCACCTGCTTTTCATTGGGAGAAGTGCGAATCCCTTCGTTAAGCAGGGAATGGAGGGGATGATCGCGCCCCCGCTGTTCACGGCACATTACAGCAACCAAGTGTATGCGGACGCCGTAACGTTCGGCCATAGGTCTGTAGAAATATTATTCGCGAGACCTTATCGTAGCGGGTGCATACGGGTCAGTGATGGCAGTCAAGGTCAAATAACGACGTGTTAGCTGGCATCTCCGATATGTCACCGGTGGATGCTAAAGAACCCCCACGAATGGTACGTACGGGTCTATCGCTTGGAATGTCTTGGAGCATGAGTAGTATTTGAGCGGAAATATTGTACGACAGAAGAACGAAGCGACGATGGTACTGTAGACCTCAAGATCAGATCACCTATATCAAGATAAGTATGACAAGCCGTGAATGTGGGGAATAAGTTGTGATACAACGGACAATATGGCGACCATATGCCGTGAGGCCGACGGGACTCGTACAGCATGGCAGACGTGCAGTATTCTGCTCAAGCCTCACACCCGTCGATCTGAACGAGGGATTCGAAGGTGTGTGTGCCGTCAGCTGCGGGCCACCGGGTGGCAAATTGGCGTACCCTCAGAAAGGAATATGCCGTAGGTCGCCACGTGTGCAGGGACCGTGTGCAGGGACGCTCGCTGCCGCCGAAGCCACCAGTTCCGCACTTTGTGTCGCAGTCTACTTACTTACCACGATGAGCCTGTCTCCCTGAGCTCGACAAATCTTTGCGCCTCCGCTTCCGACAAGCCTCACTGCCTAACGGTCGTCGCGATGGCTGATTCAAAGCCAGACCCTTCTGGCTACAACCCGATTTTTGTCGGAGAGCTGCCGGGGAATAAGAACAAGAAGCCCATTCCTAAATGGGTTCCGGTTGCTCTAGTACGTCTCGCCTTATGCTCGCTGGCTATCTCATGTGTCTGAAGTGCGCAGTAGCTAGCCTTCTCATCTGCTGCATTGATAGTCCCTATCGTGATGCTACGCCGACATAGAGCCGCTACGCTTGGAAAAGCACTGGCCGACGCGCCGCCCCCTCCTCGCCGTACCGTCTCCAAGGGCATACCAATGGCAAACCCGACGACAAAACCACCCGTGTTTTCTATCAGAGATCCAGTACCTTCGACATCTACCTCGGCCTCTTCGTCCATGGCGGCCAAGGCTGAAGATAATTTCAACGGTGCTCTTCATAGCGCGAAGGCGTTCGGCATCGCAACTCTAATGGTGGGAGCCGGAGCTGCTGCCACGGTTTACGGAGTGAGACAGTATATGGGCGTGCAGACAGTGAGTCTTTCGCTACGTCGTCTTGCCCAAGTATTCAGTTCGCCTTTGCGAAAGACACATGAATTCGCGAACAGGATGCGCGATGCCATCTTGACCCGAATGCCCAGCTTATCTGCCCGCATATACCGGCCGCCGAAAGCTGAGGATGGAGACCCCTTGTTGCTGCCAGACCCTCCTGAAGAGTCCTCGTCGACACTGGACGCTGCCGAGGAGTGGTCGTGGCCAGAAGCCGAGCGACGATTGAGGGAGGCATTTGACAAGCACGGGTTCTATGGCTGGGCTGCTGCTGCGATGCATGAGTTGGAGGCTGAAGGACGAATAGAGAGGGCGAAGAGAGGTCATGTTTAGTGCCACTTGTGAGTTTGCACATTTGATTGGCATACACTACATACGGGTCATCTCGTCCTGATACTTGAAGATGTCCAGTCGTTGGGGTGAATTGATGCCGCCGGCCCAGTTCCCTGGGGATATCAGTGCTTCGCAGACACGGCGGCAGGGATCCGGGTGTTCGAATTTCGATGCAAGGGGAATGTAGAGGGCAATCCTCTGTCAACCTCAATGACTTTTGTCCGGCGAAGCGATGTTTCCGCAAAGAGTTTGTCTTGTAGACTTGCTGAGGTTTAAGTACTGTAGTTCAAATCGGAAGGCTCCAACGGTGGGGAGCGCTGGAGCACTAGCGCCTCGCGTCTACGGGAGAGAGCGCTTGGTAGCGTGGCCGCCACACCTCCAGCCCCGTTGGTCACCGAGATCTGGTCTTGTTCTGAACGGCTTGCGAAACGACACGGCAAGGCTCCGAGTCTGACGCTCCCGTCCACCCTGAGGTCGAGCACGACAATCCCCAACGCATTGTCGCAAGCTCGAAAGGTCCTACATAGTAACATATGGCATCGGGCTTGGCATCACTGGCAGGCGGACTCGTCATGAGTTGATTCATCCACATACAAGGTCCCAACACGTCTCCTAGGTGAGTGCTGTGCTGCTTTGCATGTGGTGATTAGGTGACTTATTCCATTCAGTGCGTTCAGTAGGGAGGATCACATGAGCTAGCAGTAGTCGGACTGGGACGCACTTGTCCATCAGACGGACCCGAACGCGTAGGCGGAACTATGTACAGTGTGGACGCATATCTGGATTACCGTTTCGCCGCCGGCGTGGGGTGACTACCGGTAAGCCTACCATGCTGCGGGCCCCAGATTTGATCCGGAAGAAGTTCCTTTAGCGTCGAGATGCTCGTCGCCGTGATGCTCAGATCGCGTCGAAGCTGGCCTGACAAAGCTTGCCAAGACTTGCAACGTGCCGTGGCGATGCTTCTTCGGGGACTTTGGGGATGATAACGCGTAAGCTCTGTTGTTACTGCATAGAGCACCTCCCTCATGATTGTTGGCATCCATAGCGGAAGCAGAGTCCTGCCGCAAGCATGCGGCTGAATCATTGATACGAGTGTTCTAGGTGGTCAAGGTCAAGATACGGTCTGGCGAGGCCGACGGCGTGCTGCTAAAGAAGGAGAGGGTGGACCACGAAACAGCCATGCTTCGAATCGACATCACATCGAGGGCAAAATCTTAACGAGAGCGGGTGAGCTCAGTGCGGAATGCGGGATTTGGTCAGTCCCATTCTGGTGACACCGCTCGCAAGCCTTAGCCCGTGACGCCGCCGCCAAGTGCACGATGCTCGCATGACAATTGTTGAACTTGGAGGCTCATCTGATGTAACCATCGGTGTTCCACTGGCCGTCGCATGGGTACAGCACACCAAAGCATTGTTATCGCAGCTGCGTGGTCTTCCTTCGCTTGATTATTAGCTCCGGCCTCGTCCCGCCTGATCTACATTGAATGTGTGAGGTGATTCCGCATTCGCGCTGGTCCTGTACCATGCGGTAACATAACGCCAGGCCTCGCCACGAGCATATCGCGTCAAGGCTCTCGGAGAAGGTGAAGCCCGAACCTTTCAGAGAGGTATAAAAGATGGAATCAATCCGCCCGAGGTTCTCCAGGCGACTTCGTTCCCGTCTTCGCTCAGACAGACTTTTACTGGTCTCAGTCTATCTCGCACTCTAGCGCACTACCGCACCCGCTTACGGACATCATCCCGAACACCTGAATCTTGAACCATGTTCTCCTTCAGCAAGGTCTTCGCCTCCGTCTTCCTCGCGGTGCTCTGCGCCAGCACTGCGACCGCGGTCCCGTACCCGGCGTCCTCGAAGTACGCGACCCACCGCACCCGCGAGATATCTCCGGCTCTCAAGATCGAGACCTACCATCCCCTGTCGTCTTACGAGGTATGCATCATATAATCGCAAATGCCAAGCAACGCTGACCCTTGCTGATCCTCAGACCTTCGGCGAGGGTATTGACCACCCCCTCTCCAAGCGCGCCGATGCGTCTCTCGAAGACTCGGCGGTCGCCTTCGTGCAATCGCGCCACCAGCTTGACTCTGACGCCGTACACGTCCGCTCTTCGTTCGAGAGCGACAGCGCTCGCCACGTCTACGTTAAGCAGCAGCACAACGGCATCCCCTTCGCCAACGCCGTCGCCAACGTTGCCCTGAACAAGGACAACAAGGTCGTCGCGTTCGGCAGCTCTTTCGTGAAGTTTTCCAAGATCGCGGACTCCACCCCGGCCGTCGCTGTCGAGGACGCGATCGCTACTGCAGAGGCGCAGCTCAACGGAAAGTTCGACACCGAGAACTTCCCCGAGCCCACCCTTCAATACTTCGTTAAGGAGGACGACTCGGCTGTCCTCGTGCACGCTTTCCAGGTCCGTAACGAAGGCGCGGGCACTTGGTACCAGGCCTACGTCGATGCTCACACTGGAGAGCTCGTTTCTATCACGGACTTCGTCAACAAGGCCTCGTACTACGTCCTTCCTATCTGGAAGGAGTACCCCACCGATGGCTTCGCGACCATCACCGATCCCCAGGACACCACCTCGTCTCCTCAGGGGTGGCACAACGACGGCTCGAAGTCGTACACGACCACATCCGGCAACAATGCGATCGCGTACAAGAGCAGCACGAGCTCCACCACGTCCGAATCTAGCTCCGGTCTCGTCTTCAACTACCCCGCGGCCCTGAGCAAGGCGCCTACGACGACCGCGAACGTCAACGCGGCGCGCGTCAACGCGTTCTACGTTGTCAACTCGGTGCACGACATCCACTACAAGTACGGCTTCACCGAGTCCGCGTACAACTTCCAGACGAGCAACTTCGGCAAGGGCGGAAAGGGAGGCGACCGCGTCACCATCTCCGTCCAGGACTCGGCGGGCACCGACAACGCCGACTTCTCGACTCCCCCCGATGGTCAGAGCGGCCACATGCGCATGTTCCTCTGGGATGAGACGAGCCCCGAGCGCGACGGCGCCCTCGAGAACGACATCATCGCCCACGAGAACACTCACGGCCTCACCAACCGCATGACTGGTGGTGGCACTGGGGAGTGCCTGCAGACGGACGAGGCAGGCGGCATGGGTGAGGGCTGGTCGGACGCGTTCGCCGAGTGGCTCACGCACACGGACGACTCTGTCCCCGACTTCATCATGGGCGCGTACGTGATCAACGACAGTGCGGGCATCCGGAACTACCCCTACTCGACCTCGGCGAAGACGAACCCGCTCCGGTACTCGTCGATCGCCACGCTCGACGAGGTGCACAACATCGGCGAGGTCTGGGCGAACCTGCTCCACAACGTCTACGCGGCGCTCGTCGGCGAGCACGGCTTCTCCTCCACGGCGCGCACGGACCCGTCGGGCACGGAGGGCAACGTGGTGTTCCTGCACTTGTTCATCGACGCGCTCGCGCTGCAGCCGTGCAACCCGACGTTCCCGACTGCGCGTGATGCGTGGATCCAGGCGGACGCGAACCGCTACGGGGGCGCGAACAAGTGCTTGCTCTGGAAGGCGTTCGCGAGCAAGGGTCTCGGTGTCAACGCGAAGAACTACAAGGACGACACCACTGTCCCCAGCGACTGTTCCTAGACTGCTAAAAGGTCGAGCTCCCTGCTCCCCACTGTCTCCATGAATCATACCCATGGTCTTCCAAGGGATATAACGCTGAGTTAGGATGAGGTATCGGACGGTCTTTGTAGAATTGCTTTGTATACGAGTGTATCATCGACCACGTTTTGCCACGCTCTGCGACGATCACGGAATACAATCCATTGCACAACATATGCTTTATCTGACTGATCTGTAAATATGAGTGTGAAGAAAGCTACTTCGAGTTACCGACGGGCCGGCAACTAGCGACGGCAGTCTGACGCCGGGGTAGTTCGATTCGAAGACCCTTGCTCTGCAGTGTTATATGCATGTCAGGGGGTTCACACCATCCCTTTCTTCTTTACCTCCACCCTCTCATCGGTCTGTTCGCTGCACTAGTGCCCATCGCCACTCGAATTCGTTCTTCCTATAAGCATACAACATCCAGGAGTTTCAATGGAGGTATGTCAGTCGCTCATATCTCATGACGTCAGCGGACCGTGAAAGCTGAGAGCGCGCGTACCTCGCATTCCTAGCAACAGTTCCGCATGGGCAACGACGCGCAGAACGAGCCTTCTCCTGCACAGGGTGCTCCAGCGGAAGTTTGGCTCGAGATATTCGACCATGTTCCAAATTCCGCGGACCTAACCGGGATTGCCAGTTCTTGCAAGAGGTTTCGGGACCTCAGCATCCGCGCGCGACACCGCGACCTCGTTTGGCGCACTCCAGAGCAAGTCGCCGATGACCTGCCGGTGTGGGATACATGTCTGAACATGGAACCTCATGTCCGTTCTCTCGTCCTCGGCATTACGCAGTATCGCGCAGGTCCAGGAGACATCATTGACCTCGATGGGTCACGATCCTTTGGCAAGCTCGTAGGCCAACCTCGATTCGAGACATACGCGTCGCCTCACTTGCATGCAGCGGTGCTTGGAAAGCTCGACCGCTTCGCGAACATTGCGTCGATGACGTTCACGAATATGTCGATCAAGGACACGCACTTCAAGCTCATTCACAGCCTGCTCAAATTAAGCGAGCTCACTATCGAACGGTGCGCGTTCGAAGCCCGCAACGTCGACCAAATGGACCATACCAGACTCCCGATCAAGGACCTGACGATGCTTGGCGTGCGCCGTTTCCGGAATTATCGCGACAACCTTCCCAATCAACCAGACGACGACATCTCTTACCCCCTCTCTCTGTGTGCCGCGCAGGGTCTCAAGAGCCTTACTATTGACTCCTCCGCGGACGTCTTCCGGGGTGTCTTCAACGCCTGGGACGCGCACGCGCGCGGGTGGACAATCCCGCGCACACTCGAGCACATCTACGTCCTCAAGAAGCGCCTGCCGGCGAGCAGCGAGAACCAGCAGCACCCAGCGCAGGTGGGCCTCGCGGAGAGCACGTTCCCGGACACGCGCCTCTATCATTTCTGCGTGCAGGCCCGGAGCCTGAAGACGATTGTGACGCCGATCTTTGTCCCGAACCAGACCACTATCGCCCCGGAGCTGCTGCCCCCGTCTTTGGAGCGTTTTGCGGCGCCGCTGGAGACGGCGCAGCTGATCGCGGCGGTCAGGGACGTGGAGGCTTTAGGGCTGATCAGGTGCGGGGTGAGCGCGCGAGAGGGGATCATTGCGTTGGCGAATGTCGCGGCGTATAGGAGCGGGTTGAAGATGTTGCTGCTGGATTGTAAGGGTTGGGACTACGAGCTTGTACCTGCTGTGGCGCAGCTGTTCAAGGAGCTCCGGAGGTTGAAGATCGTCTTCGACGGGCCTGGTCCGACCGAGGTACGTCGCAGAGTCACAGTCGCATATAGCCACCATCTGAGCATGCTCTCGTGCACCAGGACTTCCTTGTAGCGCTTGCGCCAGACCATCTGGTGAAGCTGCGCGAGCTGCACACGCTAGAGCTCTATGAGTTGCCGCGGAACGGCAGCTACGTCCCGGAACACCCTATGCACCTCTTTGACGACTCGTTCGAGTCCGTCGAGGAGGAGCTCCGCAACCTCATCATCCCGTGGAACAGGTACTGCCCCGATCTACGCAAGGTACAGCTGCACGCGGGGTATGTCATGACTCGCGGGTTCGAGGGGGCGGCGTGGTGCCTCGAGCGTGTGCACTGTCTTGAGAGCAAGGAGGATCTGGACTTTTGAGTGATTCAAGCCGAGAAATCCCGTAGTTTTGGTGGGCCGTCGTAGGATGGTAGCGCTAGGAGGGCGCTTTCTGCAGTTAGTTGTACGATGTCCGTGTCGGAAAAGGCCCTGACGTGTTGAGAATGCATTTGAACGTATGTATATATAGTGCCGAAATGCAGAGGGTGCCATTCGAGCCGATATCGCGTAACTCGGCCCACGGCGCGCGGGTGGCGGAGTGCTCATATAGTATACGATGTTGGTGAAACTGGACTCGTTGTCGAACGTGCAAGCTGATAGGACACGAAGCGTGCGTGGAGCAGCTGGTTGAGAGCGTTGTGGAAGACGGTTCCATGGTGACGCGTGACGTCACGATACATGGACGTGACTGCGCGCGGCTCTGCGCCTGAGCGTGACAAACGGGGTGCAGCCATCTGCTCTTGCTTGCCCACCCATTCCAGCGGCCAAGCACAGCGTGTGCTCTTTTCTCAACGTACTTTGGTGGCTCCTGACTGCGACGAACTACCCAGCCATCATAGCCACTCTCCCCAGTGCCCAAGCATCGCCGCCGTTCCTGTCCTAAATCACGATCTACGGATCGTGCATGGAGTGCCAGAATTGCGAGCTAAGGCAGCGTCAGTTTTATTGCGAGAATTGTCTCAGGCAACAGTACGTTTACTATTCCACCGTCTCCGCCGATCTCCTAATCCTCTGTGAACGAACTTCTCACTCGACTCGTCTCGTCCCCCAGCCTGCTCTCTCTCCGATTACAAACCCAGCATGCTGCCACCGATCGAGACGCTCACATCGCGTCCGCAGAGAAGGCCCTCGCCGCCGTCGTAGGTCCTGCACGCTTGCCCAGAGCTGAGTTACGCGGCAGGGAGGAGAAGGTGCAAGAGATTTGGGAAGGCGTCAATCGCCTCAGGTCGACCAACGAAGACCGTGCGTTACTTCTCCGTCCTTGGTTCATGCTCCTCACTTCATCACATCAGTTCGAGAGCGAGCGCAGAAGCTTCGCAATACCCTCGCGACCCGCAGACGAACTCTCGCCATCGCGACCTCGACCATCCTTCAGTCCTACTCAGCATCTGCCCCACCAACCCCCTCAACCTCCGCCTCTCCTCCGCACGCACCACTCTCTACCTCTCCTCAGGCCGGTCGTGCGCTTCCTCACCGCGCAGGCTCTTCCATCTCATCGCACTCCTCCACCCCACCCGCGTCAGGCGCACCTCCGATCTCCCGCCCGCTCTCCTCCGCCTCCCGCCCTCTCACTGCAAACTTCTTCACGTCCTCTTCTCCCCAAGCCGTCCGTTCCCCGCTTGGTGTCCCGACGACCCCACCACAGAGCTACTCCCGGCCGTCCACCATGCCTGGCGCTCTTCCCCCCTATTTCCCTGTCGGGCAGCACGCACGGACGGTGTCTACAGGGAGTGCGCCGTACGGCACGCCTATCTCGACGCGGGGCCTGGATCCTCTCGCGAAGCAGATCGAGGACCTGCAAGCGCAGCTAGCCGTGCTGTCCGACACGATCGCAAGAGCGCGAGCGGGTCTCGTGCAGGAGCTCGTCGAGGTGTTCAGCGTCGTCGAGGTCGGAGGACGACCGCCGATTGGTGGCAAGGCGGGGACGAAGGGCGAGTGGACGATAGGAGGGCTAGTCTTGCCCGTCCCTGGCGACATTCGTCGTGAGTGATGATTCGTTCGCATCGGATACTGGAGCTGAAGCCCTTATTTGCAGGCTATCCGCCAGACCACATCAACGCCGTCCTCACACACACGATTCACTTCGTTACTCTCCTTGCATTCTACCTCGGCATCAAGCTCCCCTTTGAGATCATCTGGAGCCGGTCGTCCACCCCGCCCTCTGGCCCGATCAAAGGCAGCGGACTGCTCGGTGTCGGCATTCCCTGGATCGGTGCCATCCGCGGCGGAGAGTCTGGTGGCTGGGCGCGCTGGTCGTCCAAACAGCCTCTACACGTCTCCTCTGCCCCGCCCCCGGCGTCATCGTCGTCTAGCTCCTCGAACGCCCACCCATCCTCCCCCTCTCCAGCCAAAGCCCGTCCCTCGAACCGCCCGCTCTCCCACCGCTCCCAAACGACCCCAACGACCCCCGCACACCCCCCCACTCCATCCTCCTCCCCCACCTTCCCCTACCCCCAGCGCACCCCGTCCCTCTCGTCCTCCACGCTCGCCGACTCCACGTACGCCGAGTCCTCCCCCGCCCAGCCCGCGACGTCCTCCCCCGGCGGCGCGTTCACGACCGCGCTCGCGATGCTCCTCTACGACGTCTGCTACCTCGCGCACACGCAGGGCGTCGACGTGCCGCTCGCGCACGCCGGCGACGCGCTCGGCAACCTCTGGGCGGTCTGCTGCGCGCCCGAGCTCGGCCGCCGCGCGCACGCGACGCGCCCGCCGCTCCTCCCGCCGCCGACGCCGCCCGCGTTCGCGCTCGACTTTGCGCAGCTCCTCCAGGCGACCGCCGCGACCCCCGCGCGCGCGAAGGCGCGCGGGAAGGGCGCGGGCGCGGGCGCGGGGAGGGAGGTCAGGACGGAGCGGATCGTGGAGGAGGACGAGGGGTGGGACTTGCTCGATGTGGACGCGGAGCTGATCGACTCGTGACGCCTTGAGGGTCGGAGGTCGGTCTGGCTTCGCGCAGGAGAGCGGCATGTCATGCGCATGTGCTGTACGTGTAACATACGCCGCCTGCGGCTGCTGTATCTATAGCGTTGTAGATGTATATGTAGATCTGATGGAACAGGTTATAGACCCCATTGTGGACTTTCGATGCACTGGATCCGCAGTAATACACCCGTACTTACGCTCCTTGTTTGCTGAAATCCGCATCCGCACCCCGAGGATGGACATTCGTGTATATCATGTCACATTGAATACCGATAACTCAGTAGCATACTCTTTTGAGGACTAAATAAATAGTGCTGCTGCTGGCTGCATCGGATGAGCTCCAACGCTATCGACAAAATGGACAAGAGGGGGATTACGGTGCAAGACTGACGAAGAATGCGCACGAAGCTGACACTGATTGTCCAGAATCGACAAAAGGGGGAGTCTGAAGCATGTATAGCGAGAAATTCGAACGGGATCGGACTGTGAGATGGACAGACGAAAGCAGCAGCGAGATCAGAGGCACACGGCGAAAGCGAAGTACATAGTGGAATCATAAGTTCAAGATGCGAGGGAGAGATGCATGGGTGGGGAAATGGGATGAGATGAGGTATGCTTAACTGGATGCATGCGACGACGACGGATGGAGAGTCGCTGAGAAGTCCGACCATGCAAGGTACGAGGGCAACATGCAGGATGTATGAGTACAATCTTGGATGGGGCGAGGGGGGATGAGATGAGGGGTATATGTATGCAACTGCAATGCTGCAAGCTGGACTTAATGCAACACCGACCAAATCCACGCGCGCCTTCTTCATTTCCATAACTTATGCGGGCATCGCACTCGCGCGGCGCATCGTCTTGACATTTGCGGTTGCTTGCGTCGAACTCGTGCTGGACGAAGGCGAGGGCGCCGAGTTCTCCTTCTCAGACGGCTCGCTCGCGGACGACACCGAGGGAAGCCGCTGGAGCTTCTCGAGCTTCTCCTGACTGGAACTCGACACGCGAAGCTTGGACGCCTCATGGATCGACGCTGAACTTCTGCGCTGGTGGATGGGTGCCTTGATTGTGCTGGGAGTCGCACGTGCAGAAGGCCCGGAGGGAATGCGCGTAGGCGTCGCAGTCGCGGACTGACTACGGCCGACACCGGCAGTAGGTGGGGGGCCCATCGAGCCATCGACGGCACGCTTTGAGGTGCTTGCGCTGAGAGAGCTTGGGGGGCCGTTGGCGCGGATGCTCCTACCGAGAGCAGGCTTCATGAGCGTCGAAGGTGTCTGGCTGAGACGGCGATCCTTAACACTGTCGGTATCGGACATTACTGACGGGGGCCGGGTTCCGACAACGCTGGGCGTAGCGAAGATGGACGACTCGCGACGGGCAGCTGGTATCTTGGCGGTAGAAGCAGGAGTGCCGCCAGCGGTGCCGCGAACACTCATGCGCCTCTTGAGCTGTGAAAGTCGGTGAGTATGTGCTGCGCCCCTGTCCTATATCAACGACGTACCAGTTCGAGCTCTTGCTGCTTCGAGTCGAGGGCGATATTCAACCCATTCATATCCTCCTTGTCCTGGGCCCGCTGCTTCTGCAGCTGAACGAGTTTGACCTCCTTGTCCGCGCTCTCTTGCTGCAGGTCGTGCACCTGTCGCCTTAACCGCTCTACCTCAGACGTCAACGAATCCACCTTGTCCTTCAGGCTCCCGACATGCACGTCGTGCTCTGCCTTCTCGCGGACCAGCGCCTCCATAGCAGCGCGCGCCTCGACCTCGCGCGCGACGACGTCTTGGAGCTTCCGACTCTGCTCGTTGACGATCCGTGCGTGCTCGCGCTTCATCTTCGCGATCTCGTCCTGCGCAAGCTCCGCATCGTTCTCGAGCTCGGTCTGCTTCCTGTGGAGTTCAGACAGCTCGGATTCGCGCTCGCGCAGACGGGCCTCGACCCGCGTCGCTCGGTCTAGCGCAAACTTGTGCTCCTGGTCGAGTGAAGTAACCTTGTCTTCGCGCTCGCGTAGCGCCTGCGTGAGCTCTTCGGAGTGTTCCTGCTCTGCGCGCAACTGGTCTTCGAGCTGCACAGGGGTATCAGCTTCACATCGCTCGCCGTACGTACGGGCTCAGCGACTCTCACCTCTGCGTGCTCCTTCTCCAACTCCTCCCTCTCCGCCAGAAGCTCCTGCGCCTCCGCCTCAAGCTCGTTCTTCCTGGTCTCCGCGTGCGCCCACTCCTCCTCCATCTCCCCAATCCTCTGGTTAAGAGCCTCGACGTCCCTCCTGGCAGCGTCCCGCTCCCTCTCCGCCTCCGCGATCCGCTCGCTCATCGCCTCCGTGTTGCGCCACTGCGCCTCCAGCTCGGCCTTGAGCACGCCGAGCTCGCCGTCCTTCTTCTGCACCTCCTCGCGCGCGTCCACGAGCTGCGTCTCGAGCGCGAGCTGCTCCGTCCGCATCGCCTCGTTCGCCGCCATCAGCGCCTTCCGCTCTTCGTCCCACCCAACCGTGGACAGGAGACGCGAGCGGTCGCCCTCCTCGAGCGAAAGCGCCATGCTCACGTCCATGCTCTCCATCTGCTCCTGCGCGCGCGCGATGCCGTCCTTGAGCTCCCGCTCCGCGTCGTCCCGCCTGCTCAACTCCTCCCGCGCGCGCTCGAGCTCCGCCCGCCCTGCCTGCAATTCCTCCTCCCTCGCACGCGCGCTCTTCTCCAGCTCGCGCTTCTCGCGCTCGAGCTCCTCGATGCGCTGGTGCAGGCTCCGCAACGCCTGGCCGGACGCCTCGTCCATGATGCTGCGCTCCATGCTCTCCTCCCTGCTCCGATCGACCTGCTCCTCGAGCGAGCGCGAATACCGCTCAAGCTCGGCGATGCGCTTCCTGTAGCCCTTGTTGAACCCTTTCCGGCGCTCGACCTCGCGCTCGCCCTCGTCGAGGCGCGACTGCAGCATACGCATCATCTCGTCGCGCCCGCGGAGGTCGACCTCGTACTGCGCGCACAGCTCCGTCTGGAGCGCGAGCTGCGTCCGCAAGGAGAGAATGAGGTCTTCCTCGCGCGACGCCTTGCGGTTGTGCGTCGCAACGACCTGCGGCGGAGTGGGGGGCACGCCGGAGCCGGGAGTGTAGTACGCCGTGGCGTGCGCCCCGAAAGGGTCCTTCTCCTTTTGCGGCGAGCGTGGCGGAGACTTGGGGTTCGCAGCGTTGTACAGGATGAGCGTGCCCGACACGCGGTCGTCGATGTCTGCCTCGGGCGGCGGGGGCGTCTCGTTCCGTGCAGGGGGGCTGGGAAGGAACGAGTGGAAGACGCTGTCGCTGTACGCGCGGCTGCGGTTCTTGGGCTTGAGCGAGCCGCGCTTGGAGCCGGATGAGCCCAAGGAGATTGGGGAGTCCTTCCCGACGTCTTTGATCGAATGAAAAACAGTCTGACCAAAGCTGAAGGACTGGCTGCGGTCGTGGATGCCCGTGCTGGACCCTGACCGATTATTTGATGGCGTACTGCTACGGAAGTCTCCGTCGACCTCGGAGCGCATGACGATGGCTGAGCTATCCGCATCCGAAGAGGGAAGCTCAATGGCGCTATCGAGCAAAGGCACATTGTCCTTGCTGATGGGAATGGGAGGTAAGTCGAAGTCCTGGGAGAGATCAAATATGTTTGTATCATCCGGTGGAGGAAGGGGCTTTACGGATGAAGGTGGAGGCGGTGAGAAGACATCCTGAACCGTTGGCCGTGAAGGTGTGCTACTCGCGCCCTTGATTCGTGCACCGAAAGAAGAGGGTGAGGGTTCGCTGCCACTTGCGCTCGCATTGGACACGTCTGGGGTGATGACCTTGTAGGCGTCGCGGGAGAAGAAGCGCACACTCTGCCCTGTCGCAGGCGTGGCGCCGTCGCGGAGGATGGAGCGTAACGAGCCGAAGCGACCTTCAGCGATTGGCGTTATGGGTGTCCGGGCAGACACTGCGGAATCTGGAGGGCGAATTGATTCTTGGGATTGTCGCTGCCGACTTGAGTCTGTTGACGCTCGACTTATTGACGAGGCGTCAGAACCTGCCACAGGAGACGAGTTAGCAACATTCCTCGAGGATGCCGCTGTCATGTTCATTGAGCTGCCAATGGGCGAGGCTGTGGGCACGTAATTCTCACGTCCGCGGATAAGTAATGTTCCGTTGACATCATCGCGATACTTGTTTATACGTCAAAGAACACCGCAACACAATGGCGCGCCGCGCCGGAGGTTCCCAGGCAGGAATGCGTAGTCCATCGACACCGCGCCAAGGTCGCCTGGGGAAGACGACGACGAGGGAGATAGGAAGAGAAAGACTCACTGATGGACATCGTATGAATTGAAGACTTTACTTTCTTGAGGTGAGGTATTGAGAGCTTGATAGGCAGTGTGTTGGCCTGTTCGCCGTCGTGAAACGACTTGGGATTCCGCTTGAAGAGGCCCTTCCGACCATGCTTCGAAGGGGATGCAGGTGGACTCGGAGAGGGAAAGGGGACTTCGGTGGGATCATGAAAGTTTGAGAGGTTCGGGTGTCGGTCAAAGACGGCGTTGAGGACGGCGTTGGAGGGATGCTTGTCGTCGAGGAGGCTGTCCAGGTCTTGCGCTGGTGTCTCTGGCCGTTTGAGTGCACTGCTGATTTTGGACCACATACTGGTCACTGTGGATGTCGCCGTCGCTGTTGAGACTGTGTCTGCGTCGTCTTAGCCGAGGTGAGTGTTGGTCAGGATAGGCGGGGATTACGGGAAGGGAAGCGGCGGGGACGACATCAACGTTGAGAACAACCACAGGGCGCTCAGCGTCTATGTTCGCTTTCGCGTCCAGGCGCGCAGTCCACGTGATCGCGTAGCTGTCGCAAACGCCACCAAGCACCGTGTAGCGCCGGAGAGCTCGGAGCTGTGGTTCAATATTTACAGGTGCCACACGCAAGTTCTGTAACGAGCGGTGCATTTCGATTTCGACACCAGAAAGAGGCAGGGAACAATACATAGGATTGGGAACAAGTAGCGGTTCCTCGGCTTAGACAGGGATCCCCTGAACTCATCGAGCTCAGGCCCGGGCTAGATCAGGAGAGACGGGCGAGAGTGTAAGCATCAGGATCATATGAAGTGCAATCAGTATACGGGTAATGCAATGATACACAAGGGGGGTCGCATGGGTATTTCGGTGTCGGCAATTCGTATCACATGGGTATGTCCAATTGGAAGTATGTTATTGTCGTCAACTCCACCGGATATAGTCCTTCCTAGCCATGTATTCTCCTAGACCTTCACCGTCCTTCTGACTTGGTACCGTACTCTCTCCGGGTCGCGGATGAGAACGATGATCCTCCCCGAACCGTCGTCCCAGTGGTCCAGGCGGCGTAGCTTGGGGCACTTCCACGCCAAGACCGACGCGACCTCGTCGTTCTTACGCACGCGACTCCGATCGGACAGGGAGAGCGTGAGCGACGTGCTGTCCGTGCAAGCGCATTCATAGAAAAAGCGCAGGCCATGGAACGTAGTCAGCTCCGGCATCTGCGCCAGGACGTCCGCCCATTCCACCTGTGCGAGCGCCCGTCAACAGGCGGGAGTCTCAAAGACTGGTGGACACTCACGAAGTTCGCGGTGATGTTCGCGGCCTGTTTCCCGGTGCTGGCCCCGGCTCCCGACCCGCCTGCGTTCCCTACAGCCCCCGACCCGTTCCGTTTACCGAGGTCGAGCCAGACCAGCTTCGGGACGCACTCCGCCAGCCTCCTCACGTCTTCCATGTCGTTCCATCCGGCGAGCTCGAGCCTCTTCACAGGCTGCGTACCGTTTCCAAACGCCCTGAGGTTCTCCAGGAACACCCTGTCCCTTGTAGAACCACTCAGCCGGACACCTTTCAGCGTCTCAAGCGGACGGCCGCTCGGCGCGTCGCACGGACACGCCAGGAGTGCACTGGACAATTCACGGTTCGCTTTGAGCTCACGCAAGTGGGGGAGGCAGTTCGGAGGGAAGTTGAATGTGGCGAGCTCGCCATTCCCAGCAGCACCAAAAGGCACCTCTAGGTGGAGGATCTCGAGGTTGACGTGCGCGAAGAGGAAGGATGCGGCGGCGTCGAGGCCCGCGTGCGGTGTGCACCAGAGGTTCGTGAGGGTGAGAGAACGGAGGGAGGACCAGCGGCCGCAAAGGAGGAAGTCGTCTGCGACAGGGTTGAAGTAGCCTGGGGAGGAGCGCGGGACGTAGCTGATGTCAAGGGCCTGAGACAAATCAGCTGAACACCCATATTTTCTCGTACATCAATGCAAGCGAGTACCTCGAGGTTCGCGCAATTATGGAGCATCTTGGACACATGTGACAGGTCGGGATGCTTGGACAGGCCAAATGCACTCTTTGTTCCGTGCAGGCCAACCTTCCTGAGGTCATGAAGCTGTCTACGCATCAGATTGCACCGAAGAAAGGGCTATCCTATCGCTACTACATACCAAAGGTTGCTGCCGTCGCCCCGCTCCCGTGCGACCCGATTCTTCGTCGACCTCCGAGGCCTTAAAGATGAGATTGTCATTGACCTCGACCTCCTTCAACCCCGCGCACTTGTCTAGTGCCGGCCACACAGTCTCGAACGCTACAAGCGAATGGCTGCAGCTCCACTTGAACGCCTGCAATGCACTCATCCGCCCGAGCGCGTTGAGCAGGAACCGCTCCTGCTTCGCATGCATCCCCAGCTCGTCATCCGTGCTCTCCAGGTCCGTATCAGTGCCCGCAATACCCCTCGGAACGACCACGTCGCCCGCCGGGGCGCGCTCGTCCAGCACCTCCAGCCTCCGCACGTTCCTTGCCAACGACCTGTGCACTGCGAGGTGGTGCCATACGCTCAGCTGGCTCGCCTTCGCCCGGACGACCCGATACTCCCAATGCCGCGGAAACACGACGTCGTACAGCCTCCGGCAGCTGAGCGCGAGCGCGAGCAAGTCGCGCCTGCTATCGACGTGGAACGCGACCGCGTCGAGGATCTCCGTGGGCTGGCGCACGAGCACGCGCCGGCTCTCACACGGGACGAGCCCGACGAAGGGCTCGACGACGGTGAGGAGGTGGAGCGCGAGCGTGTGCTCCGCGGGCGAGAGGCGGAGGTGGCACGCGCCGAGGCGCGAGGGGAGGAGCGAGAGGAGGGAGCGGAGCGCGTTCAGGGCCCCGAACGGGTCGGTGCGCGGGTACGAGGACGGCTCGGTGCCGGCTGGGAGCTGCGGGCGGGGGCGGCCCCCAGTGCCTCCTCTGCCCCCGCCCGCCGGCTTTGTTGTGCTGGACGCGCCGGGGCGGGGGCGGGAGGGACGCGGTTGCGGCGCCATCGTGGATGGGGACACGAAGGGAGTCAGGACGAGGGCCGCGGCTGGGGTCTCTCGCTGCGGTCCCGCAAGCTGTGACTCACCGCCATGGGAGATAGCTATGGGTAGGTGTGATGGATGAACCATCCCTTTTGTGTTGTACACGGTCATTATCAACACCGCACCATCGACATACAGAACTAATACAAAGGTGGCATCATCGACGTCTGTTAACGAACCGCACGATAAAGACTTGAACCCACCGCGTGGACCATGAGAACGTCGCACCGTGTGATCCATGCGTGCGCATGACAGACGACCACATGAGGGCACAGAGCCTGTATCACAAGAAAGGGTCCGTGTATGCACGGCAGTCTGATTGCACAATTACGCCCGAAAGAAATGCAAAAAGAGCCCATTACAAGACAGATGACAACAGACCAATTGCGAGGAGATCGTATCCTACAATGTATCCGTCAGGCCCGCGAGTCCGTGGTACATCATACAACATCACCGTCGTGAGCGCCGTAAAGTATGTGCGTGAAGTCACAGCGTGGGGGTCATCCATGGTCAGTACGCCGATGGCATCCATGTCCACATCCAAGTATCAGCATTCCCGGTCTCGTTACAGGCACTTCCTACCACCCCGCGCCCGACACGTGCGCCCGAGAGGCGGTCTAGATCCCGGCCTAGATGCTCTTCTTCTCGATCGAGCTCGACTCCTCCGCGGCGGGCGCGCCCTGCTCGGCCGCGCTCTGCTTGACGTCGTCGACGTACACCACCTGCTCGTCGTCGTAGTTCGTCTCCTTGACCGTGCGGAGCACGAGGAACGCGAGCGGGAACGAGACGAGCATCAGGATCCACGACGCGAGGTGCTCGTTCAGGAACGGCGTCGCGACGGCGTCCATGCCGAACGAGCCCGCAGAGCCCGCGGACTGCAGCGCCTTGTAGAGCCCCGCGTACCGCGCGAGCGTGAAGGGGTCGTTCGTGAGCGCGGACATGATCCAGTACGCGAGCGCCTGGTAGCACGCGTCCGAGAAGTAGTCTGCGTGTGCGTGCGCGCGGTCAGCGTGTGGACGCGCAGAGAGGGCGGGGAGGCGGGTGCTTACAGAAGAAGTAGAGCGCGCCCTTGCCCCGGTAGGCCGCGTCTTTGTAGTTGATGAAGGGGAGCGAGTTCGGGTTGTTCGTGTGGTCGACGTCCCAGCGGTTGAACGTCACCTGCCACGAGAGCGCGACGGACCACACGATGATGGTCATGACGGACACCACCGCGAGGCCGAGGTAGCCGCGCGTGCGGCGATGGACCCACTTGAGGTCGAGCACGGTGTAGCCGATGAGCAGCGCCCCGACAATTGCGCCCGCGCCCTCGAGCGTCGCGTTGAGGGCACGCGTGGGGCCGTCGAAACGGGCGGCGTTGACCGCACCCTGGTACGCGTAGAAGTAGTTGGACGCGAAGAACATAGGGGCAAGCGCTACGATACAGTGAGGAGGGTCGCGTGAGCATGCAGGAATGAAGATAGACAACACGAGCGCAGGGTAATAGACATGTATAGCGTACTCACCGAGCATGCGCCAGTCCTTGAAGAGCTTGAGAAGGCCGATAGCCTCCTCATGTGGCTTGGAGGCTGCCTCAAGCTTGACGATCGTACCGTCGGCACGGATGACCTTGTTTGGCGGGAGGATCAAGAAGGAAGATGCTATACCGACGAAGATGATCACGATAAATGCCTGTAATCCAGAGCCTCGCGTTAGCCTGCGCTGTACAGGCGGTGCTCGCCTTCTCGCGTCAGGAGAACTCCGCCGGGCAAGGCAAAGGGACAGGTTCGCGAGCGCGGAGATGAAAAGAAGTGCTCACGATGTACGTGGAGGTAGAGACTGCAGAGAGTCCGCCACTGCGGATGTTGATGGCGAGAGCGATGAGCGAGCCGATGAACGAGCCGAACTGGAAGATGGCCCAGAATATGGCGAACGCCTTGCCCTTGTCCTTTTCGAGTGGGTAGGACATCATGATGGAGCCCTGCGCGGACCAGAGGAGCGCGGCAGAGATTCCGAGGAGCGCACCAGCGAAGATGATGAACCATCCGGTACCCTGGGTCTGATAGCTAGACATGCGTCAACGCAAGTTCTTGTCAGCTCTATGACATGGGAAAATGAACTGAGCGTAGACGCAAAGCTTTGCATGTGATGGTCCTGGGTGGAATGGTTGACAGGTGCCCTGGACTCGCATGCAATATTCTTATCATTCGCGATGATTCGCTATCACTACCGATGCAAGTTGATGGCGGATAATGTCGTTACCGACGATAGGCAAGGGGGCCACACCACTTGCCAAAGCGTCACGGTAGGCCTCGAGCATGTAGTAGACCAGCGAAGAGCCTGAAAGAGAGAAGGCGAGGATGACTATAAGACTTACCACCAAAGAGAACCGACGTAGAGCGCATAGCCGAGGGTACCAAGGAAGAGCGTGAACCGCGGACCGAGCACTGCGGAGAAATGTGGCATATAAGGATGCTGCAATGTGTCTTTGAACAGAGCGTGCGAGCGGGACTTACGGTTGGTGATACCGCCGGACACGAGACCGGTGACGGCGAAGCAGCCGTAGAGGACGCCGTTAGCAGTGTCGGAGAGGGAGACGTCGCTGAGACCTCCAGCACCCAAGTTGGAGACAGCGCTGAACATTCCGACGGTAGCGAAACTGGACGCGAGAGGCGGGATCAGCGTAGACTCGCGGGAAGCGGACAAGATTAGAACATACCAGGTGATTCCGACCAGGACAACCTGCGCCGTCGGCGTGCTGTAGTGAGCCGTGAAGATTGGTAGGGGCACATAACAGAATAGAGTAGAGCGCGACGTACGTGTACCACGCGGGGAACTTGAACTCGACCATGGCGAGCGAGAGTGAGCTGCCTGGTGCTAGGGAGAGGAGGGCTGGTAGCGGGGCAGATGCTCGGAGAGAAGCAGAGCACCGGGCGGGAAGTCACTTATATTTGCGCACAGAAGGGAAGGCAGACGATAAGACAAATTGGGGGGTGTCCACATGGTGCACTCCGATAGTTTGATGCGGTGGTGGGATTTGACTGGTCTGCCCCGTACGCCCGCGCTCCCACCCGGCGTCCTCCTTCCAACGTTTCAAGTCGTCCAGGCTAGCCCAACTCTAAATCAGCTCATGTGAGCATCGGTCCATGCTGCTCGCCGCCAGAACGCGATGTGACCAGTCTTTGCCTCCTTCTGCCCCCTCGCTCCGCCGGAGACACGTTTCGCTACCCACCTTCGCGGACGGGCCCCGAAGGCGGCTGGGTGTATCAGACGTACCTGAGCTGGAGAATGCGCGGGAAGATAACGATATGGACAGGGGGGCCACATTGGGCAAGGGAGCTAAGTGGAGGACCTCGCGAGTGCGCGGACGAGCAACACATGCCGCGTTTGAGCCGAGTCCAGTCACAGGTGGACGTCCACAGAGGCGATCAGATTCATTCGCTTGAATCGCTGTTGCTGCACGCTGCGGCCAACTCCCTTGTGCTTGTGCACGGTGGACGTGGGCGGATGCGGGGTTAATGTATGTATGTACTTGAGTACGATGGCACACACTAGTACGATGGCACACACTAGTCCGAAGCCTATGCCAAGCGGGGCCACAAGTCGAGCCGGACCGAGTCCCCGGCCTGCCTCCGCTTCGCTGGCCCGGCGAGACTGAAGAGCGCGACCAGGAGGCAGATCTAGACGCTCAGTGGCGCTGCAGGCGAGGAACGAGATCTACTTATACATACCCACTCAGATCCAAGGCACAGCACATCAATTCAACCCCCTCAAATTCGTTCCCCACTCATCCCTTCTACCGTCTGCGATCACTGCCATGTACGTACGTATGTTTTCCTCTCGTGTGCTCATTATTCCATTTCCCACACTAATGATTCAGCTCGTGCGCTATCTCCTATCGCCTCCAACGGCACGCGCCATTAGTATTGAGTGAGGCACCGTTCAAGTACGAGTCATCATCTCCTTGACTATCTACGCGTTCTCTCGCATGCCACTTACTGCTTCCTTTGCCATCGGCCGCAAGAATGCTCCTACCCAATCGTCTTGGCGTCATACGCGACTCTTTATCGATGCACTCCATACCTAAATCTCTATCACTCTCCGGCCGCTAGTCTCTGCATCGTTTCTCCGACCAGGAACGGGATGCGCAGAATGTTGCCTTCGAATCCATGCAACACCCACAACCTCCTCACCGGCACCCCACACAGTGTCGCGAATTAGCACCAGCGGAGATTCATCGGAAGGAAATCACCGAAGCACGCCGGGGCTCAGCGCTCAGCAGTCGCTTACAAGTCAAGCGTGGCTGCAGTCGGCGTCACGTCGACATGAGTACCATGAGTGTAATTGTCTTCAAGACCAAGACGGCATCCCTCCAGTGAGCGAACCGCAACCCACGTGATGTTGACGGATTTTCCTCAAAGGACCGGGATCAATGGATAGCGGGATTGATTGTCTATGGCTACAGTACTTACAGATCTATAGATGCCTCAGCACATACCGGTCAGTAGTAGGACCCCCGGCAATAGGCCCAAATGTATGATGCCTGATCCGGACGAAATTGGCCCCTCAAAAAGGCCTATGCCTGGTCCAGTCCGGTCAAATCGAACAAAAATTTGCGGATGGCCTGCGCCATACTCCGGACAAATCTGACGTGCTCAGGTCGAGGCCTGATCCCAGGCGGCTGTCGGGAGAGGACCGGTCCGGGGAGGCCTTGAGGATATAATGTCGTTGGCGCACTTACTTATACGTCCTTATACCTACGTTTATCTGTTGCTACTTACTTCGTGTCACAGCCATCCATGTGTGTAATATAGGTTGTTGTACATCTAGCCTGAAGTGTGACACCTCCTTACTCAGTCTATCTCCCAATGTCACACCTGTGCAGGCGGCGGACAACGTCAGGAGCATTTCGAATCGCAAGAAGACAAACGAGCTATTGCTAGCCTACGCCGTCACTTAATACTGCTCGCTATAATCCCTATGTCTAGAAGCTCAACTATAT